AAAAACTTAACCTTATAACATTACAGTATACTCCTCGTCAACGAATCCCTCTTGAAATGTTGACACCTTGCGTCAGCTATAGCCTGAGCCGCAGTGCTGACCCGCCGCCCCCCCCCCCACCCCCTCCCCTCCGAAAAAACGGAATCTTGCTGGACACACCCCCACACTCACATATGCCCCCAACGTATACTTTTTTTAAGCCCGTCTCGCATATTCCCAGGCCAGGTGCACCAATGTTATGATAATTTGAGCCAAGGGTCAGTGCCTCTATGGTCAGATACTTGACCGATGGAAATTATAGCTGTCTCGCCGCGCTGCCCACTGGCAGAACGGACGTGTATCATAGCTAAGCTTGATCACAACGTTTCCATGCATAAACATGAAACGCGGTGGGTTCCTCATTTGCGTCTACTATAATGCCGTGTCTATGTTAATTCATTATTTTTTGGCAACAGCACCTTGCAACAGTTGTGTTGATATCTGGACTAAAATATACGCCTTATCCCTGTCTATATGATGTCATAAACAGCAGGGGTAAAATTAGTAGTAGTAGTGGTTGTAGTAGTAGGGACTTTTAGATTTGCGTGGACTGATACGTGTGACGTCCATTCTTGGCAGTGCATTAAAAGGACGTCGATCCTACCAGTCCACGTTGTCGTTTGGCAAATCTAAAAGTCCCTATTGGCTGGTGGTACTGGTAGACTATAAGAAGTAATTTCTTCACGTCTTCGTTTTTATCACGCTCAATCATAATTATGAACTATATTGGATCATGCTTGGTACGATAACAGTTATGACAGTTTCGACAGATATTTTGAGTAACAAACTTGTGTCAAAATATTGCAATCACGGCTGTAAGTAAAATTATATTTCTTACATCACACTAAATGTAAGCCATCTTGTATACAAGTACCCCCCCCCCCGGCCTCTTTGATATCTAGAAAAAACAAAAATATTGCTATGAACGCCACGCTTGCTTTGATGAGTACGAAGACTACCACCCGGTGGCATCATAGCACTGATATGAATAATTATTATACTGATTATGTAACATGTCCAAAGGACTATTATGTTGCTGGTATTTACATGTAGGCCTGTTCATTATGAGGCCTTTAGTTTTCTGGGATGCGTCATAAAATGTTGCCTGATTTTATTTTCAAAGGCAGAGACAGAGTTCACTTTTTTCAGTTTATGGAATATGGACCTCAGTCTGTCGAGTCATTAAGAAATATTTAAAAGTGTATATATTTACATTATAGTTAATTGTGTTTATTTTTTAGTATGTTTCATGAGCATTTATGTATTAGTTAAACTGTTCTTTCCGCTTTGATCGGTTGTGAATCGGACATATCACTACAGTATATGACATTAAAAAAAAAATATTGTTAATATTATGATTTTAGAATTAAATCGAATCGAATTCAAATTAATATAAACTTATAATTGTTCTGAATTAAAGTAAGCATCATTAGTCATCATCCCCAGCCCTGAATGAATTGTTATCGTTCTAATAACTCTTTCAGTGTTGCAGCTTTTCTGGGCTTCTTGTACATTCTGATACATGTTCATAAACAACAATCCGACTTTTAAGAGGATGTCAGAATGTTAAATACTGCATAATTGAGTGGACCTACATTTGCTCCTGCAACAATTACTCCGGGCTTTTTTTCTTCATCACAGGTATAGGGTCGGTTAGGGAGGGCTGCAATTGCGGTTTAGGTTGGGTTTAGGATAGGGTCCTGGGTTCAAATTGAGAATGGTGTTAACCGGGGCAGCGTTTCATGAAACCATCTTAAGTACAAGTTCACCGACATCCCATTAAACGCGTGCTAAACTTAATACACGCATTTCAACGGGATGTGGGTGAACTTGTACTGATGACGGTTTCGTGAGACGCTGCCATGGTTACTGTTCAAAGGAAATAGACGCGGAGCAATTGTCGTAGAATTAAGACCTTTAGTTATCGTACAACCAATTGTTACGGGTCAACGTTTTATTTCTGAATGACATTGCAGTTGCAATTAACAGATGAAATAATGAAGGCAACAGGAAAAAAAAAAACATGCGTTTTACGTCCATGCCCAGGTAACACATCATTATGCCTGAAAGCGCTGAATGAATATTGTAGGTCTTGAGACTGATGAATATTATCCTCGAAGCCAAACAGTAACCGACCCTGGGAAGTAAATAATACACTCGGACCAACAAACTGACCGGTGCAGTAAGACTAGCTGTTCGGGGGGGGGGGGGTGATTGAGATAAGATAAAGAGAAAGAGACAGGGGAGGGAGAGATAGAAAGAGAAGGATAGAAAGAGGGACAGAGACAGAGACAGAGAGACAGAGACAGAGAAAGAGAAGGAGGGAGAAAGAGAGAGAGATGATGAGGGTGAGAGAGAGAGAAAGAGAGAGAGAGAGAGGGAGAGAGAGAGAGAGAGAGAGAGAGAGAGAGAGAGACCCCCAACGGTAAGTTGACCCTTTCTCACGAGACGCTACCACCGTCATTGTCACGTTCAAGGGGTCGGTCACACCTTACCGATAGCAATGACGATTACTACACGTATAACTATAAAATCGGTATGCTGACGTGTACTGACGTTCATGTTAAAATGAAAAGGTACCAGCTCGATGATCCGATATTTGCTCTAGCGATAAATTCTTGGTCCGGGCTTTATTTCGTCAGAGGTAAATTTGTGTAACGTTATTTGAGGTTAGGGTTGCAATCTAGCTTTACAAAGAAGGTTATAGGTTAAGGGTTATGATTATTGTTAGGTATAGTGGTCCAGGGTTGAAATTAGGCATTTGGTGAGACTGTGATTGTGTCGTACAATCCCTAGCTCATTGATTTATGTTGACGCGCCTCCAGCACCCTAAATATATATATTCTTTAAACCCATATCATGTCATATAAACTTTAAAAGAAAATCCAACCTAAATAGCAAATTACTCTAAAAGAAAGCAGAAAAATCAGAGAAACAGACTTGTGGAAGTTTGAACGAAATAGGACATATAAAATAAGTTAGGTTACTATTTTATTAATAAATAAATTGCAACCAATGCACGTAAAGACGTAAGGGAATTTGGGATTAGGTAAATCGGACACCTTTCCCGTTCGTCCTACACACAAAACTACAAAAATTACAATTTTCCGAAAACATTTTAATGATATGATTTCTATTATACATTTTGATTAGAGCCCCGAGGGAGAAAGCACTGTTAAGTAGGAAAACAGATTTTACCGATACCTTTGTACACGACGATCATGAGAGTTGTCCGTGCTTACGTCACAATCCACTGATCAAATTGCCAATTTGAGATTTAAAAAAAAAATGATCTCATATTTCAAATCCTCACAAATATCTTGGTACTGGTCTGAATATTTTAAACTTTAACGATATTGCTTCCCAATCTCTTTATTTGTTCTGCTTCCATACAAATGAACTTATTACAAGTTTGGGTTCCCTTTCAGAGACCTATTTCATAATCAGCTTTTATCCTCTTTTTTTTCTGGTCCACGTGACTGTCCCTTGACAACGGAGGTCTGGAAATCGCATTTATGTGTGCTGAATATTATTAATGGAGAAATGGCAGCAAATGAACATGTTATGGGTCACTGCTATAATCAACATCCTCTTGCTGTCCTCCGGAGAGTCTGTGAACCCTTTGTTCATTAGCTTGATTTATAGCGTCTTAAAATTTGCTTGAAAAAAATTGGGATGAAAAGTTGTTGATCAGTTCAGTATGTCTTTCATTTCTGCTTTTAAATATTATGAGAGCACAACATCGCTGTGTTTGCGAGAGAGTAAAGTCATAATTTTTTTAGGGACCAGAAAAGATATGAATATAGTTTTTGGTCTAGAGTCTAGACAATAATGTTTCCTCTTTTCTTTCGCTATACGTCCTTTTGACGCTATGGGCATTTATTTTGTAATCTATTTGCCCTTTTTAATAGGGAATTTTAGCTTTGCACGACGAGAACAGGGACTGCCACTTGACGTCCTTTTAAGGTCACATTGCCTTAAAAGGATATCACACGTGGCAGTCCACGTTCTCGTCGTGCAAATCTAAAAGTTCCTATTATTACAATCAATGGTGGCATGTTGCGGCTGTTGCGTCGTATTAAAAATTGAAAACAGAATTAATGCTTCATTTGCTTTCATCTAGATATGTTTTCAGCTGAGCAGGCTAGGATCAATTAACGAAATGCTTTTTTTCCAGCAATAATGCGTTTTGGAGGTAGGAGGTAGCCTTCGAATCTCTTAAAATCGACCTTACGTAACACTTTCTTTTAATCACTCATTTCGGTTGTCAGTAAATGGCACACTTAAAAGTTCACATTGGGGAATAGTCCCAAGGGCAAGTGGCAAATGTACCCTCCCCCCCCCCCCCAATTGAATGACGAAAAGAAAAATGAAGGGGGAGGAATAGGAAATCTCAGGAAAGGGAACATATTAACTAGAATGACACTGCCCCGTACCACACGTTTCCTCTACATGCTCTAATGGCTTTGTTAACTGGAAATTCATGATTTCGTTCAAACTACAAGGCTCTCTTCCTATAAGATGCCCCCCCCCCCTATGACTTGCCTCTCGCTACGCCCCTTGGTTCAGGTATTGGACGTATTAGATGTAGCTGGTTAAAGTCAAGTTATTATCAATCTTGTGTGTAACCGAATAGAGTCAACCTCTGGCGTAGCACATTGGGGGGGGGGGGGGGGGGGGGTAGGGGGGGGGGAGCAAGCAAAAGTAATGTAGAGGATAAATCCATCCTTTAATTTCATCCACGTTGTATTATGTGTCTACCCCCCCCCCCCCCCGCCAACAAAAATACAATAATAAGAATACGAATAAAACTAATACAATAAAATAAGAATTGTTTCAGGTATTACTTTGCCGCTATTTTATCGAAAATGTTATGCTAAGGCATTTCCTTATGTACTATCGTCGTAATTTTCAAAATTTAATGTTGTAATACTCTTCTCGTTTTTTCTCTCTGTATTCAGGTTTCAGGATATTTCCATACTGCTCCTATTGGACTAGACGATTGCTTACAATGGAACACTAAATCGTTGGAGAGGACACAACAAGAAAAATATTTTTCATTAGAACATGAAAATTAAGCTTATGGAGGGAGATGTGAATTTCTCTGCAACATCATCATCAAGCTGACTTGAACGAGAAACAAAAAAACATCATCCTTAATGAACGTCACTCCTGTGGTCACATCTGGGGCCTTCTCCCAGATCGCATCCCTTGGTCTTTCCAGAGTGTCCTCCGGCCTGACCACCCTAGCAGGCGGTGAGACCAACATGAAGGCGATGTCGGCTCCCCACATGGCCCCCTCCCCCGATGTGAAGATGGAACTAATGGAGAGCGAATCGTCGTCTCTGAAAGCCCTCGATGGCCATCCTGCTGTGATATCTGGTGTCCCAGACAGTCCTTGCTGGCCTAGCGCCAATGATAACATCGATGCATTATCTCCGTCTGGCGGAGTACACTCAACAGGTATGGTCATAGCTCACGAAGAGACAAAGTTACGTCAGCGGAAGTTGCTCCTGATTGGTCAGTCCTTTCCTGGAGCTTCAAACAGCGCCCTCCCATAGAGATGCTACATTATGTATAAATGTATTGTTCATGTAATATAATGATGGTAGAGAGTAGGGACTGGAGAGTATTACTATTTGGAGTAATCGGAGCTCCATGATTTAACCCCTGACCTTGGATACGCATGTCATAATTACTATCTTTATCAATACACTATTAGTCTATTAAAACAAAAGTAGCACTCTATGGGCATCAAGGCGAGGGAGGGGGGGGGGGGGCATTTAAATATATCTATCGGCACAATCGACTCGTTTTTACAGCATTGTTGTCAAATCGCCAAAAAATGTTTCTTTCCCCTTTTTTCTTCGTTTAAATACATCTTGAATGCGATCGAAAATGACCTTCGAAAAATCAACGTCTCCCAATTTTAATTAGCTTTGCGTATTTTTTTTATAAATCTGCGTACAGCACCATTAAATATTACGTAATCCTAACATTATTTCTAATTGCATATAATTTGCCCTGAAGTTGATTTCTCGAAAGCCCTGACGATTGTGTTTTTGGAACCTTTATCGGCAAATTTAAAAAAAGGGTTTGCAGCTATCCAACATCTCCAACACCCAGGCCCATGGTTCAATCAAATTGTTAAAAGATTATGCAAATGTTTACCAAACCATTAAAGATAAACTTTAGTACTGGTAATGCGATTGCATTGTGAAAGAAAAGGTGTGGAAAGGATCAGAAACAGTTGATCATGTAGCATGTAAGTATTGGTGTGCACTGCAAGGTTCTGGAGTCATCAAAATCATAATAAATTTGACCGAGTCTTGGTAAAGTAACAAGCACTCACATAGAAAGCTATATATGGGACAACACACATGGTGTCGGGGCTGGTACTACATTGATTTTCTTGTCTTTCTATGCTCATTACTCAGCCAGTATACATTTTCTTCCAGAGAATTATGTGAGAATTATGTGAGAATTATTTTTTTTTTTTTTTACCAGTACTGGAGTTTATCTACTGAATGTTATTCTTTTCCCCTTATTTTCGCTGTCGGCTTTTCATTAAATAATCATGTAAAGCACATTGATAGTTATTTTATTGGACTTTGCGCTTTATAAAAAAATAATTGTATGTGTGTATGTATGTTTATATCTTGATTATTGAAGTTCATGTAAGTATTTGACAAAGGCCTTTATACTACCCAGATAACCTATCTGGCATTTAGCTTTATAGCCTGCATTTGAGCCCTCTTGAAGAGTCATGAAAACTAATTGCTTTTATTGGCGTTATCTGGAAAAGGCAGCCCTTAAAATACGGTTCAATATTAATGCATGCAAGAGGTAAATGTAAACGAAGAGATTATCCCTATATTAAAGCCGTGGCTGCCATCAGTAAAGATGATAATGCTGTTGTCATTGACGGAGATGAATCCAAAAGAATTCCTGATTACTGTATGTATTCTGAAGTCCCACAAGGAAGAGCTATTCTGCTCACTCTAAGTAGATGAAAGATGCCGAGTGAGAAAATGAGAGAGAAAAAATGGCCGAATCCCTAGAAAACAGTATTGGCGTTATAAAGAAATAAACACGTCATAATTTGACATCAATTTTGAGACAAATTGTTTTCATGGGCAGGGGAATTTTGCAATTTTCAGACAAGAACATACATAATTTGAATACATGTATATGCACATATTCTATGAGACTCTTAAAGGGACTTGATAACATTGTTCATATGAGAGAAAATGATGCTAAGGTATTGACTTCAATGCTAGGTGTACAATTAAAGATAATCTGAGAGTTTGAGTGAAAACAGACTACATTCTTAATGATTCAAATTGGGCAAAACTTATCTGATCGATTCCTTAATTCTCCCAACTATATTATTACAATTGAATTCCATTTCAAGTGAGTGAAATCGTCATAAAGAAATTAATTGGCTCTATATACCATTCCAGACATATTTTAAGTGTTGAAAGATTTTTAAAAAGCCTGTTTTTATGTCTTATTTTCATGGAAAAAAGGTAGGGAAATTTCGAAAATGGTTGGGAGAATTTACTGTTAGAGGGTGTCGCACAGTGACGCCTTCAAAGAAAACCATTATCTTTGTGGCTTGAGAATTTGTTCAGGATTTGTGCATGTTAGAGGGTCAGTACAGTAGAAGGAATATAATAAGTAACATTTCATACACAAATTTGCAGGATGTAAATAGATTTTATTTCCGTAAACATGTCTTTAATATCACGATGTATATTTTTCTCCCAGCCATGAATGATGAGTCATGAATCTTTTATACAATGTAACATCCGATGTATTGTTACTCATTGTGCTTCTATGTACAATCTCATCTTATCACGTGTATTGATATAGTCTCTAAAAGTTGTTTACTCCATGTAAAGCGCTGAGAAACGATAAATATGTTAAGCGCTACATAATAAAATGTTAACTAGTGTTTATACTAGTATCATGTACCATCATGACCATATACACTTTTTCGATTGAAATGTACTATACCTTGCATTAAGTTTTTAATTCCGCATGTTTTACTCTTGATTATCTTCAGGTCAAAAGAGGAGCGATGACAAATGCTGGGTGTGTGGAGAGAAATCGAATACCTTCCATTACGGTATATTGTCCTGTGAAGGTTGTAAGGTACGTTTGTAATGTATCCTCGTCAAAATAACTATTGCAATATAAGTTTAATTGTAGGCTGCTTAGATTAAGATCCAGGCTAACTTGGACGCCGCGGCCTAGTCAACTATGAAAGCTTAAAGGGACTTGGTGAAATTGTTCAGATGAGAAAAAATAGTGCTAAGATAATAACTTCAATCTAAGATGTACAATTAAGGATAATCTGAAGGTTTGAGTGAAAACCGACCATTTTTATTAATAATAGAAATTTAGAAAAACTTAACTGATCGATTCCTTAATTCTCCCAACTATGTTATTATAATTCAAGTCAACTAAATTTTAGGTGAATGTAAATCGTCACTAAGCATGAATTGGCTCTTTATATCATTCCAAACATTTAAGTGTTGACAGATTTTTAAAAGCCTGTTTTATGTCTTACTTTCATAGAAAAACAGTAGGGAAAATTCAACAATAATTGGTCTAATTTACTGTTATAGGGTGTTGCACAGTGATGCCTTCAAAGAAAACCCTAAATATATTTATGGTTTGATAATTTTTTCAGGATATTGTGCATGTTAGAGGCTAGAGGGTTAGTTCAGAACAAGGAATATAATAAGTATAAAATTTCATACAAGGCAAAAATTACGCAGTTTTTTTAATCAAACTTCAACAATGTTTTACCGCTTCACTTTAATGGCAACTGCACATGCATTATAACACGATTGGAAAGAGAGTTAAGAATAAAGGCGATTTCAATAGCCGTGTGCGTCACCGTTTGAAATGTACGAACTTGGCAATAACATATTACGTAATCTGGAGAAAATAAATAATCCTGAATATCACGAAACCCCGCAATGCAAGAGTGCTTCGAGCACGTGCTAAAACACCCATATTCAAGATTATCTGATAGGAAGGTCTAATATACTCCGTTAATAATTAGATTAATGTTGAAGATTCGAAGTGGTTAATTTTTTTAATTTTTTAAAAGGCTATTTAGAGGTCCAATGCGGAGTTTACACTTAGATTCTTGAAACTGCGCGATGTCCAGTTTTCCCTAGTGCTGAGCCTTCCCGACCCTTTATTTTCGAGGGAATAGCATGTATACTATATATGGAATTCTAAACAGACATCGTCGTTCTGATTAAGGTTCTGAATAATGATAAGAATACTGACAACTGTAATTTTAGTGCAATAAAGCCTTGAAGTCAGAATAAAAGCCGAATCGGCTTCACATCGTAGACAATCGCACTACTGATGGTAGGACGCCACTACGATTCTGAGCCGATTCAGCTTTTACTCCTCCAATGAGGCTTGGATTTCATTGAAAGTTAAGTTTTATTAATCATATGACTATTTCAGATCCTCGATCATTCATATTTTAGAAGTGTAAATGTTCATATAAAATGCTATTGCAAATTCTTCCGAAAAAAAGTCGTAGTTAGATCGTAGTTAGATCGTATAGTGTATGATGGGCTCTAAAGAGCCTTGATGTCCTCCTGAGCTGTGCTCGATGTGCCGAGTACACTATTGTCGAAGGTCAGACATACTGATTTGATGATTTGCTTTTCCTGGGAACTGTTATCCTGCACAAGAAATGCAAACAAAACCCTACAGCTTCGATATAGGTCTGCATGGAATGAAAAAGAGTAATACATGAATCGCTCTTTTAGCATCAACATTGATGGTAACTTTGCCATAAAATGAATATCACCTACCATGGCAACAGCATTCAACAACCACTCAAATCAAAGTTTCCATGGAAGTTACCATCAATGCTAAGTGTTATACAACGGGGCCGACATGATTTGTAATATACATTCTAATTATTGCTCAAATCAAAACCATTAAGCCTCATCCGTTAATTATTTTCTGTTTATTTAGATGTTTGTGCAAAGCATTTGCAACTAGAGGGGTCAGGTACGGCGAGGGTCCAGTATTTGGGTTATGCACTGCATGGGGTAGGGGTTGGGGTGGCAGTGTACTCTAGCCCTATACTTTTTTGTTAGCATATAGTTAACGAGAAGGTCGAGTTCTGGGAAGAGGTGAACAATAATTTGTGAGCGTTATTATTGTTATTTATGCATGTCTGGAACTTACCGGAAGAACATTCAGATAACAAATGTTACCTGAAAAGCAGGGCTCTTCAAATGCCTTAATATTCTAAATATTTCATGTAACAGCATAACAATCGGGAAGGATTTTTTTCGCCACATGTTCGTGTAGTCCCATATACATATTTCTGTGTACAATGCTTGTAACTTTACCAAGACTGGGCCAAATTTGTCATCATTTTGATGATTCCAGAACCTTGCAGTACACACCAATACACACTTATACCAATACACACCAATACTTATATGCTAGATGATCAACCTTTTCTGATCGATTTCTCACCGTTTCTTTCACAATGCAATCGCATGACCAGAACTCAACTTTTTCTTTAAGTCACACTGATCTGAATTATGAGCCTGTCCAATGATCATCCTTCATCTTTTTTTAATTTTTTTTTTTAGAGCTTCTTCGCTCGTGCCAGCTCGAACCATATCAGCTACAACTGCCCGACCAAACAGTGTGTGATTAACAAGGAGACTCGGAACCGTTGCATGTACTGCCGCTGGAAGAAATGTGTGGCTGTAGGCATGTCCAAGACAGGTAGGTGTTTAAGATATAAAGACCTCAGTATTTTTGTGGCTGTAGGCAAGTCCAAGACATGTGGGTGTTTCAAATATAAATACCTCATTATTTGTGTATGTAGACCAAGTCAACACATTGTAACAAGCATGACTAGCATAATGCAGGGGTAATAATGATTGCATGGACCTAAGGTAGAACAGTATTAAAACTGATGAGGCTACCCTTGGTAAAGAATGCGTATTATTATTATAATTGTTATCTTTCACTTTTTTTTTTTTTTCCATTTTATAATTATTATCCTTATACAACATTTAAAAAAAAAATGAAAATATAACCAGCGGCTAAGCTTAAGCCTAGATATTGATGTTGCAAATGCATCATGGGGGACCACCGGTCTTAATAGGTGGATATCTGGATGAAATCAAGGATAATATCAAGGCCAATTTTAATTGGGGGCGGTATGGGGTGTGGACTTATCTTCTTTATCTGTCCACTTCCCATCTTACCTTCTTCGTCTCTCTCTTTCTCTTTCTCTTTGTCTCTGACTCTATTGCTCCCCCTTTCTCGGTTTTGTATGCTATCAATGGGGGCACGAGACCCGTAGTTACGCCACTGTTTGTAATTGAGTAACAGATCTTTCCCACATTATGAACGTCGCTATTTGTGATCACTTTAACTGCCATTAGGCAACCTAAAAAAGCTGTCTAGGTTACCCGACAACCAAGCCAAAGGTAAAGTGAGAGTCTATTTTTGAAGGTTATAATTCTTTTAATGTCATTGCTGTAAAATAAAAAAAAATAAAAAAAATGTAAATGTGTGTGTGGTTATCTTTTTTCATTAGCCTCCAAACTTGGTCGCCGTTCAAAACAGCTCAAGGCCCAGATCGCGAAGCACTTACCCAAATCCGGTCCAATTTCGACATCTTCAGACTCGGGTCTAGACAGCCCAATCTGCAGTCCAAACGATGGCTCTTCCCATCCAAACACACCCAAGCAGATCTCCTCTCCAACCTTGTCTGGCTACGGTGACTTCTCCCCGCTCTTCGATGCTAGCTCCAAGTCTTCACGGCACAGCATGGAGCTGAACAGCCCTGCCGGAAGTGTCTTTGCGCCAACAGATACCTCTTCTACGCATGACGAATGTGAGCCACAATCTCGGAAGCGCAACAGTACCGATGAAGACATCCACACAATGTCCTTGAAGTCGCCGTTGTCGCTCCAGTGGCAAGACGTATCGTCCGTCCCGCTTCCGTCGCCGACGAGCGCCTGGTTCAATGTCATCGACGATCCTCAGTTGGAGAAGTTTGCTGCGGATATCCATCGCATCCGACTGGAGAGTTTCATGTTTGAATGCGTCCACACACCCAAACGGAAGGTGCCTCCAGCAATAGACATGGATTCCGTACGTCAAGGGTGTCACATGGTGGTGAAAATGCCCACATCGTCCTTGATGGATTCCATGCTAGGCTGCATGACCGATATCATCAGGAGGGTCGTTTCCTTCTGCAAGCGAATTCCTGGTTTCCCAGAGCTTCCCATTCAGGACCGCACGGCACTTATCAAGAACAACATGTTCGAGATGGTGTTGGTCCACTCCTCGCATCTCGTGGAACGGAACGAGCTGTTCGTCGTCATGGGCGACCCCCATCTCATCCTCCCTATGGAATTACTGAAGATGGTCCCCTTCAGTGGCACAATTGTACCTCTCTTTAGACTCAACGACAGAATACAGAGTCTTGGGTTGTCATCGCGGGAAACCAGTCTGCTATGTGCCATGGTCATGCTCGCTCCAGGTAAGAGCTAATTTTTGTCATACAATTAAAATCGGGTAATATAACACCTGATTTTGTTCTTCTTCTTTCTGTTGTTGTCTTCCATCATCTATGAATGATGACGTTTCACAAGTAGCCTGCTTTAGCTAGGTTGTTTATTTTCCTTCCTCTGTTTCCCTGTTCATATTAAATAATACATCAGTGGTAATATTCAATCCATTCTTTTGTCAAGTATAAGGCACATAATGAGCTAATGACCAATTGGTAAAAAGGACATGGTTTGCTGCCAGATAAAAAAAAATATATACTGCCTGGACTGTGTCAGTGTCGCGCGCCCAATCAGCTGAGAAAATAACACAACCTCAAAAATAAAACGGAGACGGCTGGTGTATTTTCTGGCATCGCGCGATCAGTAGAGACTTCACATTTTGTGCGGGACGTAAAGGAGGGGGAAATGATGATTAAAGCAAAAAAAATATGTACAAACGGACAGAATTGGGACTACAAGATTGAATGAAAAGGGGTTATTATTCTGATGTATGTTTAGTATAATTAATCCGAACGATGGATTATTCTAGGGTAAACTGGTAATTCCTATTCCAAAGCCTGGTTACTGGCAGTATCTCATCTTACAGTCAAAACAATATTTTAAACAACATTCATATATACATGTGTTCGAATCTTATACAAGCATCGTGTTTTACTGACACATTCACGAATTGCCTTTGCATGCCTGATTAGCGGGTAATAATATGGTAATCGAAATGATGGGCAAAGCGGTAATATCTTCTGCTGAAAGAATGCCTCATCGCTTGCATACTCTTTAAAAAGTCAAAATTTTCTCTCTCTCTCTCTCTTGTTTCTGCAGACGGTGAGGATATCGAGCACCGCGACACGATTTCGGTTCTACAGAACCGCGTAGCGCAAGCCCTTCGTAGAGAGATCAGGTCCTCACTACGAGTTGACCCCGACGACACCTTCATGCAGCTCTTCATCGTTCTTCCCATGCTTCGAGAGATGAACGTTGCCCATCGCAACCTCGTCTCTAACTTCAAGATGAAGATGCCGGGGATGTTCAGCGATCTGCATCAGGAGGTCTTTGAGTAGGTTCTTGGAACTTCTTGCATGGTCCTTGGAACTTCTTGAATGGTCCTTGGAACTACTTGAATGGTCCTTGAAACATCTTGAATGGCCTTTGGAACTTCTTGAATGGTCCTTGGAACTTCTTGAATGGTCCTTGGAACTTCTTGAATGGTCCTTGGAACGTCTTGAATGGTCCTTGGAACTTCTTGAATGGTCCTTGGAACTTCTTGAATGGTCCTTGAGTTATTTGAGGATATACTCAAGCAGATTATTTCATTTTGTGTATTACCAATGAGGTCTTTGAGTAAACCGGTGGCTCTTTGAGTGAGTCATCCTCGTCACCATTTTGATTTCTCGGCACTGCCCCGAATTAGTGGCCGTCACTGGAAGTCATGTTTAACAAATGGAAAATTGAACCTCAGTCTAGATTCCTTTGTTAGAATTGACTAAAATTGGCCGAATTTTAGTAAAAAAAAACGGACGATCATATTTTTGTACCTGTGTTGTGTGTTTTTATCAGCTAAACCATAGCTGGAATTTGTGTTATTATGATCACTGCTTTATAGAAGATTTCATATACTGAAGGCAAAGAATGTTTGACCATATTTCTGGTTATCAAGGACCTAACCAAAACCACTTCTGTTGGTTTTAAGGTGTTTTGTTCAATTAAAATTATGGATGACTCATTGTCGAAATTCAGTTGACATTTCGTTATAAAAAATTACTATTCATTGTTTAACAATATAGATTTTTGATCATATTTTATGGTGTATGGGTTATCTCTTTTGTGGACGTTCCATGTATCAAATGCATAGTTCGTAATCCCCGCAACCTCTCTGAATTTCTATTTTATTATGAAATAATACACTCTCATTTCTTAACTATCTGTTCTGATAAAGAGTTAGGCCTATTCATGTTCCGTTTTCGGGGACTTAAATTTTAGTCCAAAAAGCCATTTCTTACCTGCAGAATGCTTCTGAGCCTTATTCAAACTGTGTTTTAATTGTGGACAGTCTACACTTTTATAATCTATTAATGTCTCAAATGTCCAATTAACTTTTGTTTAAACTCTTCGTAATGCGCGCTACAATATTTTGTAATGTTTTTTTATGATGTAATTATTTTGGAGAGTCCCTTCCCTTGCCTACTATAATAGCTTTTGCATTTAATTCAATGTTCACTTTTTAAACGTTTATTATTTATATAGATAGTTACAGTATAGTACTTAGCATTTCCATTTCGTGGGCCGACCAAAAAAGAAAGAGACCAAAAAGCAACAAAATAATGGTAACAGGATATTCTGTATCTTTTTCGGAGAAGTTATTTTGCCTTTTCCCTCGCATTAAGCCCAACACAAACTACACGATCGTCGTGCGATCCGATTTTCGAAGAAATGAAAATTGTATTATAGATAGGAAATCTAATCAAAATTCATCTACCTGAATTACCTTCTTGAAAATGATAAGAATACTAACAAACGGAATTGTAGTCCAATGAACTGTTTGAGTCGGTATGAAGGTCAGATCTGACGTCACTACGATTCTGAGCCGATTTAGTACTTATATTCCAACGAGGCAAGAAATCCCTTTATTTTCTGAATCATTATGACAGAAGATTTTACATGATTGAAAGTTCGTATCGAATATTATTGCAAGTTCTTTCAAAACCGGATCGTAGTGGGATCGTACAGTGTGCGGTGAACGTACTCTTTATCAGATTATAGGATTGGAAACCGACTTGTCGGAGCTGTTATTGGGTTCGATTGCGACATCGCCATGCAATTTACTAAGTGGTAGAGGAACCGACAATGATATTTACACTTTGAAGGCCTAGATCAAATGAAAAATTTACACATTATGCACATGTTGATAATATTTTTGAATGTATATATAGCCTAGTGGCAACTCATTTTACGATGGAAAACTAAAAAAACTAAAAATATACTGCTGATGAGAAAATAAATAAATGAATAACTTCATCATCTGCAACGCTGATGTATAAGTGTTGTGGTCTAGTGGTTAAGTCTCCAGACTCAGAACTACAAGGCCCGCAGCACAAACTTCCTTTGGCAAGACATTAATCTACATTTGCCACATTCGACACAGGTGAGGTAAATGGGTACCCGGCAGGACTAATTCCTTAATTTTTAAAATGTATAAATAATGCTAGAGCGCCTTATTGACAGCCTTGCTAAAGCGGTGGTTATCATTGTGGAGCGTGAGAGGGTCAACTCTGACAGATATGAGCGCTATTAAGAACCAGCTGTTGAAATCATTTTTATTATGCTGAATACTTAATTTTATGTAAAATATCTCTGGTTCAGTTATGTTTTGTTTTTAGATCGTACAGTCGCTGATTCGCACAGTGTAGAGCGTGTAGTTATAGACAATGTTTATTATATATAGATATATACGAAGATGTATAACTTGTAAATAAATCGTTCTAGGTCTTTTGAAGGTACTGTATAGTTTTTGGTCTTGTGAAGGATAAGATTTTCCATTTACGATCTGAAAGATTCTGTTTTACACATGTATATGATAATATAAACTGTTGATTTAGAGATCAATTAAGTTCATAATCGAACAGACGTAGAGTAACAATATCCTTAACAACTTGAAAAGCAAGTATAATGAGTTCACGTTTTTCCGTTTTTTGTTCTATTTTGATTACATTCTGAGGTGAACTTGTTTTTTATCACCAAATATGATTACTTTTGTTGCGAAAATTCAAAATACTGCTATTTCAAATTTGGTAAACGCGCCTTATTGTGCAGAGGTGTAATGATCTAGCCAGTGGATACGTCACTACTATGTGGATCACATGGTTCGTGGTTCAAGTCTTTTGGTTGAACATCGATCTACGTTTGCCACTCTCCACCCCGGTGTAGTAAATGGCTGACCCGTCCGAGGTTCCCTAAATGCTTTCAGCGCCTTCGATGAGCTGGGTAAAAGCCAATGTATAAACGTGGTACTGTTTAAAGGGCCTTGATCACCCATGTGAGAATATCATGCACGCCATACTAATGTAGGTACGATTATTTTCATTACTCTTTTAAGCAACAAATGGAACATAACGTGGGGGTGCATGCATGTGTAGGAATTCACCTTGTGAGTTGTGAAGCATCCCAATGTTCAGGTTTTCACAGACTATACGGTACCTTTGAATATCCTTTATCTTGTATATTCATTATTATGCACTTTAAAGTCAGGGTATGAGCATAGGGTATTGATAATGTGATATGTGTGTGAGCTTTAGGAAGTTTCAACTTTCCACGCCTGCGCGGTTTTGGCATATATTCAAAGTGAATTCTAATTTCTGTACATAAATGTGTGTGTGTTGTACGTGTATCCCAATCTCGGTGTAGTCTGTCCCTGCAGCTTATGAAAATCTTTTAAAGAATCAGATTATTCCGGTTCGACATTTTTTTAATTATACCAAATATTCTATTGATTGACTTATCAGTATTATGATAGTATTATGTTGCATGTGTGTGTTATATTAAGTGCATGTTTACAAGATTATCAACATACTGAGTTAATTCATTTCAGTATCAACGCAATTAGATCCCTTTCACTCTTCATCACACTTTATATGTTCTGATTCTCCTTTGTTTTCGTTGTTCTTTTGTCGTAAAATAGCCAAGTGTTCTTCTTTTTTTCTTTCGTTTTCCCCCCGTTTATCTTTTTCACAACCATAGTATTATTACGAATGGACATGTATACTCATAATAGCCCCCTATGTCCATTGCGATACCTTCATGACATGTATATAATACATTGGATAATCGTGTTTTGCATATGCCTTGTAAAATCATTGGAATTTTATATATTTGTGTGTTTCTAATTGCAATTTACTCATACGATATTTGAATTAGGAGTATGATATTGCAAACAAAATGTATTATTCTATCGCTTGCTAAATGTATTATTGATAATAGTTCATGATTCGCCCGCTTATATAGTGTTTAAGTAAATGCAGCTGTTTATATTATATACAGTGACGTCAGCTTATGCCCTTCTTATTAAAAAAACAAAAATGTTTTAACTGAATCCTTCTACAATGTGTATAGCCCCTCCCCACCCCCACCCCCCGACCCCATTCGCCACATCCTTAACGAAAACGATAGTCCACGACTCTTGTACTGTTTGACGTTTAATGATTTTCAAATCGATTCCTTGTGAAGGACACGCGATTATTGACATAATACCTTGTATATTATTTGTATATATTTTGGTAAATATTTAGGCCTTAACTTGAGATTTGATCAACTCTCAGAGTATTATCTTGACTTTGTGTATGACACAAATTACCGTGGTTCTTGTCAAGCCATGTTTACATAAATGTGATGGTTCTAAATTGTATCGCAAGTTTACGGTTGATGCTATTTTTATAACAATTTCATGGGGGAATTGTAGTTTTCATATTTCTCTTGGTAGTTCTAAATGTATTAGGTAGTTTATGTGATTTTTTTTCTAACTTGAAAGCTCCCATTTTTTGGCCACATTTTTTTTGTTGGTGATTGGATAATAAATAATTTTCAGTCAAAGATTGAAGTTTGTTTGTGGGATCGTTGATTGTATCATTGCCATTTTGGTTTCATTTTTTTAATGTAATTGAGAAGCAAAAATTGAATTCATAGGTAACCTGTTTTGAACTTAATGCAGTGTCCATGGTATCGATGTAACTCATGAACATGATCCTAACTAGTTACCAAAGATTTTAATAAAAATACCATGGGATAAATTTTGCAGTATGTTAGCCTTCTTCACACACAAAAAAAACACACATTGTATAAGAGTTATTCAATGAATTCCATTTAACTTTTTCAATGACTAACAAAATGTAAGAACTCCATTCAATTGTATTTGTTGTTTAATAAAAATGATCACATAACTTCAATTTAACTAAACAAATGTTATGTTTTGTACATGTATCTACTTCTTTCTTTGCCCTCCTTGCTATCGCTCTCTCTCTCTCTCTCTCTCTCCCTCTCTTCCTCACTTCCTCTCTCCCACACACGCGCCCCCACACATCCTTTCTCTCCCCCACGTCTCTCTATTTTCCTCTCTCGTTTTACCTATTTTGTTTCGTCATGTTCGTTTGTTCTTTGAGATTGTTTTTCTTCGTTCGTTTGTGAGCGTGTGTAAATTGGAGAAATTGTTCGACGGGAAACTGAACGGTTTATAACAATGGATACAGTGGTGAATTAAAAGATATGCTATATCCCCAAGTCTAAGTTTTCTTTACATCATTCATTTGTGTATCTGTTTCGTAGTAGTTACAAATAAGAAAAAAGCCAGCTTGGTCAATGGGTTCCGCGATCAATTCCATACCCTTACTTTAAGCCCCACTGTCCCACTGAAGCTACTTGTTCCCTCTATATAGAAAACTTCCCCAATCGGTGCCTGTTGGTCCCCCACGATCCTCTCTTTCTTATGTTAGTTGAGAGCTGAGTTAATGAGATAGCCACCTGCCAGTGACCTCGCTGTGTGGTCTAATCCCTTCTGGCCCAGTAGTGTTGACGGTCTTTAAAGGAACTTGGTAACATTGTTGAGATGAGAGAAAATGGTGCTAAGTTAGAGCCTTCAATGCAAGATGTACATTTAAGATAATATGACAGTTTGAGTGTAAACAGACCATTATTAATGAGAACAATTGAGAGAAAAAATAATTCTAGGCGAATGTTAATCGTCACAAAGCAATGAATTGGATCTGCATACCATTCCAAACATGTGTTGAAATAAATCAAAAAGCCTGTTATGTGTCCTATTTTCATGGAAAAACGGTTGGGAAAATTTAAAAAAATGGTTGGGAAAATGTACTGTTAGAGGGTGTCGCACAATGGCGCCTTCAAAGAAAACCATAGATATCTTTGTGGTTTGAGAATTTTGTCAGGGTCTTTTGCATGTTAGAGGGTTAGTAGGCCTACAGAAGAAGGAATAAAATAAGTGACATTTTATTTTAAAAATTACGCAGTTTTTTCATCAACCTTCAACAATGTTACCCGCACTTTAAAGAAGAAGGCCACCCTGATATTAAGTTGGTTGTAATAGAAGCATAACATTGAGAGTAAGCGATTTGAAATTTATTGAAAGTTATGAATATTCGAAGGTGCGATCAATTAATCACAAATTGGCGACTCACGGTGGCGCCCTGGCGAGCTCCCCTTCCCTTTGCTCTGTCTTAAATATTTTATTTTACCTCAAGAAAATTTTCAGTCCTACAATCACCCTTAATATAATATTTGCAGTTATGTTTTTAGACAACCCCTGTATGAAACAAATCTATTCCTTCATCAATAAATAAGAAAATGAAAATGTACGAAATTTTCTGAACATAGCCTTGAAGAGGAACTCGCAAGATACGTCAGTGTTGCCAATTTGTGTTTTACTTACAAAAACTCGAATACTGCTCAACACGTTCACTAATCTGTTTCTCCCTTTTTCAATTTTTATAAAAAACCAACTCGTCTGCCACAACCACGACGCTCGTTGCCCCCCCCCCCTCCCCCACCCCCACCATGGTCAGGTTCATGAATGCGCTTTTGGACATGTTGCACAACTTCTGTTGAGACTAGCTACCCTGCATAGCTTCGGAAGCATAGTGTCTAGAAACATTTCAAACTAAACTAAAACAGCTTCTTTTTACCCAAAACCACACTAATTAATTTTCGCATATGTTGTATATCATGTATGCAATTTTATTCCTAAACTATGATTATTGTAGCGCCTGATAACGATGATAATGAGATCGGCCATCGTAGAGGGCGAAATACAGCTTTCGAACAAATTGCCACTTGAGTGCACGGCTCCAGGCCAGCGTGTAAAAAAAATATTACCCCCTGGACATTCACCCCCGGATAACCACCCCAGTCAACTACCCCTTGGACAACTACCCCCCGGACAACTACTCTCTGGAAAAGTACCCCCTAGGAAAACTATCCCCAGACAAGTACCCCCTACGACAGCAATCCTCTATGACAACTACTCTAGGAAGTAGTTGTCCTAGGAGGTAGTTGTCTGGGGATAGTTGTACGGTGGTAGTTGTCCTGGGCAGGGGCGTCGCCAAAGGGGGGGGGGGGTGTGGGGGGGGGGGGGTGCGACACCCCCCCCCCCACCTGTCAGGATATTGTCGGTAAAATTGCGCTGCCGTCGGGAAAAAGAGAAAAGGGGAGGGAAAAAAAGAGAGGGAAAAAAAGAGAGGGGAAGGGAAAGAAAAGAAAAAAAGAAAAGGAAAAGAAAAGAAAGAAAGGAAAAGAAAGGAAAGAAAGGAAAAGAAAGGAAAGAAAAGAGAAGAAAGAAAGAGAAAAAAGAAAAAGAGGGGGAGAGGAAAGAAAGGAAAAGAAAGAAAAGAAAGAAAATGAAAACAAGAAGAAAAAAGAGTGAAAGGGAAACAAAAGAAACGGGGGATGAAAGAGAGGAGAGAGAGGGGAGGTAAGAGTCTGAGAGAGGAGGAGTGGGAGTAAAAGAGAAAAGGGGGTTGTTGGGTGGAGCGAGGGAGCAAGAAAGACACGGGTAAATATGTTGCTGTGTCGGGTCAGCTGTGTCGGTATTCTTGCTCGATCCTCATCAATGCATAAGTTTGAAGTCGGTGAGATGTATATTGTCGGTCGGCCGACAAGTTTTTTTCCCTACGAACTGCGACTTCTTAGCCGCTGTGACGACTTCGAGAGTGACTACAACTACAATTCTTGTATTTTCTCGAAGTTTCACTTTCCTATAATATCAGCTAAAGAAATCAGAGGTTTAAAATTTTCGGGGAAACTAAATTCAAACAAGGTTTAAGAGTCAACAACGGTACGACGAATCATTTTCCTTTCTTTATATTGTGATGAAACGCCAAAAATTCCGCGCTTCGCGCGGAAGGGGAAACTTTATTTAGACGAATCGAGAACGGTACAACGAATCGTCTTCTTTCTCTAATAATTCAAGGAAACGTCAAAGCTTCCGCGCTTCGCGCAAAAGTGGGAAATTGAATTCAGACAAATAGGGCTTACTTTAAGTCGAAAACGTTACAACGAATCGTGTTCTTTCTCTAATAATTTGAGGAAACGTCAAAGCTTTCGCGCTTCGCGCGAGAGGGGGAAACTGAATTTAGATGAATAGGGCTTAATAATAATAAGATTCGAAAACAGTATGAGGAATCGTCTTCCTTTCTCTATATTGTGATGAAACGCCAAAAATTTCGCGCTTTGCGCGGAAGGGGAAAACTTCATTTAGACGAGTCGAGAACAGTACGACCAATCGTCTTCTTTCTCTAATAATTTAAGGAAACGTCAAAGCTTCCGCGCTTCGCGCGAGAGGGGGAAACTGAATTCAGACAAAATTAATAGGGCTCATTTAGAGTCGAAAACGGTACAACGAATCGTGTTCTTTCTCTAATAATTTAATTAGGGGGAAACTGAATTCAGACAAAATTAATAGGGTTTATTAAAAGTCGAAACCGGTACAACGAATCGTGTTCTTTCTCTAATGATATGAGGAAACGTAAAAGCTTTCGCGCTTCGCGCGAAAGGGGGAAACTGAATTCAGATGAATAGGGCTTATTTAGAGTCGAAAACGGTACGACGAATCGTCTTCTTTCTCTAATAATTTAATGAAACGTCAAAACTTCCGCGCTTCGCGCGGGAGGGGGAAGCTTTATTCAGATTAGGATTAAGAGTCGAGAACAGTACACCGAATCGTCTGCTTTTTCTCATAATTTAATGAAACGTCAAAGCTTCCGCGCTTTGCGCGGGGGGAATACTGAATTCAGAAAAGGATAAACAGTCGAGAATGGTACAGAAAATCGTCTTCTTTTTTTAATAATAATTTAATGAAACGTCAAAGCTTTCGCGCTTCGCGCGGGAGGGGGGGGGGGGAAACTTCATTCAGCCTAGGATTACCAGTCGAAAACGGTACAATCCTAATAATTTAAGGAAACGTCTAAGCTTCCACGCTTCGTGTGGGAGGCCTAACACCGACACCCCCTAATGAGCGCGCTTCGCTTGCTCACTACCGCCCCTCCCTAAAATAAGATCCTAGCTCCGCGCCTGCATTAAGATATATAGCTATGATGCTGACTAAATTTAAGAAATAATTCGTATATTAATGTCGTCGAGGAAAATGACCATTTTGCGCATATGCAAGTACTATAGATAGTCCATAGGAAAAACAATTTAGCCTTCGGCCCCAGGTTTATAGAGTTGACTTTGTAGATATTGGAAATTTAATTTTGTCGGTAATTGGTGGCTACTTTTGTCGGTAATCGTTGGCCTCTACACCCCCCCCCCCCCCTCCCACTGAAAAGTATAGCGACGCCCCTGGTCCTGGGGGTAGCCGTCCTAGAGGGTGGTTGCCCTAGGTGGTAGTTGTCCTATATAGGGGTAGTTGACTGGGGTGGTTATCCGGGGGGGGGGGATTTCTCCAGGGGGGGGGGGGGGGGGTAGGTGTCCAGATACGGAGTGCAACATGTACGTGTCCACGTACGTACCGGAAACGGGAATCTCCTTTTTGGCTTTTAGAACAACAGAAAATAAAATAAAATAGTAATACAACAAAAAATAGAGCATTTGTGAAAACTGCAGCTTTCTTATTTACAGACACAAGGTGGCGAGAGAGAGAGAGAGAGAGAGAGAGAGAGAGAGAGAGAGAGAAAGAGAGTGGGGTAGGGGAGAGAGAGAGACAGAGAGAGAGAGGGGGAGAGGGGAAAGAGAGGGGGAGGGGAGAGAGAGAGAGAGAGAGAGAGAGAGGGGGAGGGAGAGAAAGAGAGAGAGAGAGAGAGAGGGGGGGGGGGGATCGCAATGCTTCTATAGTTTATCTATTTGGTTACGAGAATTTCAATTTCTGCACTTATCCTCAACAACATATTGTTGCTATATGTAAACTTTCAGATGACTAAAATAAGAAAAGAGAATATACAATCATGATGTTGAATGAACACATTTTCTTTCATTTTATTTTATGTTAACAATATATCATTTTTGCTTGTTAAATTTCTAAAATACAATATTTTAAATTGATGACTGTTCCTGCTCATTATAATGTATATACACTGTATCACAAAATAATAGGCAGCCCTATCTCACGAATTAGGTCCAAAAAAAAAAAAATAGTGGTCCCCCCCCCCCCCCCCGGCTTATTCACTGGCTAACTGAGTCGGCGCAAAATATTTCCTGAAAAATTGGACCAAAAAATGCCTCCTACCTCCTTTCTCTGTTTTGTCTGATTTCGTTCAAATTTTCACCAGTCTGATTTCGTTCAAATTTTCACCAGTCTGCTTCTCTTATTTTCTGCTTTCTTTCAGAGTTTTTTGCTCTGAAGGTTTGGTTTCCCTTTAATGCTGCAAAATTACAAGGCACGCATGAATATATAATTATGCGAACTGAGTAACAGAAAGAGAGTTGGATGGTGGAGAAAGAGAGTGATGGGATATATCGTATTCAAAGAATAAAGAAGTGTCTTAGAGGAACACAAACAAATATATAAGTGTCATATAATTTATGTATATTATCTTACATCTATAATAAAGCTCTTGTTTACGAACAGAAATGTTTACACCCAACATGTATTTACATCATAAACGTACAGAATATTCATTTAAAATATTGATTTCTGTATGAAGCAGTGATCATTTTCTTTCCTAAGTCAGGATATTGCTTTACTGTACACATTTACACGTAGTATAAAAAAGAATAATCATGGCACACACACATCTAAGCAATTACAGAAAACATAGTGATCAATTCCACCATCTGCCTCTGTCTGTGGTTTTATAACATCCGGACACGAGTTGTATTCACGTAGATGAGTTACATGCATATAAAATAAAAGCAGGTCAAATGAAGATGGGGTGGAAGGGGAGACGGAGGATGATAATGATGTGGCTTAAAAGAGGGAAAAAATCACAGCAAAGTAAAAATGAATATGCCAATGGAGTAGTTTAGAGGCACAAAACTTTGTCAGTCATGGCGCATAATTGATAGCGGTCTTGTGGTCTATTGGATACGTCACCCAACTGCAGGTCACAAGGTACGGGTTCAAATCCCAGCTCAACACTAACGTCCTGTGGGAAAGACGTTAATCTACATTTGCCAATCTCCACCTCCGTGTTGAATGGGTAGTTTGCTCAGCATTGTGAGCGTCTGTAGAATGACGGCTGGCTGGAATGCTCCCAGGGAGTGGAGAATGTGCATACATTGTGTGCGGGTAAGCCTGAATTTGATGTTGCTTAGAGATGCTGAACTATGAGAAGTCTGTCATATATTCCTGCTTACTTTTGACATACCGGTAACCACAAGCCAGAGACCGACAACAATATGATCATGTAAGCCACAAATATGTTTAAACTATTAAAAAATATACCATGGTACAGTGTATTCTGTTCAGGTGTCAACAAAATTATAGTTTGCGCTTGGAGACTACCATGAGAGTACGTGCACCACTATACCATCTGTCTAGAGCCAGAAGTGGGTTTAAACTTGTGTGTTGAAGTATTTGAGTTGAATTATTGGTTGTCAACTGAATTGCATGTACACAGTTAATAAGCATGTACATGTAGTCAGCTGTTCAAATAGGGTGAGCAATGAGCTCAGAAAGATTCACCAAATATTGGTATTATCCCTGAACATTACAAAGCTAAATATATTGAACAAGTCTGATTCACATTAGATCATCGTATACATGATAATTATGATAATAATGATGATAATGATAAAAATAACAACAATATAAATTTACCCTGACAGGTACAGAGTATATGATACCTTCGTACCCACCAGGTTATTGAAGAGGTCAAGCTGTAAGGTCAAGTATTAAGTAATCATTTACAGTTGGACCAAAGTTGATGTTCCCTAGAGTTGTTCTACCCTGCAGTCTACATGGCACATTATTCAATATTGCAATTTCCAATTGAACTTCTATCCCTGATTTCTTTACCATGATAAGACTTTTAAAGGGATAGTTGATTTCTTGATCAAGACTGCAACTGCTTTCAAAGTGCATGATTGTTGCTCTTATTCTGATTTATGACATTTCTAGTGCCGTTTTAGAACCTAAAATTGCTATGAAGGTAATTTTAGACCCCATACATAATGTGTGAAATTTCGATTGAATACGGTCATAACAATTCAACTCCACTTAAAAATATGGTGACCGTTAATTAATCAATTAATTAACTTTAACAATACACAGGCCGGCTCATTGTGCGTATTATAACCATCACAAAAATCCAACAAAAAGCCAATATTCATTGGCATTGGCTGGAATAAAACGTATAAGTTTAAGGCGCTATCTCGTTTTTCAACAGCTGGTTTCAAATCACTGAATATTTGTGGGACACTGGTCATAAATATTATAAATTGTTATATTTATGGACATCTCAGCCGTCTCTGAACCAATTTTGATCAAAGAAAGATGATTTTGTCATTTAAATTGTATATTTGTTCAAATTTGGCACTTTTCAGTTTTTCGTTATCTCACAAACAAATTATTTTGTGTAGAGCCCTTTGCAACAAAACTCAACTATCCCTTTAAATATGGTGATCAATGGTACACAAATCTTGTATTTCAGAATCAAGATAGCAGATGGAATTATCACTGTGACCTGGTAAATTCTCATCTTTTACAAAGACATATACAGGCATTATTTGTAGAATTAGTTTAAACGTCATTTTTACCAGTTTGTGAATACATCTTTATTACAAGTACATACAACATGTAAGTACTATATTTTTATCATTAACCTTTCAGAAGCAATATTTACTGTTATCAGTAAGGTCACAATCATGTGTTAAATACTTCGAAAGCCAAACTTAAAGTGCACCTTGAGCTCTGGTAAACGACTGCAAATACATCTGGACAATATATGTACACATGTACGTTGTAATAAATAGAATGGACCTAATTCAAAATGCTTATACCACTAATAGGAACAGAGTACATACCATATTTTGTACGCAAATGTTGTCAATGACATTTGTCATCATTCGTTAAGTATAATTTTTTAGACAGCTTATAATAGTACATTGTATGCGCCTTTTTCCACCCTGCTATACACCCTGTACATCATGTACATCATTACAGATTTACACATAATGAAATAGTTACCTATCTATCACACAATTTTTGGCACTTCTATTTAAAATATTCACATGTACACTGTACAACTGTTACATGCGCTTGATTCAAATTATTATCATCAAAATCTTTCATACTTTAATATTACAGGCTATTTTCTATCTAAGGGTATGTACATTTATGATTGCACACTGCTTTGCTTCTTGTATTCACTGAGATGTAAGAGATGTTAATTCTTTAATTTTGAATAATGCTTACATACTCTCATAAATGTCAGTTGTAGGTTGCAACACCTTACAAAATGGACTTGAGGTACAATGCAATTGTTACCTGCTCTGTGCCACTACAAAGTTGACAAACTCTTGTAATTTTTCATGAATTATTTTTCAGTCCTTAATCAAGTATGGGTAAAAACTCTTATTTGGTTCATCTTAAAATGTTTTCCTTTAAATATTTTGCGTAGGAATAACATTCACAATGAGTTAATCTGTTTCTACGTTAGGAAAAAACTGATAGACATACAGTGGAATTTAGAACAATAATAACACGGATTAATGTCACTGAACCAATTTTTTTTGTCTGCTATTGTTTTTGATACAATATACAGGGCTCCACATTATCTTTTATCTTTTGTGGAAGCACGTCCGGATTGAACGAAACATCCAGGTATGTAAACATGTTTAAACTGTTGGGCCCAGATTTTGGGCACCTACAAACTGTACACTGTGTCATGGACACCTGTTAGTGTGTCTGTCAAGCCTGCTACTCTACAAAGACCACCTGTCTAAAAAGCCCACATGTATTTTTGTTTCCCTTGGAAATGGTTTCTCATTGAAACATGTACTAAAGGAACCTGTATACAAAGACCCCTTTCTGTGTTTCCCTTGGGCGGTTGCTATAGACAGGTTTGACTACATGTACATACATGTACAAGGTAATTTCCTAGGTGTAAAGGGGTATGTTAGAACTGTTGGGCCCAGATATTGGGCACCTACAAACTGTACACTGTGTCATGGACACCTGTTAGTGTGTCAAGCCCGCTACTCTACAAAGACCACCTGTCTAAAAAGCCCCCATTTTTGTTTCCCTTGGAAATGGTTTCTCATTGAAACATGTACAAAAGGAACCTGTATACAAAGACCACTTTTTGTGTTTCCCTTGGGCGGTTGCTATAGACAGGTTTGACTACATGTACATACATGTACAAGGTAATTTCCTAGGTGTAAAGGGGTATGTTAGAACAAGGTTCTACTGTACTTTGTAGACAAAGTATTTACCTGAAAGGATTAAAGATAAACTCCAGTACTGGTAAAAAAAAAATTAATTAATTCTCACAGAATCAAACGAAACTTACACTGAATGTTCAAGATTACAAATAAATGACATGTGCCAAACAATTTTGGAAGAAAATGTATACTGGCTGAGTAATGAGCATAGAAAGACAAGGAAATCAAGGTAGTACTAGCCCCGACACCATGTGTGTTGTCCCATATATAGCTTTCTATGTGAGTGCTTGTTACTTTACCAAGACTCGGTCAAATTTATTATGATTTTGATGACTCCAGAACCTTGCAGTGCACACCAATACTTACATGCTACATGATCAACTGTTTCTGATCCTTTCCACACCTTTTATTTCACAATGCAATCGCATTACCAGTACTAAAGTTTATCTTTAAGATGGCTCTTTGAGTGCCCTCATATATTTGAAATAGGACATGAAATAGCTACCGGTATGTGGAGTGCTGCAAACACACTCCCATGCCACATGAATGTGTAGTCCCCTTCGCAGAATTCACAAACATTTCATGCACAGGAAAGTCTCTGGTTTAAGAATTAATGAAATTTGCTAAGAAAATTCACTCCTCACCGTTTTGCCAGGCATGCAGCATTTCCTTAATATTGATGCATTATCACAAAACTCATGAGGACCATTAAACTGTCCCTTTCTTTAAATGTTTTTTAAAACTGTACTGACTTTAAAAAATAAATCTCTTTGGTTAATAAGAGATATGGTTTGGGAATCAGGGGCGACATTGTGAAAAATACTTTAATTTTGATTTTCATAAAAGTATATTTTAATTGTCAAAATTAATCAAAATCAGTGGAGATCAATGTAGCTGGCAGCATCTGTATATATGCTACAGTGTTGTTAAGAAAGACATCTGCGAAAGTAATAATAATAAGTTTTTTCCTGTGTAATTTTACCCGGCCTATTAAACCTGCTTCTCACTATTAAACATACCGTAATGATAACTTGTAGTTTCCAGAATATTATCCCTGAAAATACAGAAGAGAAAACAAACAAGCAGTCACACTGTATTCTAATCTCGTAAGTACAAATCGTCCTCTTCGTCATCTTCAAAGTAGTCCAGCTCCTCATCGTTGCAGGTGCCGTTTGATTGGTGGAGAGGGAGCTCTTCGTATCTCCTGCCATTCATGCGCTTCCTGTGCATCTGACGTTTGCCTCGAAGGTGTTTGGGTATCATAGCTAGTCTCGTTTTCAGGAGCTCTGCAACGTGACAGCAAGTGACAGGAAATAAAAGTTTGTACAACATACATGTACATGTACAGGGCTTAAATTAATCCAAGGCCACTAAGGCCATGGCCTCAATGCCCCTTTGATTGGTCTCAATGCCCCTCTCATTGGCCTTGGAGATTTTGCGTGCCCTTTCCAATTCTTCCTATTTGTGCTGTAATATACATGTAGGAATGTGCCCTACAGAAAAGTGGCCTTGCCCTAAAAATATTGAAATTTAAGGCCTGATCACAGTGTATGTTCCTGCGGTTAGTTTCCTACCTTAGGCCTAACCTAAAGCTCAATTGCAACCCTACATGTACATGTACATGTAACCCTTACAGACCTACACATTAAATGAAATAAGCCCAGAGCAAGTGTTGAATCACTAGAGCAAGTGTTGAATCACTAGAGCAAGTGTTGAATCACTGGAACAAATGTAAGGACTAGTTTAATTGATTTCTAAGTTGATTTCTACAGAAAATGTAGTTTTATCCTATAGGTGTATCTTCCTGCTCCCTTTATATTGGCCAACCTTGTTATTATTATTTTTATTTTTTTTGACAGGTAAAAAAATTAATCTGAGCAAATTAAGAGGATGGGGTGAGAAAAGGACTAATATTGAGCCATTTAAAACTTCTTTTAAAGCCACACAGTACTACTTGTAGCTATTTGCTCCCTCTACCTAGAAAACTTCCACAATCAGTGCCGGTTGGTCCCCCATGATCATCTTTTTCTTATAAAATGTTAATTGAGAGCTGAGTTAATGAGATAGCCACCTGTCACAGTGACCTCGCTCGGTGGTCTAATCCGTTCTGGCTGAAATAGTACAGCCGGTCTTTAAGCAATTGTTCATTGTTGATTATAGATGATAGAACTTTTCTAAAAGATTCATGTCAAAATAACCCCCAAAGACATAAATTTGCAATTGTGGATGAAAATTGAAATAGAGAATATCAACTACCACAACCCTCTCCTCCTCATCCTCCCCCCCCCCCCTTTTTTTTAAAAAAGATATAAACTAGTAATCAATTTTATAGCTTTTTTTATATGTTACTGTACCAGCAAGTCTGTCATGAATATATTTGCCATTTCCGATTCCGGTTTGTATTGTACTTTTGATGGTACATGTAGCTCTGGAATACAGAACATTGTCAAATTTTTCTCCTGCAGTGAAACATTGGTATAATGAGATCTGATAAATGTTTCTTTTATAACAAAATGACTGCTGTTACCATTTCTATTTATCCTTTGTTTTTTTTTAACCCTGATATAACAAGATTCCTACATATTTCCTTGGTCCCAAGGACCTCGTTATAAAGAGTGTTCCCTGTATGTCATACATGTAGGTGTACACAAGAAAACATTGTACAAAGAAATTCAGTACAAAGAATCACAAACAGTAAACATAGCCCCACTCAGTCTCAGTAATCATTTAATCGTGCAATCAAATAGCGCTGAAGCCACTGATAACGTACAGCGGATGGACCCCATTTCTTATCCGAATTTTCTTTTAAAAATTGAAACAATGCTCAAATCTCTGATTTGCTACACTGTATACTTTAGGTTCTGCTACATTTCACAATTTAGCAGTGGAAAAAATTAATGACTAATCACACAGTTATAATGTACAGTTACAGTTTATCTTTAAAGCTGTTGTACAGATTTTCGGGTTTGAATAAGGTTTGTTTACTGCTGCCCATCTTAAAATCTTTTTTTTTAAATCTACATGTAAGAAAGGATACATGTACATGAACATGTATAATTTATATAAACTAAATCTTGTTTCTTTCAACGACCAAAAAAAGAAGAAAAAAGAAAAGAAAATGGCTTCAACAAGATAAAACTCACCTGCTATATTGATTCTCGGGTTTGGGTCGGGCGGCAGGCTACTATCGAGAGGGAAACTCATCGGGTTGCGCTTCTTCCATAATCCAGTGTACAGCACAAAGAATGTGAGTATACTCAGGAGAAACACCATACTGGCCAGCGCCCATGACGCATCAGACGTCCAGTGATAGGGGAGACGGGACGCGTAGCACTGCACACCGTCGCAGGAAGCATTGCTCTCTTCAATCACAGCAGCATCTGTTGTTGGACTCTCCTCCGTACCTTGTATCCGCGAGGTGTGTGCCTTGACCGTTTCCTTCTTGGAGGTTGTAGTTTTTGGACTAGCCTCAGTACCTTGTACATGTATCTGCGAGGTGTGTGACTTGACTGTTTCCCTCTTGGAGGTTGTAGGTGTTGGACGCTCCTGAAGGGGAACTGTTGGTGAAGTCCTAGAGGAAGTCTTCTGTGAAAGTGTAGTTATGACTTGCTGTACTGTAGTTGAAATACTTGGGAGAGAGGTTTGTGGTTTCTGAGTTGTAGTCCCAGGTACTGTTGTTTGAGTCCTTGAAGAGGAGGTGCTTTTTGGTAGCGTGCCGACTGTCTTCGAGTCAGTCTGCTTATCACTTTCACTTGGGGTGTCTTTAACGGAAGCATTAGTATCACCCTGAGGGTTTGTGGCAGGAAGGTTTTCAGTTGTCAAGGTTCCATTTTCGGGTTCATTCTTACCCGCTTCTCTCTTCACTAAATGTCTGTGTTCATCAGTTCCAACATTAGAAATTGAACCACCAGACTGATGAGACCTGCTCGAATCGTCTCCTTCCTGAATGTCATTCTTATGAATACTGAACGGCTTCTTCTCAATTAAAGATTCTGGTTCCTCCTCTCTGCCTCTGAGCTTCAGTTCTTTCATTTCATCTTCAACATGGATGCTCTTTGTTCTTTGATTTTCATGAATAAACTCATTTTTGTGTAAAGGTTTGTCAGCTGCAAGATCATTAGTCAAAGACTTGTTCAATAGCTTTCTCCATATGTTGATAAGGGCTGAAAGACTGGTTTTTGCTTGTTCTTCAGAATGTCCTGTAAATTCATCCGGCTTAAACCGCAGTACGTCATCGTTTAAGAGGTTGGTCTGTCCAGATATCTACAAATCATTAAGAACATACAATAAGAATAAATTAATTACAATTTTGAGAATATCTGGTCTTAAAATGATGATTTCTAGACCCTTATCGGGAAGTTGATAATTTTTCTGAACGGACGCAAAACCAAACGACTGCAAAATTTGCAGAGCTTTTGTCAATATTTTCACAATTTCAAACCCAATCCCAAAGAAAATTTCAACTCTGAGTAATTTTACTTCCTCTTTCCTTGGTGATATCACATTTTTGAAATCTTACCAATTCTTGAGATAGCGAACTTTGGTCACACCACCACAGTAAACGGAATATAATAACTAACATTTCATACAAAAAGTTAGACCGAATTTTCCGTCTCTTTCGTTCGTTAGCCTCTTATTGGGGTAGGGTCGGCTCTCTCTTTAGAGACCGAAACAGACTATCCCGCGAAATGTGTAGGGTTATGTGGGCAAATCAGCACACCAAACTTGCAAAACTTATCCCCGAATTACTCCTTTCACAGGATGCATATCCGATGCATTTTATATTGTAAATTAGGTTGAAACTTAACTACTTCAGTTCCACTTACCAACTTGACTGAAATAATCCGTTTAATGGTCCATTTTTAGGAAATTATGGGTCAAAATCGATATACATGATAAAAATCTTGCAGCGGGCGTTTAAACTCTCGCTGCGCATGACGTCATCTAAATCTCATCCCTTCTAGTCTACGCCGAAGGCAAAATGATTATAACGGAAAACTGTACACGAGCGACGAGTTTGTAATGACATGCACAGTTTTTCCGTTATAATCATTTTGCCTTCGGCGTAGACTAGAAGGGATGAGATTTAGACCACTTTCTCACTGAATGCCCAAAGTACATAATAGAAAGAGCTATGTTACTCGTAGAAACTGATTTATCACATCCACAGGAAATCATGACACTACTTAAACTTTCAGAAATAGTTAAACAAAAAGCAATAGTTCGCTTCGTTTTAAGAACAAAGCGGCTGTATCAAAACAATTAAATTGTTGTTGAGGTTTTTTTTTTTTTTTTTTTTTTTTTTTTTTTTTTCTTCTTATCTTCTCTTTTCCTTTTTCTTGCACCAACAAAGCCCACAATACTTGTAACTAATTTGACCATTTACTTTTTCTAACAATTCGGTGATCACCTCCAATATCACATGCTAGCTGGCACCCCCTCACCTATGCCGGAGTGACCTAGGTTAAAACCGAAAGTCTGCGAAATATACCTCAAAGACTGGTAAGATGGCATTTTGAAAAGGGTGGGGGTAAGTGCGAAGTACACATGTGCATACGTGAGGTGATATTTGAACGCGCACGTGCGCGTAAACACAAGTACGTACGTTTAGTTTTAGTTTATAGGCGTTTTTCATTCACAACTTGCTAGGCCGTCGTCTCTTTCCAAAATTATTAATTTATTGAATTTTCTCTCTAAAAAAAAGTTATAGAGTCTAAAAAGAAAAAAAGAGGAAGGAAAGAGGATGGAAAGAGAAAGAATCCTAAAAATAGTCATTTATGACATGAAATTGTACATATATGTATATATATATAAATAATTCATAAAATAGTGTGTGGCAAAAATAGTCAACTGTGACTGATTGCCAAACAAAAACAAATCAAGAAGAAGAAAGAATAGATGACGTCATGCGCAGCGAGAGTTTAAACGCCCGCTGCAAGATTTTTATCATGGATATCGATTTTGACCCATAATTTCCTAAAAATGGACCATTAAACGGATTATTTCAGTCAAGTTGGTAAGTGGAACCGAAGTAGTTAAGTTTCAACCTAATTTACAATATAAAATGCATCGGATATGCATCCTGTGAAAGGAGTAATTCGGGGATAAGTTTTGCAAGTTTGGTGTGCTGATTTGCCCACATAACCCTACACATTTTGCGGGATAGTCTGTTTCGGTCTCTAAAGAGAGAGCCGACCCTACCCCAATAAGACTCTTAAGAGGCTAACGAACGAAAGAGACGGAAAATTCGGTCTAACAAAAAGTATGCAGTTTTTTCATCAACCTCCAATAAAGTTACAGAGTCACTTTAAAGGAAACATCATCCCCAAAGAATAATCTTTAGTAGACTAGTGTGCATTTTACTTTCTTTCAACTTCAAGTTTCATTCATTTTTTTCCTTCTTCAAATTCACTTCACTCAATTTTGGCTTTTGCCATAATCATAATGAACAGAGCCTAACATAACAAGGAGGAGCCCTGTAATACTAATGTATTTGTTTGATACACATCGAAATTTACCAATTCCAAAATATTGTAGTCACGAACATTGAACTTGGAAGTGGAACCACTCGGAGCCGCAGTGGATCTATCCCCGTAGCTGTTTTGAGCGTGGCTGGTGTCGGGGAACTCTGGGCGTCGCTGCCCCCTCTCATCGCCCGTAGCTGTAGAACATTGCACTTCACCAAATTGTAAAATACCCACGATTAACATGATCAAAACAACTGAAACCAGCAGCAGTGGATTTTTGCCACCAGGATCAAAGTTGATGTGACATTTCATCCTAGCACAATACATTGTCACACAGTTTTTTAAGTCTCAAACCTCTTGTTGTTCACTGACGACCGGACGAAAGTCTCTCGATCCATCGCAAAATGACGCACTCAGATTACCGTACCGTACCGTACCGCACCGTGCATGCTGCTGCTGTACACCACGTATACCGTATACGTTCATGCAATGCACGTCGTCAACACGTCCACTTCGAGCTGTGGTGTCATCTGTACACATTTCGCTGCTACAAGGTTGCGATGAAAAATATTATTGTTCGGTGCATATATACTCTGAGCGAAATATTTAGTTTGATAGTAAATTGTAGACCTTTAATTAAAAGAATAAACTAATTGTGTTCATTCATTACAAACATTAAATTTGTAATTACATTATTAATATTTTAAAACGTAAGTTTTCATTATAAAAAAAATACTAAATCTTGTAATTGAATTTTTAAAAAATCGTTTAAATGATCGAGTCTTAACGAAAAGACCACAAAAAGAGGGAGGAGGCTCTGCTAGCTACTCCAACCATAACCAGAAGTACTTGTTTAATTCATAATTTCAAGATATTTGTGAGTTTTCTTTCGATATGTATATTTTCTACATTTAGTATCCGTACTTATATCCACTTGAAATATTGAATTTCGATGTAGATCTAGCGACTTTTTTTCCCAGCCCATGATTTAGTTTACTCAATTTCTCTCTGTCAACTCGCGAACGCGATAGCGAACACCGCTCAGCTCACACATAGGTGCATTACTATCCTGGCTGTGTATCAACAAAAGCTTTGCTATTGATTCTCAACATTTCAAACACCACTGTACAAAACTAAACTGATTTCACTAAAAATCGGTAATTTAATGACGATTGATGACACCTAAATAGCAGTAAAATATAATTTTTCAACTTTCCGATGTGAAAAAGAATTTAAACAAATTTAAATTGGGAGTCCATTGTCAAACTTGACGACCAGGTAGTATCAGCCGCATCGGCATGATTGTGTGCATCTCTGTGTTGTGAGTGTATTGACTATTCATGTATTCAAATGCTGCCTATTAACACGTAGTGCAGTGCTAGAGGTCAATACGCATTAACATTGACTCTCTATGCTTTGCTGGAGTGGCTCAAGCTCAAGCTCAGTCTCAGAATTCGGAAGTCTTCAGAGTTTGACTGTGTCTGTGACAATTTCGGAAGTGTCGAATTTGGGATGGTAGTTGGTGTAGATCTATGCGTGTCTGAAGTCTGTTGTCTAGATGTTGGGCGTGCACATTCAAGTTCAACTGCAGTTTGCTCCTTTCTTTGCTTACTTTCAAGTTTCAACCATATCAACAGTACTCAGTAGGGCCTAGGCTAGACCGAATTTTCCGTCTCTTTCGTTTGTTAGCCTCTTATTGGGGTAGGGTCGGCTCTCTCTTTAGAGACCGAAACAGACTATCCCGCGAAATGTGTAGGGTTATGTGGCTAAATCAGTACACCAAACTTGCAAAACTTATCCCCGAATTACTCCTTTCACAGGATGCATATCTGATGCATTTTATATTGTAAATTAGGTTGAAACTTAACTACTTCGGTTCCACTTACCAATTTGACTGAAATAATCCGTTTAATGGTCCATTTTTAGGAAATTATGGGTCAAAATCGATATCCATGATAAAATCTTGCAGCGGGCGTTTAAACTCTCGCTGCGCATGACGTCATCTAAATCTCATCCCTTCTAGTCTACGCCGAAGGCAAAATGATTATAACGGAAAACTGTACACGAGCGACGAGTTTGTAATGACATGCACAGTTTTTCCGTTATAATCATTTTGCCTTCGGCGTAGACTAGAAGGGATGAGATTTAGATGACGTCATGCGCAGCGAGAGTTTAAACGCCCGCTGCGAGATTTTTATCATGGATATCGATTTTGACCCATAATTTCCTAAAAATGGACCATTAAACGGATTATTTCAGTCAAATTGGTAAGTGGAACCGAAGTAGTTAAGTTTCAACCTAATTTACAATATAAAATGCATCGGATATGCATCCTGTGAATTTGTGAAAGGAGTAATTCGGGGATAAGTTTTGCAAGTTTGGTGTACTGATTTGCCCACATAACCCTACACATTTCGCGGGATAGTCTGTTTCGGTCTCTAAAGAGAGAGCCGACCCTACCCCAATAAGAGGCTAACGAACGAAAGAGACGGAAAATTCGGTCTAGGCCTAGGCTAGACCAAAAGCTTCAGTCTCTCTAATCGTCGGTTGTTCCACTGAGACTACGTCTAGCTCCACTAGACCTCCGATTATAGAGACTGAAGTTTGTCCTATCGGGACTGTACGGAACCAATGGTTCGGTTCGGTTCGGTAGGACCGCGATGAATGAGATATGCAACAAGCTTTTCACTCTTTACATCCTCATACATGCTGCAATATTACAATAATTAGAGTCTAATTAAAAATGACATATATATAGCTTATTTGACTTACGGTAGCTTGCTTATTTAGATCCTAAATTAATGATTAATCCGAGAAAGTCTCGTAGTCAACTAACTCCGTTGTCAGCCATCTTGGTTCTAGTTGATGGATATTCATTTTTTTCTTTTCGAACGTTCAATAGCTACCGTAGCTACGTACGAGTCATCTTGGCTTGACCATCGAATACCCACAAAACGAGTGCTCTGATTGGCCATTGGCTATGTTTGGTAGGTTGACCCGGAAATATATCGGCCGCCGGGTCATATAGCTCTACAGTGTATGTTCGAGTGCATGAACGTACTGTTTCACAGTTCTGAGATACAAATTGGATAATTCATATAAGTAAGTCCGTAAATTATGCATTTGATATTAAGTTATCAAATTTTAATAACTGTAATTAGGACAAATGACATACCAACCTAATTTACATCTGATTTAGAAATCAGAAAATCGGGGAGAAAATGTCGGGAACGAAAAGATGTTCCACTGTGGCTCTACATTACCTCCACGGTACGAGATCTCTGTAGTACCGTCTGTATATGGGGAATGTCAACAAATGTCAGTTTTATTAAAGAAATAACCCATATCAGACGGTTATTTCTGTCTAGGCCTAGGCCTAGGGCGCCGCGCTGCTCTGAGAATGAGGATCGTCCGCATAAACAAGGATAAATAGCGTCCTAAAAATAAGGATTTTTTTTTCCTCGGCACTCTGTGGGTGTTAGGGTTCCCTATCCGCGCGCTGGCAATGCAAAATTGAAATTACCCCCAGTTCAACGTCTACTTTTAAAGGTTGTCTGTCTTCCCAAGCCAAGGATATATTGTTCATAACGTGAAAGTCTCTGTGTTGCATAAGTGAGAAATAAATCGTGGAGCATCATCCAGGAATTTGTTTTTCGCATCGCCAACGAGCTGATCGATAATATAATTATAAGGTCAAGGATCGTCCACAAAAATGCAGACAATCCTTATTTTTTAGGAAGCGATTTGTCAATGTTTAGAATGGATATATCCTTGTTTCTGTGGACGATCCTTTTTCTCGGACTAGCGCCCCTACTGTTCAATCAAGAGATTTCTAATTAGTGTAAAATTGCATGGGTTGCCGTTGGAACTCTGGAAGTGTCACTAAATTCTCGCTATCGCCAATATTGGCAATTAAAAATGCTTGTTAGTTACGTTCTGGGCTTCAGGCACCATTTCAAATGCACACTGAGATAGTTTGGTGGCTAAGTCACTTCCGATCTATTTGACGTGGCTGGCGCTGTGTGGGCTGCTCATGCCGGCTTTGATTGTGACTTGTTTACTGACAATAATCTGTGAAAGAGTGATCCATCACGATTTTCAAGCAATTATAAGTACCTGTGGCTGTACTGCAAGAGGCGCAGTATGAAACTACACATACATTGTACTTGTACATGCACTCAGTGCTCAGCACGCATGTAAAATCCATTTTCGACAGTGCAGTGATATGTTTTTAAACACATCATAATCGTCATTATACATTAAATTTTGATTTTTACTTCTAGGTTGAGTGAAATCCTATCAAAATGTCGGATTCCAAGTACTTCACCACGACGAAGAAGGGAGAGATCTACGAGCTGAAAGCGGATCTCAACAGCGATAAGAAAGAGAAGAAGAAAGAAGCCGTGAAGAAAGTCATTGCAAGCATGACAGTCGGAAAAGATGTCAGGTGAGCAATCGTCAAGTACAATCGTTCTCCCTTTGGGCATGCTGGGGTTTTTAAGAATTGCTGAATGAAAAAAAAGACAAGGACAGAATTAAACCTTCAGTAGATTATGAAGCCATTGTATATAATTTGAAGTTTTATCCAGACCTCCTGTGAAATAGTTCTGTGGAATATTTCAACCCTGCATTAACATCACATGCACTATTCTTTGTCGAAAGTAAACTGATGACATGAAGTTAACTCACCTGTTATAATTAAGTACAGACTAGCAGCTATATACAGTATGTTTTTTCTTCTTCATGAATCATAGAGTCTTGAAATGTGCCTCTTACGAGGGCGAGGCAATTAGATTTTTCACTGTTCAAATTACAGACCATTGTCTTAATGTACAAACTGGGGTTTGATAAAGATGGAGTAAGTCATTTGCTCTCAAATATGGGACGATGTGTAACAATGTTGCATCCAATTAAGCCGGCTACCACACATTGATTGCATTGTGTGGTGGTGGTATAGTGGTGCATAGATCAATCCCTCTGACTTCTTCCTCTCGTACCCTGGATTCTTCCGGTAGTAGAGGTGCAATGATATGTCAGATACAGAAATGTAATATTAGGATACATGTATGTCTCAACTGAATATCATCCGATTCTTTGATGTACAAACTGAGCATGTGAGGGAATTAAGTACCTTGCCCAAAACAAGTTTTTCATGTCATTGTCAGCTTGAATTTCACTTTGCACATTCAGCTATGTGTTGATATTTATTGTTGAGTTGAGTTGAGTTCTGGTCATGCGACGGCATTGTGAAAGAAACGTTGTGGAATCGATCAGAAAAGGTTGATCATCTAGCATATAAGTATTGGTGTGTACTACAGGGTTCTGGAATCCTCAAAATGACTAAGAAATTTGTATATGGGACTACACGTCACAAACATGTGGCATAAAAATCTATCCCCATTTTTACGATGTTACATGCCACATTTAGAATATTAAGGCATTTGAAGAGCCATCCTTTTCAGGAAACAACTTTTATCTGATGTTTTCCACATGTGCATACAACAATGATAATGCTCACAAACTATTTTTCACCTCTTCCCAGAACTAAACCTCCTCTCTAAGAGGCCATCGTGTAATGTCTTAAAGCAATACCAATTTTTACCTTTATGTTTTTTCCATGTCTGTTGATAGCTCTCTGTTTCCAGATGTGGTGAACTGCATGCAGACTGACAACCTTGAGCTGAAGAAACTGGTCTATCTCTACCTGATGAATTATGCCAAGAGTCAGCCAGACATGGCCATCATGGCTGTCAACACATTTGTTAAGGTATGGGTACAGCAGTGAGGGCATTAGTAAGAACTACCCATACAAGGTACCTTTGGAACTGTCTAACACGCCCAAGGTGATAGCCGAGTGTGTTTGGACTGTTTCGAAGGTGCCGAGTGAGGGTAATTTATTAATGCCTGAACAAAATAATGTGTATTATTTGTTTTATAAGATGATGTTTCATTTGTTTAAAAGAATAATGTTTTAAAACATGATTTTACTATTGACCGGTCATTAGTAAACAAATATTGATTTCTCATGAGGATAATGGCGGGAATTATCCCTCCCAAGGTGGTGTTCATACCGGCCCTTCTATCAACCCGATGCGATCAATTTTATTATGTTTTATAACATGTTTTTAAATATCTTCAATTCAAATACATGTATAAAGTGGAACATTCATATTATTTTGCAGGATTTGGGAGAAGGGTGTTTTTTCATAGTCAGTGAATATTGTCAAAATCATCAACATTTTTATTGATTATTTTTAATTATTATCCTTGTGTTCGTCTAAAGGACTGTGAGGACCCTAACCCTTTGATCCGTGCTCTGGCCGTGCGCACCATGGGCTGCATCCGCGTGGACAAGATCACAGAGTACCTCTGCGAGCCGCTGCGCAAGTGCCTAAAGGACGAGGATCCATACGTGCAGAAGACGGCTGCTGTGTGCGTGGCCAAGCTGTACGACATCAACCCGGTGCTGGTAGAGGATCAGGGATTCATTGATCTGCTGCGTGACCTGCTCACCGCATCCAATCCTATGGTGAGAAATAATAATTATAATAATAATAATAATATTGGATATTTATATAGCGCACATATCCATGCTCAAGGCGCTCCAACTATTAACCCGGCACTGCTAGGCAGCCGATTTCTGCACTCACAGCATTCAAGGAATTCCTTCCTGCCAGTACCCATTTAACACCTGTGTGGAGAGTGGCAAATGTAGATTAATATCTTGCCAAAGGTCATTAGTGCAGTGGGGGACTCGAACCACGGACCTTGTGATCCATAGTCCGACAACTTATCCACTAGACTACAACACGTCTAGTAGATTTTCCAGTGTTATAGGTCAGTTTGTATGACTGATGTCTAACAATTCTACAATAACTCCTCCACAGCTGTTTTTCTCACAAACATTGATTTTCAAAACTAGTTTCAATATTGCCCATGCTCACATATTATCAGTCACATGACCGATTCTTGGAATACTACGAATGCTACCACTTAGGGTCAGCAGTTTTCTAGAGTTTCATTCTGATTTTTTTTTTTTTTTAATTAATCAAAAATATTCATATTATGAAAGTTATGTTTTGTGCTCTAGTTTGTCATTCTTTCGCACTTTAATTTTTCTCTTCTCATTTATATACATATCTTTTGGATTAAAAAAGAAACAAGTTTGCTAATCTGGGTTTTGAAGCAGTTCACTGCAATATGTGTGAACAAGACTTTACTCTCTTAACATCTGTATGGAAAAGATAATATATATTTGTTTTGTTTTTCTCTCTTCTGTATGTTTGTATGCTTTTCGTTTTTGTTTGTTTGTTTCTTATTCACTGCAAGAATGGGACATTTCATTGATTTTTCTCTTTCCATCACACCATAGGTCGTTGCCAATGCAGTGGCTGCTCTGTCTGAGATTAACGATGCCTCACCAACAGGAAGCACTCTCTTTGAACTCAACTCGCAGACCATCAACAAGCTTCTCACTGCCCTCAACGAGTGCACTGAGTGAGTAACTATTTGAATTGAATTGAATTGAATTGGTTTGGTTTATTGCAAAATCACATCAAACAAGCAGCTCGTAGGCTGAAAATGTTCAATTTACAAACAAATAAAAAATATAGAGAGATATATACAAAACTAAAATACATATTGTAATTCAACTGATGCAGAAATTATTTAGCATTGGTAAGATGAAATTGAAAATAAAATTGCAAAACAAAGTCCTCATCTCCCCATGCCAAGTAGTAGGTCTACATCTACTGTAGTTGTAATCATTTTAAAAGCCTGATGCGAAAGTGCACTTAGGCCTGCGAATGGTCAGTGATATTGTAGTTCAGCGATATTGCAGTGGTCTCGTAACTGACAGTGCCACTGCCTTTTGGTAAGGTGGTAATCCTCATGACCTAGAACTTAATTTGGGCTTTGAGTCGTAGGTCCCCGAGTGGATTACATGTAAGCGCATGTATATATCCATAGAGTCTACAATTTACAGGGATGAGATTCCTCTGCTGATTTCAAGATGGGGAAGAAGAAAATAAAAAACTAAACTTGAAGATTATCATTAATTGTAAATCTAGCATTGACCTCACTACCTTAGCAGCATTTTTATATCATCTGAACAATGTTATAGAGTCCCTTTAAGCAAGATGGGGTAACAAATATTGCTCAAATTTAGAATTTAAATGCAAGGAAAACGTGTCCTTTTACGTAAATATATTTTAAAGTTTTCTGTCTAATCCCTGTATCTACTAATACTTATGAAACATTTGATTTTTTGGTCACTGTTTTGTATAGATATGGGAACATTTTATCTTGTAGTGGCACCATCTGTGTACAAGTTATCTTAGAACAGACAGGAAAAGAAGTGATAGTACCCAACATAGCTGCAAGCGATTCATATTTTTCTGACTTTTAAGTAGTGTTATGAACCCTCTATTTCTCTTGTTTTCTGAAGAAGAAAAAAATGTACAAAAGCATGTAAAATACAATATATATCATTTTGGCCTGAGAGATTTCAAATTAAATTTTTGCTATGGATGTCTGCCAGGTATGATCCAATACCATCTGTTCCATAAGTTCTTTTGATTTTTTTTTTAGATGGGGTCAAATCTTCATCTTGGACTCGCTGGCTAACTTTAGCCCCAAGGATGAGAAGGAAGCTCAGAGTATATGTGAACGGGTCACCCCTCGTCTAGCCCATGCCAACGCTGCTGTGGTCCTCTCAGCTGTAAAGGTACGTTCACAGGAAACAGTTCAGTGCAGTCCCTTGGTACTTGGTTGAGTAATCCCTTTGGCAGCTCATTCAGGAAGCTACTGGGTGGTAGGTGAGGGGAGTAACTGCAAGGAGTGCCATGAAGTAGATTTCGGGGTCATGTGGTCAAAGGGCATGGGGCTAATTATAATAGCTTATTAGAATATCATTAGAACAGACGGATGGATTACTTTCAAACTCAGGACATGTATGCTTCATGCGGATCCAATGAACTAATTCGATTTTAGGGTCATAAGGTAAAAGATCAAAGGATCATACATGTATATGGGAAATAGCTTGTAATCACGATATTCTGAGATCCTGTACATGGATTACAACCGAACTTGAATTTGAAAAATTTCTTCCGTTTGGTTTGTAAAATTGCTGTATGACGGAGGCAACACTTTCAACTGCGCGCAGTCGAAGTTTCATCTAGTTCAGGGTACACACTTTGTCTCACTTGGGGTGAAAAAAAAAGTTCCTTTGATTCGTCTGAATTTTTGTTTGTGTGTTGTATACAAGTTACTTGTAAAGTCTGTAAAGTTTCAGGGCTACAAGTGTCAAACTTTTTTTTTTCAAGCATGAAACATATCCTTAATGAAAAAAATAGGGTCAAGTGTCACCTGATGACATTATGCAGAAAGAAAATATTTATTGTTTCTTTGGGTGAATGTGAATGACATAGTTTGATCATTTGATGATATGGAGTCAAAATACAACTCAATTTTTCAAGTGCATAATGGTTTTATTCATGAAAAATTCAGTTTTGCATCTTTTCATACCACAAAATGATGGACTAACAGCATGAAGTTACTGATAAAAAAAAACACAGAGCAGTTTGACCCTTAATTCTGTACTGCACAGCTACACATGGTAAGGGTGCTTTTACATACCAACTTCCAGAATAAAAGGATAGATGGTTCTTGAAATATGTGGCGTCAAAAAATTGTTCGGAGAGGACAATTTTTAGTTCGGAGAGGACATTATTTTTGATATGCAGTTGGAACTGCCTGATGCAATTATGATTCATTATTTCATGGCATAAATGAAACTGGAAATATGTAAGGTTTATTAGAACATATTTTATCCTTGTTAGCACCCATTTTAGATCTGCATATATATCTTCAATCACCTTTCGTAGAAAAATTATCTTCTCCCTCCCTTTAAGACTTACTGGTACTAAAAACTGGATTCACATTGAACTAAATATTTTCAGAAGTTACCTGGACAATACTGTGATTCTATAGTTATAAGTTTTTAGGAATAGTTAACCATACATGTAGTGTTTTGGAGATTTAACAAGCTTTACATTAACATTCGGAGAGGACATTATTTTTTGACATATGATTGGTTTGTGCTCGTAATCTATCTTTCCTTATAAACACAACGATACTATGTGTGTGCAACTTATGTAGAATCTTAGACAGAACTGTTATGTCTCATGAAAATAAGTTTTGGGCATGCCCCTCATATGACTCTACCAACTAAACATCTAGACTGGCAGATTTATATGCCATACAATATACTGTACAATGCCTACAATGTTCTCTACAAACTACAAAGTAGTTTTCTCTTAATGCAACTGAGGACTTACTGAAAGTCCATTGCAATCATTGTATGAGATGAATTCCTGCCTTTTGATGTACACGTACAATAAATCATACGAACGTGTACAAGAGATATATTAATGAATATTTCTTGATGTAATGCCTTTTAACATGACATGGGCGGCTGGGCGCTGCCATTTTCTTTAAAATGTGATGTACCAGGCGGAGTTGTACATTTCTCATGCACCAAGCTTTAATTGAAAGACTTTTTAATTTAATTAAACCTTTACTGTACAATGAGGGTAAATCATAGCCGAGAAGGTAAAATTACATTTGGTGAAAAGTATAATAGGGTACCTAACATCATACATGGGAATGGCCCCTTGAACTAGGATAGCTATATAGACAGAAGAGAACGGAAATGTTGTGAGGAGGGCTTTGTCCAACGTCTGGATGAACTATAGCATGATAGAGATAGTAAGCAAATATTAACCGACTACGAGGGTAATGGTACAAACTATCATCGCCAAGGTGATCTCGGGCTACTATCAACCCGAGCCGCATGGCGAGGGATGATGGTACATGTAGCCCCGAGACCACCGAGGCGATGATATTTTGTATCCATTGCCCGAGTAAAGGAGGCTAACATTTGTTTTATATCCCACATCGGCAAAAAGGTCTATTTAAAGTGAATTTTACATAATTAAAAGAACTGATTCTGCAGACAGTTTAGCTTCGGCTAGATTTTACAAAGCGCAACATGCATACATGTAATAAAGTCGATGCACGCTCATTTGCCACATTGACATTGACATTTCGCGTTACGCTTATTCAATGGGCAAGTGGGGCAGCAGCAAAAAATTATTGTACAAAAGTCCTATCGCAGGGAGATAGTTCTTATCTATCATTGATCATGTGACCTCGTTAAGATCGATCAGATTTCAAGATTCTTAGTATGTGGGATATAAATAGATATACATGTAATAATAGGGTAACAATTGTAACTCACTGATTAAAAAATACTATGATATAGTGGTTGAAAAATCTATTTTATTTATGCGAAACCTTCACCCCAGAACAGTACCAACTTAAGCATGCATTATAATCCAAGATGGCGGCCCGCATGTTTTGCCTCTTCTCTTAGACCAATATTATTAATTTCAAAGTCATGAAAAGGCACTAAATATCAACAAACACGGTCTACAACAACTCCAAATGACAAAATAATCCTAGCTATGCATTTTTTTTAAATAGCATTTGATAGCCAAAACCTTGAAAAATGTTGGCATTAACAAATACAAAAATAAAATAAAAAATAAAAAATTCTGCCGATTTGTTTTCTGATCATTTTTATTGATTCGCGATCAGAAATTATTATCCGATCGCACCTGATCGGCAAACGATTGGCCCCGATCCAATGATCGGTTACAGGCCTACTAAATTCTACGTGTCTCGCTCTTTTCAGGTTGCATCGGCCGTACTTTGGAATAAATTTCCAGAAAATCTTTTAAAAAACTGTGATACTGTTGACAATTTTAAGGCGCGTCTTAAAACATTTCTTTTCAAAAATACTTTCAAATGTTAACGGGAGGAAGTATGTTGAGCATATCTCAGTCTTCTTATGTTACTCTATCCACCTTTCCTTCTTACCCTTTCTTACAGCGCATAGATACATATTGTGATATGCGCTATATAAGTACGGTATATGATTCATGAACTTGATGATATAAATGTAAAGTGGACCAGATTTCACTGCATCTTCACTTGATGTATCAATCTCTTCCACCACAAAATCTCTACCACCAGAAATGTGTATAGACTAGACATAGCATCCCCACACCCGATAGTATAACAGCAACAAATTACCTACTTGTTCTATGTGATAAACCTGAATATGAAGACTCATGATGGAAGTATGTAAATATGTCAAAAAACTACTGTCCTCTCCGAAACCAAAGAGACTTTGTATATAGATGGTAATCATAGTCTCAATTCATCATTGTATAGTTGAATAACAGTACTGATTACATGGAAAGGTATAAACACACACAATAAATGCAATTAAATGGATGGAAAGTCTTAATTCTTCCAGATATACATTACATCATGGAATTATAGGGGGTGAAAGTAGCTTGTGAATGGATAGAATTAAAAAACCTCCCATTAAATAACAGGAAGATGTTAGATTGTAATACCCACCTCAACATGAATTAAAATCAGGCTAGTTTTTGTAAATTCATGCACTTTGTAGACTGTAATTACAGTCATTTATCCATCTACTGATTATGGGTCGGAGAGGACATTTTGTTTGACACCTTCAAAATCAGTGTGAATATTAAACAAAATAAACATTATCTATTGCACATGATAAAACAATGTTAGGTCTACTAATAACATAAGGTGGTTTCAAAATGTGGCTCTTCTTGAAGGAGTGCTGATAAAAATGTCACCTTTTCGGAGAGGACACTTTTTGACCCCGCCCCGACAAACAAATTTGAAACGCGCATTTACCAAAAACTGAGTAAGTGTGGGAAATGTTAATATCATAATTTTGTAGGATATTAGTGACTCTTTTCAAGGAGGAAAAAACAATTCATGGAGTGCAGTCTTACTTAAAATTATTACACTGGTTTCGGAGAGGACATTTTTGACCCCTTTTGCACCTCATTTATGGTGCAAAGTCAAAATTTGTAGATTTGACAAAATCTTACACCCTATTCAGATCTAACATAGACCTGTTGGAAGAGATAATTCTGATAGTTGATAATGTATTTGGGGTACGTATGTCAGATATGCGCATGTTCAAACTTTGCAAAAAATGAAACGAGACAGCGAAAATGTGAAAAAATGGCATATAATTACATATTTTGTAAAGTAGTTGCTTGTTTCAAACAATTTCTTCACTGTTGTAGGTTGATCTAACGGTGCCAAATAGTTGACTAAGGAAGATTTTCCTTTGCTGTTCATTGTTTTTGTTTTAATGGCCATCAAAGTGAGTTTTTCTATTGTGTACCCTGATTGTAAAACAACCCTTTGATTGTTTCATGATAATACTATAATGTAAGTTAATCAGTTTGTAAATTAAATCTGGAAAAAAGATCATAAAGAGAAGTAAATGAATCAAATCATATCACAATCAAATGTATCACACGGTTTATGATGAGTATCCTTTATATTATTCCTTGCTACAGGTTCTGATGAAGTTCATGGAGTTGATGCCACCCTCTGGGGAGTACGTGGTTGCTCTTACCAAGAAGCTTGCCCCGCCCCTAGTCACCCTCCTCTCTGCTGAACCGGAAGTGCAATACGTCGCTCTTAGGAACATCAACCTCATCGTCCAGAAGAGGTAGGGAATTCATATACGGTCAGACCTGTCAAAAGACCTGTCAAAAGACCTGTCAAAAGACCTGTCAAAAGACCTGTCTTCATCAGCTCGAGATTGCCAAATATCCTGCTATTTGAACTATCCTGATCGCAAATTATCCAGTTAATTTGCGTTTTCATCAGCCCGAAGTTGCAATTAGCGGGATATTTGGTCAAGATAATCCTAGTTTGCAAAATATCCCACTATTAGGCAAAATATCCGGCTATTTGTCCAGTGCATTTTCACCAGCCTGAAGACTCACACTTTGCGCAAATGCTGAGCAAAATATCTTGAAACGAGTTTCAAGTTTCAAGGTCAATCTCGAGCTGATGTAGATGCGATTTGTAACTTCAGGATTATTTCCCAAATCAAAAATAACAGGCTATTTGGCAAATTTGAGCTGATGAAGACAGGCCTTTAGTGGTCACCTCCGTGTCAAGGCCACCGGTCTGCAGGAGCCATGAATTCTGTCTCCCTTGAGAAAGAAATATGTTTTGTAGGACCTCGCCAAAAAGGCAACCTATCTACAATGGCTACTTCCTCCATTTTCGTTGCTCCTCCTTAAAAAACAGGTTCGACCTTACTTTACACAGAGTTTACACTCTCTAGGTAGACAATAATCAATATGTGATGTAACGTCTGTTGAGAGCCTGAAGGACATTAACGTGATACTGTCACACAGTTCACACCTTTTTGGTGCTCATGGGGTCATGGTTGATTTCCATTTTGTGTATTCAACAAAAGCGTATGAGAACAAGTTTAAATGCATCCCGTTGAATTGCGTATATGATAATTGACTATGCTCTTTAATGAGATATTGGCGAATTTCAAAGGAAAAAACAAAGAAAAGCAGTTAAATAGTGAATTTGACATCCCATGCATTTAAAAATGTGTACCTTAAGATCCCCATTAAGTGATTAAGTGAAAGATACAAGGGCCCCATATCATAAACAGTTGTAATTTCTTCAAATTAATCACAACTTGATATCAGACAACCTCGTTACAAAACAGATAGGAGTTTGTAAGTTTGCAATATCTGAGAGAGGACTTGCAGTCAGTCCAGATCAATGGTAACTCTCTTTAAACCAAGGCCAAGATTTTAAGGAAAATTATATATTCAAGTGCAAACATATAAGTTGGCGCATTTTGAGTTCACTCCTGTCAATCATTCTCGCCCACCAGACCGGACATCCTGAAAGAGGAGATGAAAGTGTTCTTCGTCAAGTACAATGACCCGATCTACGTCAAGCTGGAGAAGCTGGACATCATGATCCGTCTCGCCTCCCAGAGCAATATCGCGCAGGTCCTGGCCGAGCTCAAGGAGTACGCCACTGAAGTCGATGTGGACTTCGTCCGCAAGTCCGTCCGCGCCATCGGACGTTGCGCCATCAAAGTAGACGTACGTACTTGACCCATTGGCTACTGAATTCTCTTATTCCCATAGGCTTAATAAGCCAGTTCACGGTTGCAGTCTGAGCATGAGCAGATAAAGGTCATTGCAGAACAAATTTTGAAATACACGGAGACGTAATACTGGATGCGTGCTCATGAAAGTTATGTGATCATTATTCATTCATGCACATTCAGTGCACTCCATGATACACAGGTGGAAGTATTCTTTGAAAAGGGGAAAACAAAGGCTATCTATATATCGCTGTAGGAGTGATTATTTCAAAATGTACAAAGTGGGACGTCTTCATGTTTTGAAGATCTGTGGATATTCGGGGTCATTGCAGTAATGTGCTAACCGTGAACTGGTCTATACAGAAACCACCCGCTTCCTATATAGGCAATGGGTTAGAACCGATTCTCATTGCAAGATTTATTTTTAGAAAACAGTTTGAGTATCAGTGTAGTTTGAATATCAGTGAGAAATCTGTTCATGTTATGAATGTTATCAATAATTTTAAGTTTGGGTATAGTTTAGGCCAGGCGTAATAATAATAACAAAAACCTGATGAAAATGTGGAACTTTGTCCGGAAGTTTTCCATGCCATCGGGCATTGAACAAATGCACAAAGTGGGACTTCTCCATGTTTCAAAGATCTTTGTATAAGTGGAGGTCTTTGGTACATGTGCTATCATCAAACTGGTCTATTATATCTGAACCCATCAGACCTTCATATTTTATTCTTTATCTCCTTCCAGGTGTCTGCTGAGCGATGCGTAAGCACACTGCTTGACCTCATCCAGACCAAGGTCAACTATGTCGTCCAGGAGGCCATTGTCGTCATCAAGGATATCTTCCGCAAGTACCCCAACAAGTATGAGAGCATCATCGCTACTCTCTGTGAGAACCTGGACTCTTTGGATGAACCCGAAGCAAGGTATGTCCCAGCAAGAGTGCCCTTTATCAAAATCAAGTGAAATTTAATGGAGCCTAGTCTATAAAAGTCTCGTGTATGGTATTTGGACGTGAGAAATTGATTATGATGGGGTTTCCTGGGCCTGTTGCATAAAACTTACCATTTATAGTAACTTTGCCATCAATGGCAACTACCATATTACTGTAATAGGGCTCAACAGCCAATCAAAATCAAGGTTTCGATGGTAGTAACCATCAATGGTAAGTTTTGTGCAATGGGCCCTGATCAGGCAGTTGATGGAGGATGCAGGGCATTACATGAGACCAGTCAGTCGTAAAAGTGGAGTCCACTGTCGGTGATTGGTAAACAGTGTCAAATTCCCCATGAGAACCCATGCTTGCGTGTCATAAACTTGTCACGCTTTAGAAAAAATAAGGTACATAAATTGGTAATTTTGTTCCTTTGCTTGCCTCTATTCAGAGCTTCCATGATCTGGATCCTCGGTGAGTATGCCGAACGTATCGACAACGCCGAGGAGCTCCTGGAGAGCTTTGTGGAAGGGTTCCACGATGAGAACACCCAAGTACAGCTTCAGCTCCTCACCTCCATCGTCAAGCTCTTCTTGAAGAGGCCTCAGGATACCCAGGAACTCGTCCAGAATGTGCTCAGTCTGGCTACACAGGTTAGTCCTGGTCTTGTTTCATTTGATATAATAATAATAATACTCAGTTTGTATATTGGGCTTATTACAATCACTAAACGCTTCCAAACTTCGAGATTATTACCCTGGCTTTAGCTGTGCTGCCAATACGACGCTCTAGCATTTCAAAGAATTAATTCCTGCCAGGTACCCATTTACATCACCTGGGTTGAGTGTGGCAAATGTAGATCAATGTTCCAAGCAGATACACGGCGAATCCTCATTGTTGTGAATTCTGAATTTTATTGATTTGTGTGTATGTATTATGCAGATATCATTGAGATGGGATGGCCGTAGTCCTAATTCGTTTGAATTGCTGAGTTCCAAGTGGTTACATGGTGAATTGCAATTGTTATGAATTTAATTGATTTGCTTGTATATTCAAGTTTTGATTGTTCCACATTTTACAAAAAATATAGACATACGTCATGTAGTATAAATGGTTTTCAATTCTGAATTCAATGATTCTCAATTCATATAAAAGATTTAGTGAAATGTGAAAACCTATTAAAAAGCAGTGCTTGTATACTATAGGTTCCTGGAAAAATAAGTATTGTAGAAGAAAAAACCGTAGCAGTAGAGACGAAGTAATTTAGAGAGGAGAATTAAAACACAATGGAATATGGAAATTTGTTTACAAAATATAGCATTAGCACCAATACCCAGAATATGTGTATGTACCATTGAGATATCAGTGGGAAGGGATTATACATCTGCTTGAGGTTGCTCTTTTGCTTCTTTGCATTACTTCAAAATACCTTGCTGTTCTTTCCAGGAATGTGATAACCCTGACCTGCGTGACCGTGGCTACATCTACTGGCGTCTGTTGTCGACCGACCCGGCTGCAGCCAAGGACGTGGTGCTCGCTGAGAAGCCTCTCATCTCAGAGGAGACCGATCTCATCGAGCCAACCCTCCTGGACGAACTCATCTGCTACATCGGCAGTCTGGCCTCGGTCTACCACAAGCCACCCAGTGCCTTTGTGGAAGGCCGCACCGCCACCAGGCGGTTCCTCCCCACTCGTGCTCCAGGGTGAGTATAGTACAGTCAACATAGAGTTGCCATGCTCCTTGCGGTGTTGTGAAAATCCCTGCCACGCCATTGATTGATTGATTTTATTTATTCATTTCATATAATAATATTGTTTGCACAATAAAGAATACAGTTGACAAAGTAAGATCAAAATTATAAAATGAAACAGGAACCTACTGGAAAGCATAGCTTGTTTTTGTAGGTTCCCAAGAATAAATATAATATGAACATTATTATCATAAATCATTTTAGTCAGGGATGCCAGTTTTCAGGCAATAGCCTGAATTCAGGCCCTGGCGAGTTATTTTCAGACCATAGTTTAAGCTTTTTTGTGGATAAAATAGCTCATTCTTGGCGATTTTCAGGCACTCTGATTATTTCTAACTGGCATCCCTGATTAACATCCCATGGCAAATTTGCCGCTTTCCACCCAGATGAAGTAAATGGGTACACAGAAAAAAGAAGTTCTTTAAATGCTCGATAGCTCGGCTTAAGCTGGGGTAATGAAAGCAATCAGGAAAAAGTGCTCTATAAATCAACATTCGCATGATTTGCATAGCACATCTCTCTTCCTTCTTTACATTTCTGAATACATGTATGCATGTGTTCATAAAAATATTGTATTTCATCTATCATACTCCTTTCCCTACTTGCAGGAGCTCTGGCTCCGCCTCACCCGAGACTGAAACGGCACCGAGCTCCGCCATCCCAGAGACCACGGTCATACCCCAGCAGCAGCAGCACTCTGGTGGCGACCTGATCGGAGACCTGCTCAGCATCGACCTGGGAGACAGCGGCATGGTGCAGCAGCCACCGCAGCAGCAGCCGAACATGGGTGGTATGGGCATGGGTATGAACATGGGTGCGTTCGGTGGCGCCCCACAACCAGAGACCACCGGTGGTGGTGCTATGGACCTCCTGGGAGACAACATGGAGAGCTTGGTAAGACTTATATAACCACTATGGGGGGTGTTTCACACAGATTTTAAATTGATTTTATCTCTAAGTTGGACTTAAACATTATGGAGAGCCATTTGTAGCCTTGAAATAAAATATATTCAAAAGCAAAAATTAAAGTATTTTAGACTTATTATAAATTCCTCATCAAGAACATGAAATCAACATTGAATGCCTTTTTGAATAACTTTTACAAAATATTTTCAAAGATGCAAATGGCTCTCTATAATTGTTAAGTCCAACTTAGAGATAAGTTCAACTTAGGATCTTTGTGAACCCCCCCCCCCTTGATTAATATAACCACTGCAGGATGGTCCACAAATAAACATACCACCCCACGGCCCCGTAACATAAACTGAAATTGCAATCAATTATGAAATGTTATCTCCAATCTTGCTATAATCATATCTTGCCATGCATTGTATCAAAGTGTTAGATAGAAAATTAATTGTAAGTTACTATTGTGACAAGATGTAAATATGCTCCAGAGAGAAGTCTTGGTACAAGACTACTTGTACACTTTGAGAACCGGGCTGGCCAGAAAATACACACAAAACAGTCAAATGATTTATGTAGACACCCTGTCTGGAACTGTGTCAATTTTTTGAACGGCGTAAATATTCATAATTGAATGACACATGCCTTTAAGACTAAAACAACAACAAACAACGACTTAACATGGCTTCTACAAACTACAAGTTCAGCGTTTAGTTTCGTTATTTCGTGTATTCTTGTACATTTTGTTTAGTAAAGGAGCCTGGTAATACGGACCACGCGTAGAACCGTCATAAAGACCAAAAGTAGGACAGTAATACTAGTTATTTTGTAAAGTTATGACTGATTGAAAGTGTTAAAACTAAGCTGCAGGTTTTAGGAGACACAATGAATTATACCTTTTCGTGTTACAGGACCCAGAACTCCACGATACTCAGTCATGTATGGTACACTGAATGACCTAATACCTTGGACTTTCCCTTCAAGTAAAATAATGAATTGACATTTTAAAATTTGTCTTTCATCACATCTCCTCCTGCCACAGATCATGGGTAACCCCACCCCTACAGCAGCAGCAGCTGGAGCAGCACCACCCCCAGGGGCCGGGGGTGCCAACATGGCTGCTCTCGGGGATATCTTTGGGATGACAAGCGGAACATCAGAGGTCTACACCCCTGCTAAACAGGTAAGTCGTGCATGCCCCTCTGCTACAACCTCCCCCTCCCCTCCCCTAATTTATGCAAGTAAGGGCATAAAATGCACATTTTTACTAATAAATCATATATTATTTATATCTAAGCATTCTTTTTTACTACATATATTCATTATTATTATTATTTGGAATAATAATACCAAAAAAAAATTTGGAAGAGCCAGGTTATTCCTTATGTTATCTCCTGTTTTGATAATTTCTTATGTATTTCATTGTTTTTGCTGTTTTATTTCATTTCTAACTACAATTCAACTATTTTTTACCCCAAAACAAACACCTAAACTTTAAACAAGAGCAAATAAGCAATGTTTTATCTCTTTTTAGGAAAAATGATATTTCAATATGTTTTGTACACAAATCACAAAAATGAGCGATTTTTGGGCTGACATGCAAAGACAAAAGGTTACATGTCTTTGTAACTATTATACGTCCGATTTTCGCAAAAACTGTTTTAAAAGATGCATTAGACTCGAAAGAAAAAAAAGTCATGAAGGAAAACTGTACATCTGCCGCGGTTCCGGAGTAGTCGCTAAATTACTACAGAGAAGGGCAAATTGACCCCCCCCCCCCTCCCCCCGGTTAACATAGGGTTAAAACAGAATATGGTGCCACGTACACTGTGGAATATGTTCTGTATGATATGCTCTAAATCGTCATCATCATCATTTAATGTATCTTTGTTGTTCTTGTAGGCATGGTTACCAGCCAGCAAAGGTAAAGGTTTAGAGATCATGGGTACCTTCAACAGGAAGCAAGGCAAACCTCAGATGAGCATGACATTCCACAACAAAGCCATGCAGCCCATGACGGGATTCGCTGTTCAGTTCAACAAAAATAGGTGGGTAGGAGCCTTCGTACACCACATATTGAGGGGTCAGTGACACAAAGACGGAACTTCATTTTGGCCATTTTGAGAAAAAGTGGTTTATGTGTCACTGAGCTCTTGGGCCTAAAGGAGTTAAGTATGTATGTTTCGCTAGGCATTTACTTCAATGGGGTGTTGGGTGGAGTTAAGTCTGTGTTTCTTGGAAAGCCCACATTTTCTGAACATTTTGTTATCAAATACTCATTTTGGCAAAATATGGAGTTATGCCTTTGTGTCACTGAACCCTCAATATAATCCTTTGATCTGTGTGGTCTTCTTCTTTGTATCAAGTAATCATACTTCCAACCATCCCGCGTTTTGTTACTGTAAAAACGTGAGAACCTTTGAATCAATTTTAACCAAACTTGGATCAAGTAAGTATGAACATACAAGGATGAAACGATTAGACACCAGTGTTTTCCAACTAAACTGAAATTAATAATCCTTTTCCCCTTTTTATGCCTCCGCCACCGAAGGTGGTGCCGGAGGCATCATGTTTTCGGGTTGTCTGTCCGTACGTCCGTACGTCTGTCCCGTTTGACCGTTATCACAATATCTCAAGAACCATTTGAGATTTAAACTTCAAACTTAAGGATAGTATGTATCACCATAGGAAGACGATCTGATTAGATTTTGGAGCACGTATGTCAAAGGTCAAGGGTCACAGAGGTCAACTTATGAAATTCCATACATTGAGATTGTTATCATGATATCTCAAGAACCACTGGAGATTTAAACTTCAAACTTAGTGATAGTGTGTATCACTATAGGAAAACAATCTGATTACATTTTGGAGCACGTAGGTCAAAGGTCAAGAGTCATAGAGGTCAACTTATGAAATTCCATACATTGAGATTGTTATCATGATATCTCAAGAATCACTGGAGATGTAAAAACTTCAAACTTAATGATAGTGTGTATCACCATAGGAAGACAATCTGATTAGATTTTGGAGCACGTAGGTCAAAGGTCAAGGGTCACAGAGGTCAACTTATGAAATTCCATACATTGAGATCGTTATCGCGATATCTCAAGAACCACTGGAGAATTTTCACTTCAAACTTAATGATAGTATGTATCACCATATTATAATATCTCAAGAACCACTGGAGATTTAAACTTCAAACTTAATGATAGTGTGTATCACCATAGGAAGACAATCTGATTAGATTTTGGAGCACGTAGGTCAAAGGTCAAGGGTCACAGAGGTCAACTTATGAAATTCCATACATTGAGATTGTTATCATGATATCTCAAGAACCACTGGAGATTTAAACTCCAAACTTGTTTAAATTGCTCTATGGCGGAGGCATCATTTTCGACTGCACGCAGTCAAAATTCCATCTAGTTCCTCCTGTCTTCCTATAGCTTGGGTTCATCACCCATAGCAGCCCTTACAATCCCTAGCCCTCCAAGTCCTAACCAGTCCATCATTAAGAGTCTACCCCTTAAAGCCCCACTGCACTACTTATAAATACTTGTGCCCTCTATACAGCCAACAATGCCTAAGCGGTACCTGTTGATCCCCCATGATGCCCTTTTTCTTATGTTAATTGAGAGCAGATTTGATGAGATAACCACCTGCCACTTGTCAGTGACCTTGCAGGGAGGTCTAATCCCTCCATGCCAAACTAGTGCAGAGGGGCTATAACAAAAGTGTCTTCCTTTTGTTATTATCTTAATAACCCTTATCTTACTTTTGTGTTCTTTTCCGTAGCTTTGGCCTGCAACCCTTGACAGCCCTGACAATCCCGACCCCCTTGAGTGCAAACCAGTCCATTGATACGTGTCTAGCACTCAACACCAGAGGGGCCATCCAGAGAATGGACCCTCTCATGAACATCCAGGTTGCCGTCAAGAACTGCATCGATGTCTTCTACTTCAGCGCCACCATCCCCATCAACGTCCTCTTCGTCGAAGATGGGCAGATGGGTAAGATCCAGCTCAAATTTGTTGTTTAGGGGGATGTGTTCAAGTATTAAAGGGATCTGATAACTTTGTCTCAGATTCTGAAACAAAATCCTGGATTTAGCTCATGCTGCAATGATAATTATAAACCTTTAGGTCAGTCAAGAACCCATGACTTTTACAAGCCGATCGCCTGTCTGATTATCAAGATATTTACGATTGGAAATTGAAATTTAATTTGTTGTTTTCCTAACAGCTATAATAACACTACAGTCTATTGGGGGAAATGAGTATGGTAAAACCGGTCACTCAAAGATTTTTATCTTTTTAGAGGCACTACATGATCATTTTATTCTCATAATTATCATCATTATCATAATCATCATCCTCACCATTATTATCATCACCACAACCATCATTATCATCATCACTATCATCATCACCACCATTATCATCACCACAACCATCATTATCATCATCAACATCAACCTCATCATCATCGCCATCTTCACTGTCATCATCCTCACCATTATTACCACCATCATCACCACCACCACCATCATCAACATCACTATCATCATCACCACCATTATCATCACCACAACCATCATTATCATCATCATTATCCCCATATATTCCTCACAATCATCATCGTTGTTGTTGTACCTGTATTGAAATATATTCTTTAAAGGGATAAAATTGAAACTTATCTGATTACTCTTTCTTCAGATCGAAAGGTATTCCTAGCCACATGGAAGGACATTCCTCCCAGCAACGAGGTTCAGGCTCAAATCACCAACTGCAGTATGTCATCAGGTAAGAAATCATCACATCAATCATTTCAATTGTTGCTTGTAATTAATTTCCAATAAATGATCGAATGATTAAAGGCAATCATCATTATAAATATTTTGAAAATCATTTGTAGTTATTTACAAATTCCCAGTAGATTTGATATGGTATTTAATAAGGTAGTCATGTCGTAGACCCTGACTCAACCAAACTTGCACATGTGATATAACCCAGCAAAAGCTGGACAAGGGTATTTTGGGGGACTACAGGACAACCTTGAATTGCTCTTATGACTTGTAATCATGGGCATAGATCTGTAATTGATACCTATTTTTCATGGAAGGATGATCTATTCAGTCATCCCCCCCCCCCTGAACAATAGGTAATAAGTAAGGATCGAGGCCCATGCTTGTAATTGCCCCATCTAATGTCCACCATTATTTATTTATCCCTTGACAGACCAAGCAACCAACAGACTACAGCAGAATAATATCTTCACAGTGGCCAAGCGGACAGTGGATGGTCAAGATATGCTCTACCAATCACTCAAGCTGACCAATGGAATCTGGGTCCTCGCAGAGCTTAAAGTTGTTCCAGGCAACCCCACAATCCAGGTAAGTTTTTCTCATGAATAGGAATTTTAATTTTTGTATTTTCGGTCGACAAAGGGGTGTGTAGGGTTGTATATATTTTTATGCCTCTGTTACATGTAGCCGGAGGCATAATGTTTTTGGGTTGTCCGTCCATACGTCCCGTTCTCGTCATTGCGTTATCTCAAGAACCGATTGATGGATTCCTGCCAAACTTAGGTCATGTATGTACCTTGCAGAGCCAATGAATTGATTAGATTGTGGGGTCACAAGGTCAAAGGTCACAGTTCTCATTATGTATGCAAAAATAGCTTATGATCGCATTATTATTAGAATTGTTGGACAGATTACCATCAAACTCAAGACATGTGTGTATCTTGCTAAGTCAATGAATTGATTAGATTTTGATGTCACAAGGTCAAAGATCTAAATTAGGATTATCTTCCAAATGCCATTGGAATTAACCTTTTCATTTTTTGGCCTGCAAATGGGACATAGTACCGTTATCATAAGTCTTGCAAATGAAACTCCTTGTATTCCATCTCTCTCTCCTTTGCAGCTCTCACTCAAGACACGAGCCATGGACGTGGTGCAGGACATCCAGAAAGCATACACTGAAATCATGCAGAACTAGCTAGTCATCTGAAACAAATCTCTTATCAAAGTCCCCTTGTCAACCATTTATCAACAGTCTGTTCAGTGTTATGTTGAAGTACTTTGTAGCATCTTAGTCATATCAAATTTAAAGGTAACGGTACAGCTGTGAGCAACCACTTGGAGCCATGCGGTACTCAGCATAGGTTTAACTTTAAAATTATTGTCGTTGTTATATTGAAGCCCTTATCATTTCCTAGCATCTTCAGTGTTATGTTGAAGTACTTTGTAGTATCTCATTAATTCTCATTAATATCAAATTTAAAGGTTACGGTACAACTGTGAGCAAATACCGGAAGCCGTGCAGTACGCAGCATAGGTTTAACTTAAAAGATTATTGTCGTTGTTATATTGAAGTCCTTATCATTTCCTAGCATGTTCAGTGTTATGTTGAAGTACTCTGTAGCATCTCATTCATATCAAATTTAAAGTTTATGGTACAACTGTGAGCAAATACATGTGGTACACAGCATAGGTTTACCTTCAAATGTTTGTTCACGCCACATTATGTCCTAGGTTATTCTTGTGCAGGACAAATCATTGTCGTTATCGCCCTTATCATTTCCTAGCATTTCGATGAGAGCAAAGTTAAAAGTTGTGGTATACATGTAGCTGTGAGCAAATACTTCTTTTGTAGTCAAATGCATAATGTTAGCCTGAAGTGTTTGTTAAGCACATTGGAAATATCGCATGGCTATTCATTGGGTCAAAGATCAGTATCACTTTTTAACCCCCCCCCCCCCCCCCCCTTTTACCTATGAGTAGTGTGGGGAAAACCCGTTTTTCCTGGCTCATAGCAGGAGAAATTGATATATAACAGCTGTCCTTGTTGAAGTATAATAACCTCCTCTCATGAATACTCAACAGAAGTACAGACTTACTGTAAAAGTCTGTATTATCTATGATTGTCACCCAGTCTTATTGATAGAGAATATATTGTTATTATTATTATTTATTCAACCATTCATAAAAAAAAGCACAAATACAATACAGCATGGCAAGAGACAAGTACGTAATAAGAATGAACAAACGCATGCAAAGAGATAAGGGAGCAGCAAGTGGATCAGGGTGCACAAAAGTGAAGTTCATCACTGTTGCCCGGGGGCATGTGCCCCCCCCCCCCCCCCAATACATAACTAACAATTCTATATCAAGTAACTGAGGACTACAGGCAAAGACTAATTCTTACCAGCAGATTTTGTTTATTACATTTATAAATACCCTATTAGATAAAGGTTAATTGCGTCATTTCTGTTAATGGGTTGTCTTATAGCTTGTAAAGTAACGTTACTTGAGCCCCTTGTGTAGTTGCCGCCTGTGTAAACAGGAGTATCCAGTTTCAGGATCTCAGATCATAATTGAGAGCATCTTTAGTCAACAAGTCTGATTATATGTAAAATGAGAACGTAGCAACCCTCTTTTGTGATCTGTGACTTGATTCTGGGAAAGGCCTTGTGTATTCGATCACAGCAGATGACCTCTGAAGAACAAGATTCAGTTACGGACTTGCGGTATGCCCTCTTATTATGCATTTGCATTGGTATTCAAATATTAAACTGTGCTACATGATACACGGTCAGATTTGAAATACAATAAATGATTGTATTTCACCAAACCAAATAGAGGGATCAAAACTAGTTTTTTTTAATCATTTCTACAGTTACAACCCCAGTATGAAGCCTTGCAAGCACATGTAGCGTGTTTTGTTGCTTATCAGTGGTATTTAAGTAATTACTGTATGAAAGGTTCCGTTGATGAATATAGAATATCCAGCAACTTTATCATTCCTTATATGGGCTGGAATTACTTTATTTAGAATATGATAATCTTAAGATTGGCTTTCTGTTGTATGTCACATTTCAAGATCAAATTATGTTGTATGGATTAATCATGAAATGGTCAAAAGAAAAGTATGTAAGCATTGAGATAATAGTCATTAATTAAATATATATATGTACTAATGTACTCCCATTCAACATAATTCATTCTTTATAGTGGTCTTGTTATAAAGTATTGAAGAAGTATTTTTGTTTGTTTGTTTGCTTACTTGTTCTTAACTATATTTTGGTTTACCAGTCATGTGTATCATCTGCCTTTTCTGAGAATTAGGCACTTTTATTTCTAAATCATATGGATTATTGTATATGAGTCCAGTATTCTATTACAAATATAGATAATTCATTGTTACTTTGTACCAACATTTTCAAAATAGCTAGAGAGAGATATAGAGTAGACAAAAAGAAAGACAGAGGGAAAGAGAGAGAGGGAGAGACAGAGAAGGGGTAAGAGAAGAAGAAAGGATTTTAGAGAGTCGTAGTAACAATGTCGACATGTTTTACAAGGCAGAGAGTAATGAGTGCAGGATAGTACCAATAGTACTCAGCATTCAAACATTCATTCATTCAAACCTACAACTTGGGCAAGTTAGATACTGTAGACACGTTAATAGGAAAATGATTAACGCTCTGTCAGCTGTGGTATCTGGATATTTACTTAGCACAAATGGGAGGAAGTATGGGGTCAAATGTTTGATGAACCCTCTTTGAAATAAACCACTCCATTCGCTGATCTCTCTCTATCTCTCACTCTCTCTCTCTCTCTCTCTCTCTCTCCCTCTCTCTCTCTCTCTCTCTCCCTCCCTCCCTCTCTCTCTCTCTCTCTCTCTCTCTTTATCTCTCTCTTTCTTTTTGCATTTTCCCTTTATAAACAAAATATTTAAACACTTCATTGCTTCAGAATGAAATACAAATATGGATAGAGAGTTATATGTGATGATTAAACGACAATACGGTTTTACCGCAATTAAGACCCTAGCGAGAGTATCGCGTTCATATGTTATTGTTGCTATGTCGGGAAAGACTTGGCTTTAGCCCCGGTCCAATATATTCTTCTTGTTAAATATGCCCTTTTACATCGGCTCCTTATTATTGAAGGCAGGGAGGCAATATGTTCTATTTCATTGTATATAAATCTAGCTCAAACTGCTTAAAAAATAAAACTTAAACATATATTTAAATACTTTGTCCGTAATTTCGTATGCTAGCTAGCGTTTAAAGGGATTAATTAGCCTTGTTTTATTTCTTGATGTTCTGAGTTTGTTTCCTAAACATATAAAGGAAAGGCTTCCTGTGAAATGCAAGATGGCAGTCTTATGACCTTGACGCACCTGACACGATTTCCTGATTTTACTAACCTCCATGCAGTCTAAGGAAACCCTAAACCGCGAGATCATACGCGGGCTGTCACGTGTGTGGTATAGTATACGGGTAGCTATAGGAAGCGTGGAGAAACATGTAGTAACTTCGTGGTAGAAGTGAATGGAGAGTAAAGAGAGAGAAAGAGAAGCGGAGAGAATGAGGAAGAGAGAGAGAGGGGGGGGGGAGAGAGGCACAGAGAGACAGAGAGAGATGAGAGAGAGAGAGGAAAGATGGGGAGGGGGAGAGGGGAGGGGTTTGGGAAAGAAAGAGAGATTACCATTGATGTCTTTCGATTGATGACGAAGATCAAGTAGTAGGTCAAGCTAAACGAATTATCTGATGTTTTATCATGTTTAATCATGTTACCACCTACGTACATCCATGGTACATATAGTAACCATATACGGGTAGCTTCGTGGGAGGAGTAAATTATGGTGTAAAAACTGTAAAGAGAGAGATTGAGAGGGGGGGGGGGGAGGCTAGCTGATGCATAAATACAGGCAAATTATGCATGAATACCAGTGATGACGAAGATCAAGTAGTAGGTCCAGACGAATTGTCTCATATCTCTTATCTGTATTTTGTTCGAATAACTTCTTGTTTCGAATCAAATCATTTATTTCCATGCACTATAAAATAGTAACATTATTTTATACTGGCAGGAATACAATGGTAGATTATTGAAAGAGCCCCAAGAGAGATAAGTTTGTCGTCGGAGAAGGATGGTCTTTTCCATTCCAACTCCTTGACCTAACTACGTACTGCATATGTAGGTATAGCCTATATACGCCCTATGTCGATCAAGCTTACGTCGAGGATAAAACATAAATTAGAATTAACATCTCGATAGCTAAGACATGAAATAGGGAATAAATTCCGAAATTGAGGAGTCACTTCTATCCCCGAAATCGACGCATTTGGTGTGCAACCCTCGCCCCCCCCCCCCCCCCCCCACTTTCTAAATCCGTTGAAACCGCCCCCGCCTGCCGAGCATTTTTTTCTTCTTCTTGTAGTGTGGTATCACCAAGCTGTTTGCACATCAAGCGGAAGGCTGATCGATGAACTCACATCCGGGAGTGGGACAGAAAAGTTCGAAGCGAAGGAATGAGCGTGCCTTTCATTGTCATCACTTGCAGAACATGTCCAAACGATATTGCAACACTTCGTTTTCCCTCTTAGTCTTGCGTTATTCTCTCTCAATCATCTGCTTGGTTAATATATAGACTTTTTAACAGTCCACTTTTCATGCAGGATGGCGATTAAATGTTTGATGTTTGTCATTTTCTTTGCCGTTATCGTGCGATCCATCGACTATAACGAACAACCCTACGACCAGGATGATGAAGTGGACCTGGACGACGAATACGAACACGAGTCGGTGATCTACTGGCCATCATCATCGCCATCGATGACGCCCGTGGATGCAGCTGAAGTGTGTGATTTCCAAAAATGGCGGAAATTTGTCAACTGCAGTGAACGAAATCTCACCGCAGTTCCTTATAATATTCCACCCGAAACAGAAACTCTTTATCTGGGCTTCAATCTGCTTTATCGGCTGCGAAATGATAGTTTCGCCAATCTTACCCAGTTAAGGGAGCTGTATGTCGATTCGTCTGAGCTTACTGATGTTGAGAGTTTGGCGTTTGACGGTCTATGTGATTTAGAGGTGCTCGACCTGTCCGGGAACTCGCTTTCCAGTCTACCGGACAATCTGTTCGTCACAAACACCAAATTGACCGAGCTCAATCTAGGTCACAACCGTTTCGACACGATTCCCTGCAAGACCCTTCTGCCCTTAAAACGTCTGAGTAAGCTTTTGCTATTTTTAAATAATATTAATTTGCCATACTGCGAACGGTTTCCAAATCTTACGAACGGGTCCATCGTCAGCCTGAGTAGAAACAACATTCTCGTAATGAGGCAGGTAAATTTTCAGTTTTTGGAAAATAGTACACTGTCTAGCTTGTTTCTTGGAGGAAATAACATTGTATTGGTCGATTACAGAGCAGTGATTTTTTTAAAAGTTCAAGCATTGGATATGAGTTATAATCCTTTGAGTGAAGTTGGGATTGCAAGTTTATTTTACGGTATGCGGAAGAACGATATGCTGCGATCGATAGAGCTTCGTGCTTCTTTGATGAATTCAAAAGATCCAACAAATTTCATATTTCTCAAAAATAAAACGATAGATTACTTTGGGGCTTCTGCAAATGAGTTTACCTCCATACCCCCCTGGACAATACTTCTTAATGGTGTGCGGAACATGTCATTGGCTGATAATTCCATCTATCACATTGGCACCACAGCATTTCGCGAAATGACTGCACTCGAGGAGGTTAACCTGGAAAACAATCAGATATTAGAGCTCCAATCATTGACTCATAATACTCGCTGGAATGTCACTCGACTGCACACTTTAAAACTGGCGAAAAACCGATTGGATAATATTCCAGCGAACGTTTTTCTCGGCTTGGAGAATTTGACCTCACTTGACCTGCACTCGAATCCAATCACGTATTTGAACATCAAGGCATTGAATGGCTTGCACCGACTCGAAAAGTTGGATCTGTCTCAAACAAAAGTGGGTAGTATTTTACATGGAACGTTTCAGTTCGTCCCAAATATAAGGAGTCTTAATTTTCGGAACGCAGACCTGCGTCTAGCCCTGCCTGGGAACTTCCTTACTGATCTACGGTACCTGGAAAGCATCGATTTGTCTGGAAATAGTATCCAGTCCGGAGATTTGTGGAATGATTATTATCAAGTTTCTATGTTCTCCCAAAATACGCATCTGAGAGAAATTCGGCTCGACGACAATCCGAAAATTATTAACATTCCCGAAAAAACGTTTGAGAACCTAACCTCTCTGTTATTTCTATCTTTCAATGGTTGTGGATTACAGTCAATCAAAGCGAACCTTTTCACCGATTTGATCAATTTAACCTCGCTATCATTTGACATGAACAGTATTTCTGATTTGCCTACAAATTTGTTATGGAATCTTAAACATTTGGAAACGTTTTCCGCAGCTGGGAATTCACTGACATCACTCGGTAGTGCTATTTTCAAAAACACAATATCACTCCGGTACATTACTCTTCCGAACAATGCGATAACATTTATAGCAGGCGACTCCATGTCGCATCTGTCCGAGCTGAGAACGTTAGATCTCCAAGGAAACCCGTTAGCGTGCACATGCGCATTAGAGCCCTTCTCTGATTGGTTGAAAGTCACGAATGCCTCGTTGATCGGTGAAAGGCGCACTCTTTGTTCACCTGCTTCGTTTGAAGATGTCGTTGGAGAACGCATTGCCGATTTCGAACCAGCTTCCTACTGTGGACCCAACATCGCTTTAATCATAAGCCTCCCCTCGCTCCTTATCGTAATCATAGTCTGTATGGGTTTGTCAGTTCACTACAGATATTGGATCCGATATAGATTGTTCATGCTAAAGCTGTCGTTGTTCGGATACAGACTATACAAAGCGCGTGATGCCGACGACTACGAGTATCACACCAACGTCATGTTCGCCGCCGACGATCAGCCGTGGGTCGACGACTACCTCAAACCTGTTATCGGGGACCATTTCCCGGAGAAAGATCTCCATACCGACATGGTCTTTGGAGATGAAGATTTGATCCCCGGCATGTACTATTTGGACGCGGTCCACTACTCCGTCGTTCACAGTTACAAGACGGTGCTTCTTCTCAGCAACGCGTCTATTCGAGATGAATGGTTTACAACAAAGTTTCGCCTAGCGCTTGAACACGTGAACGAAACGCAAGTCGAGAAGGTGATCATCGTATTCTTGGAGCATATCGAAGACAAAGATCTTCCATTTCTAGTTCGAGTGTTCTTGAGTAAGAATAAGCCTTACTTGAGGTGGACAGACGACGAAGCAGGGCGGGAATATTTCAAAGAACAGCTGCTCAAATCTCTAGAAGTCAATATGCTGTGTGATAACACGATTCCAGTGTAAATTGAAGAGAAAAAAGGAAACATACAGTAAATCAAAACGTTAAACATTTTTACCGGAACAGGGGGAAATGCGGTACACTGTACACAGACTATGTGTATATTAAAATATAAAAGTAAAATGCTCTACTAGTATTTAATGTAAAAGTACAGAGTAACGTCCCGTTTACCAAATTCGTAAAGTACTTTGATAGACAGTGCTTTCCAACTCAACTTCAGTACTTTGATGATATTTTATTTATAACTTAATAGAACTTAGCGTGATTGTACGGCCACGTATAGATCGACGGCAGGGGCGTACGCAGGGGGGGGGGGGGGGTTGGGGGTTCAAACCCCCCCTTTGGTATTTTTATGTGTGTAAACCCCCCTAAAAAAACTAAACCCCCCCCCCCTTTGTTTTTTTGTTTTTTTGTTTTGTTTTGTTTTTTTCTTTAAATAAATTAAAAAAAAAAAAAATTATGCCCACGGCTAACGTAAAGTGACCTTACCCCCCCCCCCCCCCAACGAAAAAAAATGTCAAATTTTCAAATTTCGGGACCAAAAAAAAAAAAAGTGTCTTCCCCCCCCCCCCCCCCCCCCCTTTGCTTTTTTTGTTTTTGTTTTTGTTTGTTTGTTTTTTGTTTTTAAATAAAATAAATAAAAAAATAAAAAAAATAAAATTTTTTTCAAATTTCGAGACCAAAAAAAAAAAAAAGTGTCCGCTTACCCCCCCCCCCCCTACAACTATTATAAGTTGCAAAACCTATTTGGTGCACACTGTACACCTTAATGAATCTCAATGATTTAAATGCATTATTATATATATTTCTTAAATCTATATGGGTAGCAGTAAGAAGCAGTAAACTACCGATGTAATGGGCATTATATTTATTGTGTGTCTATGTAATATGAACTTATATCTTATATTCTCATGTAAACGTACAAAGTACGTCCCGTTTACAAAATTCGTAAAAGTACTTTGATAGCCAGTGCTATCCAACTCAACTTCAGTACTTTGATGATATTTTATTTAAATCTTAATAGAACTCAGCGTGATTGTACGGCCACGTAGATCGATGGAAATGTAATTTAACTTTCTCTTTATTTTGGGTGATAGCATGAGCACTACTGTTTTAATTTTTCTTTTAAAATATTTGTCAAAATATCAATATAACCAAGATTTTATTTTTATTTGTACGTGATAAAAGCCACGATGCATATTTGGTATGAGATAAGAGATTATTATGAAAGAAGTATTGAACTCATTATTCTTTATTTATAGAGTAATAAATCATCAAACAAAAATAAAACTACTCTACCATGTCGTCACGTCAATGAGATTAAGATGATTAATTCGAAATGTAGGCCGCCAAACAATTAACTATTTATCGTAGTGGGAACTTTATCTTACAAAGCCATCATCCGTTTTCATTTTTATATCTATGATCAGCGGTTAAATGAAATAAAGAACCGTAATCAACAGTTTGATGACGTCAAGAGGCAGATATAATCGTCAAAAGTGAATTTTATTTAAGTGACTTCTTCAAAACATTGTTGTTGTTTTTTCCCCTTCCACATGGATCCTTTATTAAATAATATCGTTCACATAATTATTATGTATACAAATTGATTTATACATGCAGAATTTCAAAATAATATTCTTGGCCATTCAAGATATGACAAGAAAATACATGTATAGATATCAGTTACACATTGAAGTTCACTTTTTTTTTAAATATCACAGATTTAGATGGCAAAATGATCTTAGAAGAAATAAACAATCAGAAACACTTTGCAAAAAGTAACCACTTTTTTCATAAAATTTCTTTTCTTTCAGATTTGTTTTATATATATTATAATATTCGATGTTATAATAACACTTTATTAGCTGATATTATGTGTTCAAAAACTGGCAAACACTGTTTGCATTTGGCTGCAAATATTTCTTTCCTTACTATAACCATACTACAGTTGAGGGCACTGTTATTATTACCGTGAAACCCAAACAACTTATTTTGATTTCTAAACTTAATAAGTAGATTATTACGGGACAGCCAATACTCAAGTTTTGACCATGTTTCGTTTGAATGAATACAGTAACAAAATTAAGTATAATTGTTTCTACACTGTTATTACAGAATGTACCTAAGTTATCTGTAACTCATTTTAATCTTAACAAAGCACCTTTCCTATAAAGAATTCTATTCACTATCTTGAACTGAAAAAAAAACACATTGTTGTTTAGTAATCGAAGACGACAGACACTTATAAGTAAGGTATATCTGGAAAGCAAATACCCTCTTCAGACTCTCTGTTTACTATGCTGTCACTTTGAAAGTCAACTGCCCGTATATTCTACTAAACTTTATACCCGACACTGGGCTTCAGCTTTCGTTTAAAGGTGGTTGAACGAAGGAAAGTAGTCCAAAGTCTAAGTTTTCTTTGGTCAGGTTTAACTAAATTATTTAGTAGGATGCGGACCATTAAGTTTAAGATAAACCATGCTACAACTATTGTAAGTTGCAAAACCTAATTGGTGCAGCTGTACACCTTAAGTGAATGAATCTTAATGATTTAAATGCATTATTATGTACATTTCTTAAATCCACTAGGGTAGCAGTAATATACCGATGTAAAGGGCATTCGATTTATTGTTTGTCTATGCAATATGAACTTATATTCTCCTTAACGTAATTTCCCTCAAATTTGCAGACCATTCGTAGAATTTAAAGAAAATGGTCAAGAACTAAACTTGAACGACGGAAATCAGTAATACATTTTGTATAATGTGTGCCCCCTCGAAATTATAATATTAACGCATATACATTCTCATATATATTTTTACCATTTGCGTGGTATACTATTTGTAAATTGAATTATAATGTGCGTTAAACTTCCCATCGTTGTAATATTATTATACACAAAAACTACCAAAGAACATTTTAATATGTATTCAAGTACTAGTATGCCATCGAGCTATTGAAAAAACATGTTTATTGCCATTTTTCTGGTTCGATTTTTGACATTGAAATGAAGTCAACATGTAAGGGTATACACATTTGTTTAAATATTTTATTTTGTTTAAGGTACAGATTAAACCTGATGAAAAGAGATGGTTGGTCTACTGCATTTATTTATTAGTATAATAATATGGTCAAATTATTGTCACATTTATATATTATGGTTGTATAACTGTTCTAATTTCATTGTTTTCTTATTTCAATTTTATTGAAAAATATGTTCTTTGTATATTCCATTTTTATTTTGTTAATAAATGCAGAAATAAATCTGCCTTTAAAAAAATGTTGTTTTTTGTATTGATTAAAAAAAACACAACATCATTACAATTTATAGTATATATCTAAGCCACTTCGGAGACAACAATTGTACAAATAACCCCCCAAATATCCACAGATCTTTTACACATAGGCCTGACCTCATCAGCTCGATTTTGCCAAATAACCCGCTAATTTCAGACTCGGGATATTAAGCTCGAAATTGCGTCTACACCAGACCGATACGCTCATCACAAACTAGCTCGGACAGGTGCAAATTAGCCCGCTATTTCCCAAATAGCGGGATATTTTGGAAACAAGACTAATATTTATCAGGATGTTCTCGACCAAATACCACGCTAATTGCAACTGCGGGCAGGGGCGTCGCTAAAGGGGGGGGGGGTGGGATGCGACACGTACCCTCCCCCCCCCCCCCCCACCTATCAGGATTTTGTCGGTAAAATTGCGCTGCCGTCGGGAAAAAGAGAAAAGAGGGAGGGAAAGAAACAGAAAAGAAAAGAAAGAAAAGAAATGAAAGAGGAGAGAAGAAAGAAAAAGAAAAAAGGAAAAGAGAAAAGAGAGAGAAAAGGGGAAAAGAAAAGAAATAAAGAGAGGAAAAGAAAGAAAAGGAACAAAAAAAGAGAGAAAATTAAACAAAAGAAACGGAGAGATGAAAGAGAGGAGAGGGGGAGTAAGAGCATAAGAGAGGAGGAGTGGGAGTAAAAGAGAGAGGGGGTTGTTGGGTGGAGTCGATCGTCTCGTCGAGAGAGCAAGAAAGATACGCATATATATGTTGGGTCAGCTGTGTCGGTATTCTCGCTCGATCCTCGTGTACTTATCAATGCAAAAGTTTGAATTACTCCGATGAGATGCTGATGTATAATGTCGGTCGGCCGGCGAATTTTGTTTATTCATTTATTTTTATTCCGTTTTATTCAAATGCATCGTAACAATACGAAGATACAAACTACGTGAACAATATGAACATCATCAAAAACATCAATACATAGTAACATATAACAGAAGATAAGAAAAGAAGTCTTTACGAAGTGCATCCCAACGAAGGTATCCTGAAGACGATCATATAAGGTATACAACCTTTTATCAGATCGAGTATGATTGGGAACTTTTATAACCCTGTCAAAAGATTATGTGGTGTAACCGCAAACCTAATTGCCCCCCCCCCCAAAATAAGTGTAATTCTCTTTATATATCCTTATCAGAGTTTATATGTTTATAGCTTGGTATCATTATTATCAAGTATTACAAAATCACCAGTTCAAACAATAATTAACGGATATTTAGTTGATTCTTCCTTTTTTCCATATGTCATAATGCAACCATATGGGTATAATCAAACCAAAAACACATGTCGAGCTGGGGGCCTATACTCTCATAACATAGCAAGCTACATGGAATGTTGTGATAATTGGGACTATGATGCATATAGGGTCTTCTATGAAAACGCATTTCTCTCTCTCTCTCTCTCTCTTCTGTTTCACTTCCTCCTTGCTGTCCCCTCTCGTTGATTCCCTTCTATTTCCCCTACACTTTACCTCCGCTTGAGACAATTATTTCTGCAATTATGTCATCTAAAATATATCAAGTGGCATAACAGACGATTAATTGTTAAATCATTTATTAACACAATTATTATTCAATTTACAATCTCTTCTTCTTAAAGACTGTCACACCTCTGCCTCAATATCGTTGTTTCTCTATCTCTCCTTTCTTTCTCGTCTCTCCCTCACCCTTCTCTCTCTCTCTCTCTCTCTCTCTCTCTCTCTCTATCACACACACACTCTCTCTCTTCTTCATGTTATTGTATGATTATATGACTATGAGTATGACTATGATATGTACAGATGTGTAAGAGTACGATATGTACAGATGTGTAAGACATGTTTCTGTCAGTGTGTGTGATTTTACTTTGTAAACTCCATGCAATTCAGCCCTGCAATTCACTGATTGATACTCACAAGAATGAAAGATCAAATGTCATTATTACTTGTACATGTGTTATAAACTTTTATTGACAATCAAAATTTCAATGCCCATCTTAAAAGCAGTTATAAGCACATGAAGGAAATATTTAATTATTCTTATTGACTTATCTTTTTATGAAAAATAACTCCACATAATTCAATCGAACCCCTGCCCCCCTCCCCAAGAATTATTAAAGAAGAAAATGAAAATATCACTACTTATGGTGCCCTTTAAATTAAATCATGCGGAAATTACCATACTGATTTCCCTTAATGAAACAATTACATACCGGTAGTTAAATCAGGGAGATGTGAGTTTAAACTCATATCTCCCTGGTTAAATCAATCAACATTGGTCTTTTTAAACATTAACAAAATTTAAATCAACCCACATTGCTCTTAAAAGTAAATAGCATGGGGAAATAAAAGCATTACAATAACTAGACAATGTATATCTAAGCTTTTTTTGTTGCTACAACAATGTGGTCGAACAAGACCGATTGTGCAATTCCACTTTCTGTATTGATAGCATTAACATATGGCGGGACAACACCTTAATATTGGCAACCCATTCAAATCCGAGAGGTTCAACTAGTAACAGAGAATGGCATTATACTGGCATTACATCAGCAGCAGTTTCGGTTGAGCTTTAGCTTTTAGCAAATAATGACACACTAATAATCAGAATGTCCCTTCCTGTGCAAGGGGTAATAGAAGTGGAAACAATCTACTCTCTTTTCCCTCTTTCGTCCCACACAGCAATAACAAAAAAAACACATGCATCTGGCAATAATACATGTGACTGTCTAAGAAAAGGCATGCATGTCAAGATTCGGATTTCCTTCTAGAATTTCAACATGTACAGAATTCATGGATTTGTCAACCACAGTGATATGTCATGCACCTCTTATCAGCATTTTTGGTAAAACACATGTAGCCATTTCCTTCCTCTCTTATCTCATGATACAGAAAACAACCAAAAAAAATAATATATATTTCATGTTGGCCCTACTCCAAGTCATCTGTGAAGATGCAGGAGATCATTAAAGGGACTTGGTAACATTGTTCAGATGAGAGAAAATGGTGCTAAGGTAGTGACTTCAATGCTAGATGTACAAGTAAAGATAATCTGAAAGTTCGAGTGAAAACAGGTCATTATTAATGATAACAATTGGGAAATATTGACCTGATTGACTCCTTAATTCTCCCAACTACAATTTTTTTTTAAATAACAATTCAATTATGTATTAGGTGAATGTAAATCGTCACAAAGCAATGAATTGGCTCTATATACCATTCCAAAAATGTAAGCGTTGGAAGATTTTAAAAAGATTGCCTAATGTCTTATTTTCATGGAAAAACGTTTTTTGAAATTTCGAATTTCAATCATAAATATTTTGATAATCAAACATGCGATGGGCTTGTAAAAGTCATGGGATTCATTTCTGACCTAAAGGTTTATAATTAGGATTGCATCATGAGCTAAATCCAGGATTTTGTTTAGAATCAGAGGCACCAAGTAACCTAAAACCTTTAACTTGTATACATGTACTTTAAAACATAGTTAATAGCCTTCAGGCTCAAAAGAAACACAATGACTTGATCGGAAGATAAATCATCTACTGCCAAAATACTCCTTCTGTATGACAGCATAAAACAAAGAACTAGAATATTTACGAGTTTATCTTGAAAATTATCAGATTTATGGAGTGGGGGGTAGTCATCATCCCTCCTATCATCCAATAACCCATAAGAAGTCGGTACTAATGACCCAGTAAACTTTGTAATAGCCTCTAATTAAGCTTATCTCTAATCATAAAAGTGTGTGTGTGTGTGAAGTACTGCATATATCTAAACCCATTTACGATAATCAATCAAGCAAATAAGTCATGGAATAGTGTTTAGGATACCTGATTTATAGCATGGTCGTACCTCTCTGTTAATATACCACTGTTATAAATCTAAGAGGAGGTAGCAACCATTTGCATGAATCATCTCCGTCATCACATGACCCTGCTGAATGATAGTACACTTCAAAATATATTCTATAATTTTGTTTTCAAATGACCCAAGGAGAGCTGTTATTAAAAAAAGATGTTGTCTGCGTAGAACAAGAAAAGTGTTTAATTACACCCTTTAACACAGATTTAACACCCTTTTAGCTCTAAGTTGATGATATACACATAATGATTACCGTAGGGTTCTTCGACCTTTAAAGATAAAGTTGGGTTCTGGTCTTGCGATTGCATTGTGAAAGAAACATTGTGGAATCGCTTAGAAAAGGTTGATCATGTAGCATATAAGCATCGGTGTGTACTGCAAGGTTCTGGTAGCATCAAAATGATAAGAAATTTGACCCAGTCTTGGTAAAGTTACAAGCACTGTACACAGAAAGATGTATATGGGACTACACGAACATGTGGCATGAAAATCTGACCCGATTTATATGATGTTACACGCAATTTTTCGAATATTAAGGCATTTGAAGAGCCATGCTTTTAAGGGATCATTTTTTATCTGATGTTCTTCCACACTTGCATGATATAATGATCACAAATTATTTTTCACCTCTTCCCAGAACTCAACCTTTCTCTTTAATGCCTCTTCTGGCCCTCAGTTGATGATATGCATGCAATGATTAGGGTTCTTTGACCCTTTAAATTAGCCTTCATAAAAAAAATTGTTAACCATTTCATTAACCAAAAGAAGATATATGAGCAGTCTGCAAGTGTCAGGTGAAATATATCTTTACTTTGTTGTAAGCTTTGTTGTAGGAGTCTTGAAGTAGATGATTGGTGTCACAGTGAGCATTATGTTCATACCCTAGAGTGAGAGAGAGAGTGAGAGGGAGAGATAGGTAGAGAGAGAGAGAGAGAGAGAGAAAGAGAGAGAGATGGAGAGAGAGAGAGGGAGAGAGAGTTAACGAAAATAAGTTAGGTTTATCATGAAGCAATGCAATAATCTCACTCTAAAAACAGTTTCCTCCCAAGTTTCATCTGTCTTATATTTGAAGTCTCTGATTCCATTTCTTCAAAATTCAAAATGAAAATCCATATTCACATAGAAACAGACATTAACTTATCTTACATAAAAACTTAATATCAAAATGTGACCTGCTGCATCAAATATATGAATCATTTAAAAGAAGAAACCGATCTTCAAAAACCCCAAAAATTGCATTGTTATTGGCTTGGCACTATACCTACCTCCCAATGTGGTATTGTATTGAAAATACATGCATACCAATGATCATCCAAGTTGGTTTACATGTACCAGTATTGATTTTGAAAGGTGAATTGCCGTTTGGTCTACAACCAGTTCGTCTACTATCCACATTGACCACATGGTCTAATATTCATTTTGTCTACTTATCATTTGGTCTAATGACCATTTAGGCTATAAATAGTAATTTGGTCTAATCTCCAATAAGTCTACTACCCATTTGGTCTATCATTCATTGGTCAATGGTAAAAAAACAACATTCATCTCTTTTGAGCAGGATATTATGAATAGGATATAAAGGAAAACAATACTTAGGATACATCCGATGTAGATGCCTCTTCACAATCTTAGACATAAAAATTAATTAAGCTTAAACAAATTTTGTTAAATAAAGATTTAAGATGGTAGTTTGAAGCCACAAATGTACAATCTACTCACTTTTTGACAATCTGAATGACATCTTCGTCCTTGAGTGTATGCTCTCTACCGACCTTCTGGGGAGTGTGTTTAACGGATGAGCCCCATACCAGCGCACTAAGGGAGTAAATAGAAAATAAAACATAACATAGGTACAATAAAGAGAAACAACCAAACTGTGTTTTTCTTCCTGAACAATAATGGACATGTTTACAGTTGACTTCATATTATTGAAGAAATCACTCCTCAACAATGGTAATATTTCGCACAATATTAATAATTCGTACTGGGTTTACATACATGTAGTGCATAATACATCTTTTGATGTTCCTAAGCACCTTACAGATATCATTATTACTCTGGTCACCAGGTTCAGGCTTGCCCACTCACAACAGTACATTCTCCACTCCAAGGGGAGCATTCTAGCCAGTAGCCAGGCGCCAGTTTTACAGACGATCACGATGCTGAACAATCTACCATGGCAAGTGCAAATGACTATGATTTTCTTTTTTTTTGGGGGGGGGGGAATTATGGAACAGCTGGGCCCTGTCTGATAAAAGAGTTAAAATCAAACGCAACTTTAACATTTGCAACTGATATCAATGTATGTACATATGAGATAGGGACTGCAAACTTGAGATTGACTAGAGGTCTTGCGATTCTTTCAGACCTGCCAACCTCTGGAGTTCAAAAACTGTATTCTTTAATCCCAAAACAAGGACTGTTACGCAGTTCAATGCCTCTTACACAGTTCCTACAAACAGGGAGAAAAAAAAAGATTTTATGTATCATTGGTTGAATATGCATGATTTTGATGAGTTTCATGAACCGATGAACATCCCCGAATTGCCGATGTGAGATGCTTGTAGGATACTTTACTGGACAGAATGGGCAATTTGCCATTGAAAAATGGTACGAAATACGACAAAATGGCAGGCAGGTCTGCTGGTTTTCTTACTATTTGAGTTCTTTGAGGATGCTCTTGTGTAGATTGTTGCAGAAGTCTTCCACGTTACAGATATCACTTTTGAGTACGACGGGGCTCTCGTAGTCCGGCAGCTGACCCTTAGGCTTGGTGTATCTGATCAAAGATGAAAAACATGACATCACGATAAGAGGTGACCATTGTTGAATGGCAATTTATTAGCCAGTTCGTGGATACACAATCTGCGCATGGGCAGATAATAATAATAATAATAATAATCTTTCAAAGTCCACTCCAAATTTTTTTAAAGATACTATGTCCCTTTTGCAGCCAACGTCAAAGTCTGTAGAACTTTGCAGGAATTATGAATATGTCATGTATGTCCTATCTGTGAAATTTAAACGTTATCAGTGTCCTAATATTCAATTATGCAAGGAAAAACGTTTACTTGCTAGACTTCACTGTCAGACACTATTGAGTGACTGACTGGCTTTGTTTTCTTCTTTGGTAATAACATACATAAAATGAGCTGTAAAGGGTACATGAGCATATGTCTACATCAATAACCCACTTCTTGTAATGGCCAAAATTAAACTGATTGAATCTTTGCGCAGCATAAAACCATTCGGTACAATGGTCTGAAAATCAGACTGTTACTTACTGGCTCTATAGCTCCCAAGTCGATTCGACAAATAATTGTCGTTATTTTCCCACTTAAAAGACATTTTCAAGCCCCCCCCCCCCCCTTTTTTTAGGGAAGTTCTAAATAAGTATTATCTTTCAAATGCCGTTAGAATTTAACCTTTTCATTTTTGGGGCTGCAAATGGGACATAGTACCTTTTAGTTAAACCGAAAATGGAAATTCTTTTTGCCCAATTGATCGTGAGCCTGGCAGCCACTGAGCAGCGCCAGATCGACGATGCTCTGTCCCTTATTGTTGAAAGCCAAACAAGGTAGCAGCAACTCCCGTCTTTTAACGTCTTTTGGTATGACGTGGCCGGAGTTCGAACCCACAACCTCCTGGTTGTGAGGCGGACGCTCTACTGACTGAGCCAACACACCGGTTACGTGTGTTATGGTTAAGGGTCACGTCATGTGTACTAAATAGTGCATTTTCGTAATGGCACCAAGTTTATACTTAGTGCAGCGATACAAATTATTTCAATTACCTGTTACAAGTAATTGGACTTCAAAAGTCAGAATTGCATATATTACGTATTGTAAAGCAGGTCAACCCATAATGTTTGTCCTACCTAGCAACCATTAAAGGTAATACAAAGTTTTAGTATGGGGTCATGAATTTGGTTCAAATGAACATATTGAAAGCATATGCGACCCTACAATATTCAGTGATCGTTGTCACGTTTGAAATCGATTCTTAAGTTATGAAATTATAAATAATAAACTCTTTATGTTGTATAGCTCCCTCTCAAGGTCAAGATATTAATTAAGCTATAAAACAATGTTTATTGACTAAAATCGACCGATTAGCTATTCCTGTTTGGAAATTATATATCACAACTACATATTCTGAAATTTTCATGGTCGCAGCTACCATTGTACGGCCGTACGGCGCTATTTGAAATTTATCAAAATTTACCGGGAGCACCGGTAAATTTTTATATTTAATTTTTCTCGAAAGCAGAAGTGTTTTAGGGGCTAAATTTTCTAGTGCTTATATTGCATCCACAGGGGCATCCAAATATATCGAAATTGAAAAGAATCACCACCATCCAATTTTCAAAAATTCCCAAAACTTTGTATTACCTTTAATGTATGCAATTTGAATTCTGACTGTTGAGAGAAATTAATTTGTTAAACAGGTGAATGAAATAATTTGTATGAGGTGCTTCACAAAGTCACATGCATAGATTTGGTTACTTTACGAAAACGCCCTAAACCTAATCAACACCTTATAGCAACTCTAAACCTGACCCTAATCCTACATCTTTGTAAAAAATAATGCCTGGAGCAATTATCATCAAAGCACTTGAGCACCTACCTCCATGAACATGAAAGCTACATACAGATACAGTTAGATTGATGCTAACACAACTTACATTCTGATCAGGCTCAAGTAGTCCCAGATCTTTTCCAGCAAGTCGTCAAAGTTCCATTTGTGATGGGCGGAGATTGGAACACAGTGAGGGATCTTGTAGATGACGTCCAATTCCTGGAATCGTGTGGAGATTTAATACAGAAATTAAACAAAGATTAAATTTACCTCTCATGCTGCTTGTAACCTTGGAACAACATTCTATTGCAATTAGATCTAGGGGGGTGTTTCACAAAGAGTAAGATCAGCTTCAAGTTGGACTTAACTATGGCAGGCCCTTCATGCCACTGTTTGCTCTCACCATTTACTGGCATTGGTCTCTCAAGGGACGTACAAATCATGGTCACAAATCTACAGAGTTTATATTTTTTGATAATTCACTATTGAAGGAAAAAGTATTATCTAAAGATCATAATGGTGAGAGCAAACAGTGGCCTGAACGTCTGCCATAGTTAAGTCTAACTTAAAGCCAATCTTAGTCTTTGTGAAACACCCCCTGGAAAGATATATTAGACTTTTAAAATGTTCTTTTACTTGGATGCATAATTTTCTGCTATATTGTATGCTATCTGACACCCTAGGATTTTGTACAGAAAATCAAGGATTAAAAGTCTAAACGTTGGCAACACAGTTGACAACTTCAGAATCCAAATTGGCAATTTCTAAAATCTTCCACAGTATCAGCTCATGTAATACCCCATTTGTACCACCAAACTGACGCTACAAGTCCAAACCCACCAATTCTTGGCCGTTTGGGTTTGTGTAACTTTTAGTTCATGCCCTTGTCAGTCTGACATCAGCCTTGCTGGAGTTTATAAACCCTGTTAGAAAGAAGACATTTTTGTCAAGAATATGTAACACAGAATTTTTTTCTTCAAGTGTTGCCAATTTGCCAGTTGGAAGAAAAGAGATGATCAATTGAACCCTTAAAATGATCGTCTTGATTGAAAGATGGCTTGCCTCAATAGAGATCTGATCAATTCTGCCAAGTACATAGATACATGGGATGTACACTCAGTTTCCTTCTATAACATTACATCACAATATAAGAGAAGACTTACCTCAATAGAGATCTGATCAATTTTGTTGAGTACATACATGTAGATACATGGGATATAATCTCTGTTTTATTAATCATATCACACAAAATAAGAGAATACTTACCTCAATAGAGATCTGATCAATTTTGTTGAGTACGTAGATACATGGGACGTAGACTCTATTTCCTTCAATCACATCAATCAGGTCATCCACGATACAATCAGATCTGAAATAAACAACAAATAAGAAAGACAATGTACAGGGGATGTAGCATATATCCTTTTTTTTTCTTCTTTACTATGCTTGGACAGTTAATGTATCTTAGGGTAGGCGTAGGGGAAGGGGAAAGGAAAAGTGTTGGGTCCAGTTTTGAAGTTGAAAATTGGACTAACTTTAGAATTATCCATGAAGCAATTTTTATTACAGCTTTATGTTGTACAATATCAAGGTTTACTTTTTCTTTCTTTTCTTCATGATTGGACAGTTACTGTATCTTAGGGTATATTTAGGGGGAGGGGAAGGAAGGGGAAATTTCTGGTGTAGATGAAAATTGGACTAGTTTAAGAATTATCCATGAAGCAGTTGTTATTACAGCTTTATGTTGTACAATATCAGGGTTTTCTTTTTCTTTCTTTTCTTCATGATTGGACAGTGACTGTGTCTTAGGGTAGGTTTAGGGGAAAGGAAAAGTGTTGAAACCATTTGAAAATACGACTAGTTTTAGAATTGTCCACGAGGCAATTGTTACCACAGATATACGTTGCACAGTATCAGGTTACCGGTATGTCTATGGTGTACCTTACCTCAAAGTGATATCAGCATTGTGTATCTTGTACTCTGATAAGACGGTCTTGACAGTATCAAGGTCAAGCACTGACTGGATGCAGGTAGAGGTCAAGTTGATTCCTCCCTTGTCCTTCCTCTTGTATCCTATGTTCGGTGGCTTCTTGTTCAACCTGCAAATCAAAGATCACGTTGAAATATAACAGAAACAGCATGGCAAAAGTTTGAAATAAATCGGACAGGAATTTATGAATGTTTGAAATATGAGATCACTAAGTCTATGTGAATCTCTAATTGGTAGCTTGGTCAGTGGATTAGGACGTAGGACGTGGATAACTCTCCCACCATTTGCTGTGTGTAAAAATATTAATTTCCATGTTTATCGTAAGTTCCTTCTCCCTTGGAGCACTACTCAAAATATATTACAGATAGCATATTATTATGGGTCCTCTAAAGAAATAGACCCTCCTGAGCAATGAATTTTCGGAAAATTCATATTTAAGTCATTTTATATGTTGGAACGGATGGGAACAGTAGTACGGCACTACATCACATCAACATTAACGCTCAAGCCAATTTGAAGTGCCAATACGTATAGTGATTACAACTTTCAAATCTTCATAACGTTCTTATCAGTTTGCTTCTCTGATTTTTCTGCTTTCTTGTAGAGTAGTTTGTCTATTTTGTTGGATTTTGCGTTAATCATCTTGACCCGATAGGCCTGATACAGGGACTACTCGGCTCCGGCATACAACGGGTTAAGATCTAAACAAGTCAGCTGGGCCTCGTCAAAGTGGCACCAATTATTATTGTTCACTCTCACATAGCTGATGAAACATCAAAATGTACATTGGTGCTTCAAACTTAAAGGGAACCAATCACCCAGAATATTTTGTTCTGTATGATAGGGGTGCCATTAGGCGAAACTACATTACAAATACAAGCTACAAATGTTATTTCTATTAAGAGATGCTGCACGTTTAAATATACTATTGATAAACAGAAAAAAAACTTGTGAGTATGTGGGAAATTACTCTAATTGAATGGGTAAGAACAACAGAGGGAGCATAATTCTTTATCCTCTGAACATACCTGATGCCGAAGCCTTCCAGCTCGTGTTCAATCAGTTTCTTATGCTTGAGGGGTTTGAGAACATCGAGTACGATCAGGATCAGACTGCAGGTCCTTGCCACTGGAAACAAAAAGAAAGGATGACATTCGGGGTTTAAACTACTCTCCTTTAACTTCAGTACATCTCTCACTGTATATCAATTTTACTACACCTTTAAAAACTGTCTCCTACGACAATTACTTCTGAAATTATTACCTTATGGTTAACAAAGCTACTCCTTTAAGAATGCTCCCACATTTTTCCTAACAACAATTACTTTATGTTTTTTTTAATACACATGTTTAAGGATGCAGTTGGGTTTTAGATTAGTTTTAGGGTTAGTTTGAGATTAAGTTTTTGGTTTAGGCTAGAAGTTGAGAATTCGTTTTTTTGTAGTAATCAAAGAAAGTGCAGTTTTCCAGGGGGTATTGTCCTAGAATCATTCAATACATTTATTATTGCTGCTGTTGACACCGTTGTTCAAGTTTACAAATCTGACACAAATTTAAAACAGGGCCTTCCACTAAGCATTTTTGTAATGATCAAAACAAAAAATACTGCTATATTACTATCAAATTCTTCCACATAATCAGGTTCTGTTCTTATATCTTTCATACTATACTAGCATAAAGATCGTTGAAAAATTGCTACTTCATCTAAACAAGCTACCAAATGGAAATTAAAATGAAAATTGAACAACAGTGATGAAAAGACCATTGAAAAATTGCTGCTTTACTTTATAAATGTGCTACAAAACTGAAATTTAAATGTGTACAGTAGCCAAAGAATAGAATTAAGTTGTCCACTTGTCTAGTGGAAAGACTGTGTAAAGAATAAGAAATTAAAAGAATAGAAAATTCACCTGCAATGACCTGTCGTCCTCTTCCTTTTCCATCCTTGGCTCCCTCAATGATACCAGGTAAATCAAGTAACTAAACAAAACAAAGATATGTGGATTAAAAGAATATCATTATGAAAGAAAAATGAACACAGCTCTAGTCAGAAATTGATTTAAAAGAGTAAACACGCAATAATTATAACATATTTTGAGATATCAGCTATCTGGACAAGAAGGGCGTTTGGTGGATGCGAAGGGATGGAGAAAAATGAAGGGTACACGTTGAGAATCGATTCTCTTCTGCCAGTATGTTTGAATCAGTTCGGCTTGGCTCAGGATTTCCAGGTTTATAACAATGGAGTTGAGATAACTTGGTACTCTGCAAACTCTGCATTGCACATCAATTAGATCATTGGGTTATGGATATTGTTGTTGTTACAGGTGCTATTGTAGCTAGCAGAAGACGGGCCTCCCATTGGAGTGTGAACATTTGAATTTTGGATTTCAGACTAGTTGATAACCTACCTGAATCTTAGCTCCCTTGTATCTGATAACACCAGGTACAGTGGTGAGTGTGGTGAACTCGTATGCGGCCACCTCAGAGTACACACCAGCCAAGTTACTTAGAAGGGTAGACTTGCCCACCGAAGGAAACCCTAGCAAAAACAAAAGGAAATAAACAAACAAGTGTTAAAATAATGAAAAAACACTATGAATCATTTCTGGAATGATTAGATAAGGAGTATTTCCTAAACTATGGGTCTGTGATTCCATTCATATTCTCACAGTTAATGATATTGAATTACTAATCAAAAGAATTTGATTAAGTATGATACTACTGTTCAACACAAATAGAGAGTGTTTTACATCTAAGGGCTGGAATGCAAAACTTACATGACCAGTAGCTCTTTATTTTAAACACTAGGTAATCAACAGAGGAGGCTTAAAATTGAGCAAAATCCAATTAAGATTCCTTTAAAATGTAATGTACTAAACAAATTTTACGAAATATCAACTTCAGATAATAAAACATTCTTTGTGAACAATGCTTTGCAATGCATCTTACCGACGAAGCCTATTCTAGCATCTCCAGTCTTGGCAACATCGAATCCTGTGGATAAACAAGAAACAAGATTTTTCAATTTCTGTCATGATTAACAATGTTTTTATTGTATTCCGCACTCAGCATTGGAAGTAGGTTTAGATGAAAAGCCATGGAACAACCTGATATCAGACCAAATAGCGATTTACCGTGACATATCTGAGTCTCTTTCTCGATGTTGTAATCAAACCTGCAGCCTTTAATACTAGAAAGATTCCTAGCTTTAGAAACAAAAGAACAAAAATGCGGTCTTTATAGGGAGGTTGTCTTCCTATACAAGAGTTTGTTCCATGAAACCAACTCCATGACAGTCATATATTTGTCCGCGACCTACGTAAATGTCAGGAAGCGGACAACCCGTTTAACAAATCCATGACAAGTGACAAATTCATGATTTCAATATTATTGGCTTTAAAGTATAGACTTACTCACGATCTATCAGATTTTATCCTGAATTACCAAAAGAGATCATTAGGCTTAATTTAACTCAAACTGTTTGAAAAAGTAAAATATCAAAGAAAGTGGTAGCACAAATGATACAAATATCCAAATTTACATGATAAAGTGTTACTAATGATGTTCATAAAATTGATAAAAATGGAGGTTGATTTTGCGACGAGCGAATCAAAATTTGCAAAGGATACCATATCGCAAATGCAAGCTAAAGAAGACCCCCATTTCATTTCTGTTTTAGAAAATAATGAAATCAATATATTCAAGACTCCCATTTTTAACATATATTCATCAAATAATTATGTGAAATAATAATTTGTATCAGAGTTATGTTTTAAAACAGAAAATATCTTGAGGAATACCTACACGATATGTATTAGATTGCACCAGAGTGCATCTCACATCCTTACAGCCCTTAACTTAAGCAAGCTCTGGAGCCCAACCACAAGGGACTTCATGCTTCGCATCGCTACATACTCCAGGGAATAATTTTCCTCAAATTTTTTGATTAGCAATTTCAGCTGATGGATAAATATTTAAAGTGAAATTCTGTACATTTCTATGGAAGAAAACTGCTACACAAAAGATATTATGTATAGCAGTCATGCAAAAATGCATAGCAAATTGTGATGCGATACCAGGAAAATTATTCCCTGTACTCCTTCCATGATGTTCCAATTTTACATGCTGAAATATTTGCTTGTGAACCCCCCCCCCCCCCTACTCTTTATAAGTTTAAGTTGATACTCACCTTCTCCTGCCCCTCCTCCTCCACCTCCTTTAGGAGTGATGAGTTCTCTTCTCAGCTTGGCTAGCTTGGCTTTGAGCATACCCAGATGCCCACTGGTAGCCTTGTTCTTCTGGGTTCGGGCCATCTGTCAATTCAAGATGAAGTAGAATACTGGTCATGCATTGAAATGGAAACTTTCTGGAAGTTCCAGTCAAACCTGTCTGCAAAGGCCACCTGTCAAAAAAGACCACTTTTTGGGATTCCCTTGGGTGGCCTTAATAGACAGAATTGCCTGGGTTCAGAAAGTATGAGGTCATACTCATATCATTTGCATATTTTACCATAACGGTAAACCTATGATGAGTGTGATTTTTTAAGCCTGCGACTGCTTGATTACATTCTGTCTGTATGATTTGGTCAGCAAAATGTCCTTTCCAGACACATCCACGCTAACGTATTTGTAGACAGAGCACGCTGTGTGTGGGTTGACTCTAATCAAATTATTGGGAATGTTTAAGTAAATTGTTCTTAAAAGTGGTTAATGATGGGCTGTTTACTATGGAGGTTGGGAGGTTATTCCAGTCCTTGATGGTTGACACAAAAAAGGAGTCCTGGTAGGCTCTAGCTTTGTGGCGAAGTTGTAGGAACTTCTGGTTGTTCCCCCTGGTTTCCCTGGGATTCAGTTGTACATAGTCATACAAAGGAATGTCGACCAGTCCATTCTTCATTTTGTATAACATGCTGAGTCTCTGGTTTCTCCTTGGTGACTGTGCCTTCTTCTCTACTGTAGTTGCTAGTACAGAATCTGGCTGCTTGTCGTTGGACACGTTCTAGGGACTTGATATTCTGCTTGGTAGAGGGATCCCAAGCTGACGATGCATACTCGAGAAGCGGTCTTACTAACGCCAGGTACGCAGTTGATTTCACCTTCTTGTTGCAACATTGATACCATGCTCGTTGTATTTCCATTCCGAATTAGATTTTTAAAGAATATTTTAAAGAATATGCCTGTCTGTTCAGTGTATTGCACCATGGACAACCACACTCCTGGTGTAGCAAATTGCCCATGCTGCAGCTGGCAGGGCGCAATCAGGCTCGCATTTCCATTCACGGATTTTCTTCGTAACACAAAGACAAACCTTCAAGTCGATTGGTATAGCAGTACTAGGGGTGCTAGTCCGAGAATAAGGATCGTCCGCATTTTCGCGAAAGACTCTTAACAATCCGCGCATTGGCGATGCCAAAAACAGATTCCACGATGATGTTCCATGATGCATTTCTCATTGAAGCAACACAGAGACTTTCACATTATGAATGATAAATCCTTAATCCTCAGGAAGACGGAAAAACCCCAAAATCTAGTAAAAGTAGACGGTGAATGAACTGGGGCCATTTTATTACACGGAATTCGTTTTTCGCATTGACAGTGCGCAGTGGATCAGGAACCCTACCCGCAGAGCGCCTAAGAAAAAAAAAAAAACGTCTACGTCTAGATCTACGTCTGTGCTGGTACTCGTCAAAAGCCTTTTCAGCAACTAAACGAGGATATTGTGGTGTGGTGTGAAAATGTGGATGATTCTTATTTTTTAGGACGCGATTTGTCCACGTTTTTACGAGGCTATTCTTCATTCCTTCCTTGTTTATAATTGCATATTTTATAGACACACACACACACACTCATGCGATGCCGAATTCCTAAGTCTAGTGCTGGCCATGAATACTGCCGATATCGGAAGACTTCCGAATTCTGACTCCATATCGAGACTGCACAGATGATTATGATCAACACGTAAAAGTGAATTGATGGGACAAGGCAAAAAATGAATGAACAGGCATGATAGAAAACATATGTCAAATTAAGTTAAATCAATTCAGAAATCAATTACAAACCTCTGCCTCGATTTCAGAAATCCTTTCCAAAATTCCCATCCTGATATCTTAGTGACCAAGCAGACTTAAACCAAAACAGTAACGTAAGTTACGTTCAATTAGTGGACTATCGCTCCGACGCAGCCTCCGAGAATGCGTTAGGCCTACAGTAATTTCAGTCAGTGTGGCAATCTACTGCGCATGCGCGGACTGAAGATGGAGCGCGCGCGGGCGCGCTCGCTCGATGTAGGTACAAACGAGAAGAGAAAAAAAAACTATATAAAAGTTCTATATTTTTTATATTTTCAATGTCTTCTATCTTCTTCTTCCTTCTTCTTCGATCTTCTTCCTCCTTCTAATTCTTCGATCTTATTCTTCGATCTTCTTCTTCTTCTTCTTCTTCTTCTTCTTCTTCTTCTTCTTCTTCTTCTTCTTCTTCTTCTTCTTCTTCTTCTTCTCTCTTCTTCTTCTTCTTCTTCTTCTTCTTGGCTTCTTCTTGGCTTCTTCTTCTTCTTCTTCTTCTTCTTCTTCTTCTTCTTCTTCTTCTTCTTCTTCTTCTTCTTCTCCGATCCTCGATCGATCTTCATCTTCTTCTTCTATCTTCCATCTTCTATATCCTCTATATCCTCTATATCTTCTATTATCTTCTATCTTCTTCTTCTTCTTCTTCTTCTTCTTCTTCTTCTTTTTTTTTTTCTTTTTCTTTTTCTTTTTCTTTTTCTTCTTCTTCTTCTTCTTCTTCTTCTTCTTCTTCTTCTTCTTCTCTTCTTCTTCTTCTTCTTCTTCTTCTTCTTCTTCTTCTTCTTCTTCTACTTCTTCTTCTTCGACTTCGATCTTCTATCTTCTATATCCTCTATATCTTCTATTTCCTCTATATCTTCTATTTCTTCTATCTTCTTCTTCTTCTTTACAGATTAAGAGTCTGCATTTCATAGCAGAGATTTATTGTAAACACTATAATCTGCAATGTGCATAATCTTTTCATTAGAGACCCCAGCCCCCCCCCCCCCACCTCCGCCCCGCCCCCCCCCCCAAAAAAAAATAATAACAATAATAATAGCGTTTCAAGACCATACAAAATAAACAAAAATAAGAGAAGGAAGGAAGACAATTAGAAAGAAAGAAAGAATGGATAACTTATTTCCAGCTCGATTTTTTGATCAGCGTATGATACCCGCGGCGTGTATGGGAGCCACTTTTTCCATTTGTTCCCACCAGGGAGGTGCGTGAGACTCATTGCATATGGCAAGCCATGATGATACTCATGAAGACGATGCTTATTTCATAAGTGCTTACCATAGAAGTCTCTATAAGCGCCATATAAAACAAAAATTAAAAAAAATTAACTCTCGCCCGATGAGGGACTTAAACCCGCGACCCTCTGATTAAAAGTCAGATGCTCTACCGACTGAGCTAACTGGGCATCGGCGTATGTTAAGTTATGTAAGAACATTTTATCGCCTATACCAATCATACACAAAATGTGATATTCTTCATGCTACTTTCACTCCCCTCCCCCACCCCCCTATATATATATATATATATATATATATATATATATGTGTGTATATCTCTCTCTCTCTGTCTTTCTTTCTCCTTCTCTCTCTCTCTCTCTCTCTCTCCTTTTCTCTCTCTCTCTCTCTCCGTTCTCTCTCTCTCTCTCTCTCATTCTCTCTCTCTCTCTCTCTTTTTGCACAAGAATTATTTAGGGAATAGAGCCAAGCTACTATATATTATGAAATGCAGGGTTGGCATTTTATAAAAGCGTGACTGACGGGACAAAAGATTTTTTGGCAAAAACTTGTTTGTTTATTGATGTAGCCTTTGGTTCTGGGGTCAATTTTTGGGGGGCTCAACAGGGGGGGGGGGGGGGGGGGAGTGAACACTTCTTTTTATTTTCCTTCTCAAAATCCACCCCCCCCCCCCCCCACCTCCTTGAGCAACAAAAAAAGGCGATCTCAAAAAGGAAATGAAAGAATCAGACACATTTTTTTCCCCCATTTGAAAACACCCGAAACACACAAAAAAAGGGTGTCTTTAAAAATTCTAAAATATCCCCCTTTCTCCAAGGGGGGGGGGGGGGGTGTTTGATTCAACACCTAAAACACGCCGTTTGCCAAGGGGAAGTTTGAACACCCAATCCCCCCCCCCCCTTGATACGCCAATGATTCCTTAACTTATCAACTACCAAGATAAACTTTATTGCTATACAGAATAATGGCCGGAGAGCAAATCTTGCAAACCAAGTGATACCAATTTGTGTTTGATTGCTTACAACTCTATCAGCTTAATTTTCAAAACATGAGTTGCTTTTTTATTAAAATCATGCATAGACTTCACCTATAGATACACATTTTCTTGCAGGTAAAACTAAACTAAATTCATATCCTGCAAACAAAAAAATGAAAAATTCATCAACTCAATCATTAAAAATTGCGTCTGAGTTTTATTCTTTTCACAGGAAAATTTGCCTTTAGCACACAAAAATTATCAAAAGATGACCAATTGGTGAATCAATATAAGTATCAATAGTGAGTTTCATGATGAGTACTAGTTAAGAAGATTTATCGAACACTCAAAAGTGCTGTACCATAAAACCAGATAGTTTTGACACCTGGGCCTGTATTCAATAAACTTCTAAGACATTCTTCTTAAGTCTAAGAGAAAGGTCTAGAATTTGTCTAGCTTTAGAAAGTTGCCTTAGCCATATTTTAAACATGGTAAGCACTTTGCCTTAAGTTAGACGACAGATACAACAAAATTCTTAGCCCTCGACAATGCTTTTAGAGAACACACATTTTTGCTAAGACTTTTCTCTTAGCAAAACAATTTAAAAAAGTTCTTAAGAAGTTTATTGAATACAGGCCCTTAACTTTTGCAAATTGTTAAGGGCATCAATTTTCACAGTAAGAAACTTGCACAAATCGTAAAAAAATTGGTCCTCTGTCAATTGTGATTCAATTACTTCGCAGTACAAAACTTTCGCAAATCTGAACCACTCATGAAACTTGCAAGCATTTCACGCATGCAAGAGTTTCTGGTTTTACAGTACACATGTATTATGCACATATGGCATTTGAATGAGGTGTTGCATAATTATTTCAAAAGCTACACTTGTTGCAAATGACTAGAAACGAGAGCACATAATATATTCTTTCAGTAAGTAAAATTACATTCAAAACGTGCTTTTTCATTATCAAGCTTGATTATTTATCATTATGTATCCAAATTATAATTCCCTTTGAGAAGCCCCACCCCCAGGGGGGGGGGGGGGGTGGTGGTATTCTGCAGGCACAGATTCAAATTTGATACTTTTCACGATTCTTAAAGCAAAGAGCAGAGCCTACTTTCCGTCAGTCTAGAGCTATAAATTGCTGTGTCAAAGAGCAGCCAAGATTCAGAGCCTGAGCAATATGCCCTCAGCATAGTATCACAATGCAGACACTGTCTCGCACAATGACTGACAGGGTTTTTGCCTGAAAAATAGCCCCCCCCCCCCCCTCCCACCCCTTGCCAAGATAAAGTAGAAACAAAATTATAAATAAAGAGATTTTACAGGAATTGTATTGCTTTGATTGCTTATTAATTTCAGGGATAAATTCATACAAATGTCAAAATCACCATTACTACTAATTCATTCCATCAGTAGCAAAACCTTTATCATATATCTTCAACATCCAGATTGTGGTGCTTCTTTAAAAAGACGAACACAAAAAATAGCAATAATGATAATGAATCTATGTGACCGAGATTTCACACAATTTACAAAATTTGTTCATGATGAGCATGTACGTGCACCTGGTGACATAAAAATACAGTAATGATTCATTTGAAAATGCATTCAAACAAGTGAAAACTCTCATCCAAACAATGAAGTACAGTACATTAACTTACTAGTATGTGAAGCTTTAGAATGATATATGTAAAGAGTTCTCAAATACAAGTTTGATTTGTCAAAGGCTTTGCTGACATAGCGAAAGACAGCAAACACTGGTACAATGATAAACATGTACCGATATAATAAACTTGTACCATTCATCAGATTCTACAGAGAAAGCACCATATTAGATATACCGTATTGATAGACTTGAGCAAGGCACAACATTGTGAAAGCTTTGATTCTAAGCCTCTGCAAGTATTCTAATTTAGAGAATTTATCAAGCGCACTTGTGCATTACTATAACAATGCTTATAATACTGATATATTCTTCATACATATTATTGTTTACACTGGTTTTCCCATACTAGTACCCCATAGAGTACCGAAGCTGTGACGTCATAAAAATCTATTTTTAGAATTTCTCAATTTTTCTTCATTTTCCGAAAGAGCATCAAAATAATGTCCAAAGGTCGAAAACCAATTGAATATGTTAAGTATTGGCTGAGATATGACCATCTGAATAAAAAGATGTCCTAGGAACTCAGTGTTATATGCTCTGGCTCCTAATGGTTAGGAGCCAGAGCATATGACACTGAGTTCCTATGGGAAATATATTCATTCAGATGGTCATATCTCAGCCAATTGTGAAATTCTAAAAATAGATTTTTGATGACGTTACACTTCACCACTCTATAGCTATACAGCCTCTCCATTTCGTGATGTTTTGCATTTTCTTTTGATCCAGAATGATAGGAATTACACATCATACATGAGCACAACGAACAAAAATAATTGAAAAGTTTGACTCTATTTCCAATGCAGTACGTGCAGCTGTTCTCCAATAAGAGAGATTTAATTGCAGCTCATCATCAAAACCTTCAAATTGGCAACATGGTGTTAAATGAATATTCACTATTTTATTGTACACATTTTGGGGTTTAAGTTTGCAATTTCTTTCCCATTGGTACAAGAGCAAGTACACCATGCAGCCAAACCTTCCAAGATCTCCTATACATCATAAACTTTGAACAAATACATGTATTTATAATCAAAACAGCTTCTACTCTGACAAGACTCCTCTACCACCAAACACTTCTCACAGTACCTGTTGCAGTATTCCTGTATACTGCAGAAAATATTTATTTTTCTTCTGACTGACTTACAAAGGTACAAGCAATATGATTTCAGTAAAAAAAAACTGTATCAAAGTCTCTACAAAACCTCCAAAAATGTCACTATATGAGTGATAAAACATCAAATTTTAAAAGAAATAAATGTATAAAGAAAAAATATCATAAGTTGTTCAGGTGCTGTGTTAATCGATGTTGTCTCTTTGGAGCCAGGAGGGTGTTAACTCATGTCATTTTACACAGAGGTAACCCGCTGACTACTGAATTCATTTATTACCATAAGCTTTATACAGGGTAGCTTGGTTCCAGTAGGCAATTTGTTAATAGCCCCCTGGCTCGATAAAAACGAATTACATGTATGTTGTCAAAACAGGATTTCAAAGTCATAAAATATAATAAAACTGATGCGCATATACCACATGAACACTAAAGAATAATCAGCTCGGCTAAATATCAAAATAAATTCTTTTCAACTAACTTTCAAACAAAATGTACATATAAATAAGCAAATAACTGAAAAGGTATATTTCAAAATCTCCCAAGACTATAAAAGGAACAAACAATAGTTTTAAGTAATATTGCACATCCTTTTTTACAAAAAAAAAAGATTTTGGAAAGGGTGACAATGATCTACATGTATGTAATAGTTACATAACATTTCAACAATCTTCAACAATAATTAAATGTCAGTCTAAATATTAAGACTAAAATATTAAGACTGTCATGATATATTTTTTTATAATCACATATAAAAGTAATTAAAAACATCTAAACACACTGTAGTTAAATAATCATGTTAAAAAAATGTTACAACTCTAATAATAGACTTCTTGGTGTTACCATACTTTTTACCGCATATTTGAAATATTAATGCCATTCAGCTTCACACCAACATGGATAGTGTTTTTTAAACTACATGTAGTGTAGTAACAAATAGACCATTCAAAATGGGCAACTCCCTAAGGTTTACTCCAAGCGCGTCAATACACTCGGCAACAAAAAAAAAAAAAAAAAGGGGGGACACTCTTTAGTGTTCAAAATTTTTCATATAAACAATCAATAAAATAGAATTAAATATATTTCAAATTAAAGATAATTTATACTCTATCAAAATCAATTAGAATCAAGTTTCGAACCATCGATCTTGCTCGGATGGGCACATCCATTAAACCATTTGATTGGGAAAAGCAACTCCCTATTACAGTAAATGTATGGTGTTGGTTTACTCCAAGCGCCGAGTAAATACACTCAGCAATAAAAGATACCCCAAAAAGGGGGACACTCTTTATTGTACCTCAAAATTGTTTATATAAACAATCAATAAAATATAATTAAATATATTTCAAATTAAAGATAAATTTATAGTCTATCAGAATCAATTAGGATCAAGTTTTGAACCATCCATCTTGCTTGGAAGGGCACATTCATTTAACCATTAGAAGGTTTGCTTGAGAAAATTGCAAAAATAGATGAAGTAGCCATTCAAATGTTGACGAACATGTGCATCTGCAAGACATTCTTGTTCAACAATGAAAACAGAGAATGAGAAAGATGGGGAGGATTTGAGTTCTGGATGTCAACTGTAGTCTCAGGACTGCATAGTTTTGACAAAGAAGGTCGGGATGCCTCTCTATTTCTTAACTTGGGCTATCAATAAGAAGATACAATGATTGCGATAACCTACTGATATCCTTACAATTGATTGGGTAAAAGCATATTTGTCATAGATCTGTGGTAGTTGTTCATGATAACAATTTTCAGGAAAAGGGGCCCAGAACTTGATTCCTTCATAATGTCTCAAGCCGTCTTGTTGCATCTTGCACTTTTCAAGATTATGGTTTGTGCCTACCACATGATATACCGGTAACGGGTTTTCTAGATCCTAACTTGGGATCATCATAAATTCAACCTTTAGTCCGTAGCTAATGTCATTCATAACGTTTCAAGCCTTTATTATTGTTGCATCGATCTTGCTCTCATTAGGATCCCAGTTTGCACCCCTCACAATGCATCAAGCTTTCTAGCCCATATAGAGTGGTGATGTGTGACGTCATCAACAAACTATTTTTATAATTTATCAATTTTAACTTCACTTTCCGAAAGAGCATCAAAAATAATGTCAAAATGTCAAAAACCAATTGAATATGTTAAGTATTGGCTGAGATATGACCATCTGAATAAATAGATTTCCTCTAGGAACTCAGTGTTATTTTGCTCTGGTTCATATAACATTACAATGCTCTTTTGGAAAATGAAGTTCAAATTGAGAAATTCTAAAAAGTAATAGCATGGACTTATATAACAAAGTATCATAATTTACAGCCTATAGGTTGTGTCTTTCGTGATGTATCGATCAAGCCTGACATCAAATTTTGCGCTTACCAGGCTCACATTTGAAGCACCAATTACCTACTCCATATAGGATGGGCTTATAACAAAGAATCTTACTTTATAGTCCATTGCTTCTTTCTTTCAAAATGTATCAAGCCTGACTGTTGCATCTTACTCTTACACACCTGTATCAGGATCACAAGGCATCATGCTTTCCAGTCCACATAGCATAGGCTCACAACAAAAATTGTACTCTATAGTCCATAGATTGTCTCTATCATGATGTATCGAGTCTTATTGTTCTTAGCTTGTGTCTGTCAACCAAGATACACGCTGCCTCGTTCGAACCTCCACAGTAATGCGACGATGAAAAAACAGTCAGTAGTTTGCCTTTCTGCTGAACCTAAATACATGTATAAAGATAAGGAAAAGAAAGAAGGATTGTCAGACGTTCAAAATATTTAAGCATGAAATAAAACGAGGGAGGGGGGGGGGTGGGAAAGAGGCATAAAAGAAAAACCAAATGATGTTAAAACATTTAAAAAATTCACTTCAGTTCAGTTTTTCGATGTTACACATTGTCAGCTTTGTTTACAAGGCATATAATGATTAGAATAATACTCAAGTATTTTCATTTAACGTGAGTACATAAATATATTACATCACTCTGGTATGCTTGTAGTTACTTGTAAAATAAGGACCATATAAGTAAAATTGGAAATTGAAATTGCATTTTTTACGTTATTCTTCACCTTCTACATACTCCTTATCTGCAGGCTTATAGAATGCCGGGCAAATTTATTACAGGTTGATTTTTATCTACTCTAGCCATAAACAAATTATTTTTTTAGGTGACTGGTTCATTTTCAGGTTAACCACATGGTGTTTAATACCGAAAGTCTCCATTTGGCGCGATAGCTCAGTCGGTAGAGCAGTGGTCTCGTAATCCGGTGACCCGGATTCGAAACCAAGGCGATGTGCTAATGCCCTTTGGTAAGGCATTAATCCTCATAACCAGGTCCCCGGAGAGGACCTAAAGCCGTCGGCCGTCAGGTTGCTTACTTACAAGCATTTATACTCTCTTAGCAGTCAGGTAAGATAACAACCACAACCACCAATTTGCGAAAACATGGATTATTCAAATTTGGAATCTTGGGCGGGCTTGCAGGGGTCGGGATGGAAGGGGTTAATTAATACGCACCTGGAATCCTGCTTGCTGTACTTCATGCGCTCGTATCACATGGGAAAGATTGTTGACCTGCAGGAACCTCTCAAGAGCATCACAGCTGAACATGTGACCTGTTCCGCGACGACTGTTAAACACGAAGCCATTGTTGGATTTTATCTCTGACATCTGATTCTCATCCAAGAACTCTCTCCTGCACAGAAAAAATTCATATGAGAAAAATTGAGAAACAATGTGGAGGTGTCTTGGTACAGTGGTTCACTAACTGCACTCTCAATCCAAGACTTGAGGGTTCAATCTCAGCAACATCATCTGGCAAGACATTAATCCACATTTGCCACTCTCCACCCAGGTGTAAATGGGTACCTGGCAACAAGTTTACTATTATTATTATTGCTACTGTTGGTGTTGTTCATCACAATATTATTCAACATTATCCTTTATATCCTATTTAACATCATCACCTTACTATGATCATCAAAAGTACTATCATTCTTATTTCTATTATTCTCATCCCATATCAGATCAGTCTCATGATCTCATCATAATTTTCTGTATAATTTTGTTTATCTTCCTTGCCGTAATCATCATCATTGCAACCATCATCATCTACTTCATCATCACCATGATCGTTATGAGCATCATCATCACACTCCCCACCACCATCACCTAAATCACCACCATCATCATCATCATCAACATCCTTAGCATTGTAATGATGATCATCACCATCATCATAATAATCATCAACTGCAATTATCATCATCATTATCATCATCAACATCACCACTATCATCATCACCATCATAATCATCAACTGCAATTATCATCATCATTATCATCATCAACATCACCACTATCATCATCATCATCATCATCAACATCATCATCATCATCATCATCATCATCACCACTATCATCATCATCATCATCATCATCATCATCATCAACTGCAATTATCAGCATTATCATCATCAACATCACCACTATCATCATCATCATCATCATCATCATCATCATCAACATCACCACTATCATCATCACCATCATAATCATCAACTGCAATTATCATCATCATTATCATCATCAACATCACCACTATCATCATCATCATCATCATCATCATCAACATCATCATCATCATCATCACCATCATAATCATCAACTTCAATGATCATCATGAACATCATCAATATCACCATCATCATCATCATCCTCATCATCATCATCATCATCACCATCACTTTCATCATCATCATCATCATCATCATCATCATCGCCATCATCATCATCATCATCATCATCACCATCATCATCATCATCACCATCATCATCATCAACTGCAATTATCACCATCCTTATCATCATCCTCATCGCCTCATTACCATCCTCACCATCATCGTCTTCATCATCTAAAACCGGTTTCTTACTTGAGAGGATCATTCCACATGAGTTCCCATGCCAGCTGACTCTCGTTCTCAGGATCTTTGAGAGGAACCGGTATCTTGTTGATTTCAGCTAACGAGCAAACACCGCCCTCAGAGTTCGGTACTCCTCCATGCGTACAAAATATCTAGATCATCGACATGAAAGACAGAGTGAATGTCATGTGACCCAGTGAGCAATCACAATCTTACATTCCAAATAATTGCAAGCACTTTCATATTGTTCCTTTTTTATAGAAAATCAAAATCATATTTGACTGTAATATGAAACACTGCAATTCTACTATTTCTGTACCCATATCATACCGGTAATACTTCTATTTTGTGTAATGTAAGGCCATAATGGTACATGTATTTCAAAACAGCACATATGACACGAGGCATGAAAAAAGTGAATTACTAAAACAGGGTTTAGGTTTCAAAATTCATTCAACACTCTCATCATAATACTTTATCAAAATATGTTTTTAATACAGAGAAGAAAAATCTGTACAACAGTGCACATTTATTATTTTTTATCTTCCCGATATAAGAAAAAGACATATGTTACACTGAAGTCAAGGTTCTTCGCTACAATTCATAGATTTCACCTTGTTATCTACTACAGCAGCTATCGGCATGGCATCAAAGCAACAGTTGATCGCCTCCCAAACCTGCTGACCTATGGTAGCTCCAAACTTCTGAGTACACTCCCTGAAAAAAAACAATAAAATATTGATTTTTTTTTTTCTTCAATCCAAGGGGTTCAATGGATTAATGGTTAAGAAGTTAGGAGAAAAAAGGATATAACATAAGAACCCAGGTCTACACCCACGCTCGACTTGGGATCATTGCAAGCCATATTCTGTGCACGCGCATATGATGGGTTTGTTGACTAGCCTACTCACAAGTTACTTTTACTGACAGGTAATTAGACTTGCAGTACATGTGTATGTATTGTATTGTAGAAGTTGTCCGCTACTTCATCACAGACACATTACCAATTCAACTACTTTGAAGAGCCATACCTTGATTGGCCCAAAGTTTCAAAAATTCATATTTTCTCATGTTTTGTCCAATTTCATTCAAACTTCCCCCAGTAAGACGATTCAACCACTTTGAAGAGCCATACCTATAGTAATTGAAACTTTCACAAGTTCATAACTTTCTCATGTTTTGTCCGATTTCATTCACACTTTCGCAATGCAGTAAGCTTCTCTGATTTTTCTGCTTTTTTCTTCAGTAAGTTGCAATCAATGCTGTATTTCCCTTTAATGACTAGACTCCACTGCTTGGACATATACACTTACGCTTCAAAATGGAACATCTTTTGCACAGGCCTCAGCTCGTGGTTGCCTCTGATCATGAAGAACTTATCCGGAGCAAGTATCTTCTGAGAAAAGAGATACGCTATCACCTGTCATGAAGATCATGTAAAAAAAAAGCACAGAATTAGAGGTTTATCTGTTCGTGATCATTACCAATGGGCAGAAATACCGTACTGCATCATAGGAAAGTAGTTGTGGAGTATTGTGTAAAATCGGGGAAAGTCTAGGGGGATATTTTACAGAGATCCTAAGTTGAACTTATCTCTAATTGGACTTATCAATTATGGAAAGCCATAAGCATCTTTGAAATATTTTGTAAATTATAAGGCATAAAATGTTGATTAAATTCATTCATATTTTCTATTATCAAGGAGATTTCATGTTTTTGATGAGGAATTTTTGAAAAATCAAAAAAATACTTGAATTTTTGCTTTTGAATATATTTCATTTTAAGGCTACAAATGGCTCTCCACAATGTTTAAGTCCAACTTAGAGTTAAGTTCGACTTAGGACCTGTGTGAAACACCCCCCAGGACTCTCATACCATAGGTCCATAGTTAAAATAATAACCACAATGGCTCCAGCGACATGGTTAATATAGCATATAAATTGTAGAAATCAATTAGATACACAACTACATGTGTAGTTAAAAAAGAAGTTGTATCTTTTTTTAAACCGCCTTCCATGGTATAGATTTCATTCACACATCATTTGCTTCATTTTGATGTCTGAATTACTAAATTAAAAAAAAATAAGAATAAGTCAAATTGAAAAATAAACAAGTTGCTCAATGAATGGATAATTTTAAATTTGTTTTATTTCATTATGTTTGTACAAATGAAAAATCGCTAGAAATTTTCTTGATGTATTTCATAACTTCCTATAATTGATTTCAATCGATTTACTTCTGGGACAAAGATCAATTACCAGTACATCTTTTCTACAGCATCAATAAACATCTTTTCAGACTGCAATATTTTTTTGTTGTTGCTGGAAGTTTAAAAGAAACAGAAATGCCAATTATCAATCCGATTTTGTGTGTGTTGCCTATCCCTTTCCATGCAGAAGGACCCCCCACCCCCACCCTCCTCCCAACAACAAAATATCCTGGCTACGCCTCTGAATTTCACATGCAATGTTTCTTACCTCTACGCCATGTTCCCCTCTGTCTACGTAGTCACCGAGAAACAGGAACGAGCAGGGCGTCAGGAGAGGCCCCATCCTCCAGAGAGCCTTCTCAAAACAGACCAGATCATGGAAGTTACCATGGAGATCACCTTCAATAAACAAATACATTGCAAAAGAAAACATGGATAAAAGCAAGAAAGTGTAATTCAAAATACATGCATGTAGCTTGATGAATGGTATTTACTTGCACTTCTAGCAGCACAATTTTTGCTGTTGACATGCCACTAACATGGCATTGCATATATGTCCTTTGGCATGGCATTAATCTACATTTGCCACTCACTTTGCCACCCAAGAGAGAAATGGGGATCCGGTTGGATGACAAAAGCACTTGTGTTTAGTAAATTACCTAGAGGACCTTATATTGACCATGGTAGGAATACTCCCCAGGGAGTGGCGATGGTGCAAATTGTGCTTGAATCCGATGATCGGGGTAATAATATCTGTAAAGCACTTAGAGGCGGTGCTCTGTATTAAGCGCTATATAAATCTAGATTCATATTATCATTACCCTTTCATAAGCCATGATCCTACGTAGGAGTCACAGACAGTTGTACCATACTGAGGACTAACAAAACAGGGGGGTATTTCATAAACAATTTGTAAAGTTACGCATGACTTTACGAACGACTTGTATATGAAGTGCCAGATAGGATGCCCAAATTTTTTTCTGATATTTCCAATAACCTCAATTAAATTATGGCAAAAAATATACTTTGCATTGATATTGGTTATGTTAATCTACATCTGCACAGTTTAATCTTAATAAATAATAATCAATAATGATTGAGCATCGCATTTGGCTTTTCATATACAAGTCGTTCGTAAAGTCATGCGCAACTTTACGAACAGCTTTATGAAACACCCCCCAGGTCTATTATGAAACAAACAGGCCTATCAAAATTACCTAAGATATATGTTGGTGCATTCAGTTTGATAAGTCTAGGTTCATTGGCTAGTACCCTCTGAGCCTCCCGACACAGGGCTAGCAGACACTTGGCCAGGGACAGCATCTCCACCGTCCCCCAGCTGAAGTTGTCCTTAGCCTTGATGGGGGCTGCATTGGCCCTGCCCGCATTGGTCTCCCCGTCACCACCACCATCAACAACAGGACTGCCTTTGACGGAACGCTCAAAGTAACGAAGACCTGTCAGCATCTCGTTGGGATGGGATCTCTGAAAGATGAAATTATTCATATCTACATCAATGCAAGAATGAAGGCCTGTTCACAATGACCACATCTTTGAATCATATACTCAAGCATACTACACCTCACATCTTAATGCCTTATAGCACATACATTAGTACATGTGTATGTGTATTATGCCCCTTTTTAAATACGGTATTGCAATAAGAAATGATGATAGTGGGGTCACTGGGTTGCCCCGATATTTGCTCGTGCCAAGACTGCTTGCTACAGGCTTTATTTCATCAATAGTAGGGTTATGGTAACATGGTTATGGGGAGCAATTTTATCACTTTTCATAGCAGGTTAGTCAATTCTGCAACAATTTTTGAAAAGTAAATATGAACTACTAGGAAGATTGTAACATTCCCTTTGCAATGAAGCCAATATTATTCAGGTTACAAGCATTTTTAAATCTTCGCTCTGGTACTAGGCCACTAGGTCCCCAGAAAAGAAATAACTGTGTCGAACAACTGACAGTGGTCATGATGATGTGATCATATGATAGAGAAAGGAGACAAGCTGACCTGGTTAAATGAGTCCACTGACGATATTCTCTGCATCCTATTCTTGTCGCCGTCAAGATGAGGTCCTACGCTGTTCGAGACAGCTCCGGTATCTAGATATGTAAGTGATATTTCTACTTGCAATATACAGTCCAAAACTTCCATTTACGTCACGATTTATCATTTATTAATTCCCTATGGTTTACATTCAAAAGTATGCCCATCATGGTGCAGATGACACAGTTATTTAACATATTAAATATTCACTTTAACATCAATAAATTATCTTTTCAGAAAAATCATGTTTAATGTTTGCAAATTTGAATAAGATTATTGAACAGTAAGAACCCTTGCTAGAAGGAAAGGCCTAGAGGACATAATGTTAAAAAGCACTTCACTCCCCCCCCCCCCCCCCCTGAATAACTTTCACTCTTAACTATTATAATCACAGGAAAGGCTGATCATTTGGGAAACATCCATAAATACATTTTCTTTATATAAATCAGATTAATTTCATGACTCTTATACATGGCTAACTGGACATGAACAATGCTGTTTCGGGGGAGGCCATTTCAAAAGAAATGAAATAAAATATAGTGACTATGATTTCATGAATTTCAATCCAACTATATATAATTCTAGAGAAATAGAACAAAAATCATGCTCTCCTTGCCATGGTTAATTTATATTATAAGACGATGAAGTGGATCCTAATCAAATGATTGGTTGAGAACGTACACAAGACCAGGCACTTAATTTTTACTAATGACTGGTCTTTAGCAAATACTAATGACCGGTCATTAGTAAAATCATGTTATAAAACATCATTTTATAAAACAAAAAAAATATCATCTTATAAAACAAATAATACACATTATGGTTCAGGCATTAAAAAAATTACCCACACTACCTTCAAAACAGTCCAAACGCCCTCGACTGTCGCCTCGGGCGTGTTAGACTTTTCCAAAGGTACCTTCTGTGGGTAATTCTTACTAATGCACTTACTGCTGTATATCATAAGTATACTCAAACATTCATGTACCTGCTAGTTCCCATAATGTTCTGACGTCCGCAAGCGTCCCGCTTCTCTTGACCTTGACAGCATGCGTCGCTAGCTCATACTCTTGACCTATTGACCTTTTGACCTCCGGAGATTTGAAAATGGCTGCTACAGAATCGGTCTCACTGTCACCAGATGCACACACTGAGAGAGGAAAAGAAAGAGAAATGGGGATTATCAGAATATTTAAGGCTAGAGGCTAAATAGAATTATATACCTCTCTTTAGTATGTTGAATCAATCTAGTCATCTGATTGGTAGAAATTGGAGTCGTGATTTTAGCCATGCCTGCCTAACGGTCAATAGTTAATGAGAAAGATGCCCGTTGCCCCGGGTAAGGGGCCACGTAAGGTAAGAAGTTTCTTTGTGCGAGCGCGGATACCATACACTGCAGTGTGACGTGTGCGATTCCTGAATGATCGTAAAATTCAGGCAACTTTCCAGTGAACATTTACAGACATTGCTCAAGAAAAGGATAAGGTAAGAGTTCTTTGTGGATTTTTTTGTAAATTCGGTTTATAAAAGATATATGGACTGCTGATATATGGACAAAGCATAGCTGTTTCTATACTGGCTCTCGGGGACGTTACCCCCTTTTTTTTGGGGGGGGGGGAGTGGGGTGTGCCCTCTTCAAGGGCTGCCTGCCCTGGGTACGTGCCTCCCCTGAACTATACACCAATGACTTCTACTAGTCTGAATTGGGAGTAAGAGTGTACTTACAATCACTTGGCTGGCTACCAAACTTCATGCTAACACTGTGAGTTCTCTTCTGTTTCTTGACTGACTGACTCTTCTCACCGCCACTCTCCTCTCCAGACTCAGAAGGAGACCTGATGATGGGGGAAAGAATGAGAAAAGAAAAATAATGAAAGGAATAGATGAATGTTGGGTAAAAGAAAGCATTTACATGCTCATTTAGTGCAGAGTGGTATCGAAGGTACTATTAAATCTCTTTCTTTTTTTGTAAAAACATAAAAATGGTTAAATTTTATTCCAAATAGTCACAAACAGCTTGTAAAAGCAGGATGGAAGATTCTGCCAGACAAATTATTAAATATGCTAAAAGAGAAGTTTCCCTCTTTTTAAAAGTTTTAGATCTCCTACCAGAGTATTTTGATTGAATAAAATAAGTTAGATATTGCTTTTAGTGTATATTGACACAAACTCATTAAATAGCTGAGCTAAGGAGAGGTGAGAAATGAATGTGACAGAAGAAAAGGAGAAATGAAGGATAAAGAAGAAAATACACAAATATGGAAATATCGCATCAAAGGAGAGGGAGAGAGAGAGAGAGAGAGAGACAGACAGAGAGAGAGAAAGAAAGAGAGAACTTTCATCAATTGAAGAAATAGTGAACGTGCACTACAAATAAAAGAATCTTAATGAGCAAGTACACGATGGTGGTCTCCTGCCTTCTAAATTACCTCTCTAATTTATTGAAAAATATTTACTATATATATTTCTTATCTTATTTGTATGCTTCATATAATTTATTGTATGATATAATTGTACATGATTTTCTATTTAATTACTTTTGTAAACATGTTATTCATTGTATTAGTTATTGTTCGAATTTGGTAATTTGAGTTTGAATGTGTATGTTTTTGAATGCAGAAATAAAATCAAACAAACATACAAACAAACAAACATGTATGACTTACTCATCTGCAGCAAAGCCCCATTTATCTGGTATACTGGACTGAGGAAGCCGGAACAAGGCTGAGGTTCCTCGGAATTTGAGCTGACCAACAGCACTCAAGAAGTCCATCAGGGTGAGTGACACTTTATGCTCATTACCAAACACCCTGTACAAGGAATGAACAACAAGAGATGGGGGGGGGGAGGGGGGATGTTACTGGCATTATCAAAGGCAGCTCAAGGATTTTGTTAAAGTGGGGGTTCAATTGCCCCTAAAATGTCTGACAAGCAAGAAAGCAAAAAAAAAAAAAAAGATTAACAAGGGGGAAAAAGTGGGATTTAATACACACTAATGGGGCATAGCAAGAAAATTGCGATTGATTGCAAATTGCCAAATTTGCAACTGATATTTGCAATTGATTGCAACTCAATTTTCTTGCAACGCCCCACTAGTCTCCTAAATTTCCTAGGATTTTGTTAGGATTAAGTTTTAACAATTAAATTAAGTTAACTAGATTTAGCTTTCTTCTCCCCTCTCCCTCTATCTCTCCTACTAATGGGGCATTGCAAGAAAATTGAGTTGCAATTAATCGCAAGAATACGCTGGATTTGGGGGATTTGCAATTTCTTGCAACTTTCTTGCAACGCCACATAAGTCTCTGACATACAAAAAAGTGTTTTGGACCCCCCCCCCCCCCCTCTCCATTAGCATCTATCCCTGCATGTGAAACAATGAAAGTAACTTTCATCAAGCACAGAAACCTACCAAGCTCCTCTTATTTTTTGTCCGTCAAAAAGAATGAAAATATTCATCATGTTTATTGTTTAATATACATGTATACAAACATTTATTATAACTTGTTATTGATAACAAATTTTTATGAAACAGCTCTATATTGATTGGATAACTGGCAATGCTGTGGTGATAATAATTGCATTGCCTGCAAGAGGGCAGTATAATTAACACTGTTGTGGCTAACTTGGCTATATAAATGAAACCAAATTATGGTATTGAATTGTTTATTGGGATTTTTTTCAGCAAATTAAAAAATAATACTTACTTTGCTAAAGTCTCTGCTTCTTTCTGAAGTGTCTTTGGATCAATAGGCTGACCCTTGAGTTGTCTGATATCCGATACCATCTGTCTGAAAATACAAATATGGGAAGAAAAAAAAAGTATAAGTAAAAAAGTTCAAAGGCTCGTTCATACATAGCACAGTCAACCATGGCAGGGTGTTTGTTTTTTTTTTACAAAGCAATATCATGCTTCACATTCCTGTATCTTATAACACATGGCGGGGGGGGGGGGGGGGGGGGGGGGGGGCAGCGCTCAAAATACACAGGGGCGGTGGGCAATTCGCCCCCGTGAGCTACATAATCGCCCCCGTCAGGTTGCTCATGGGGGCGATTGCAAAATTAAAAATCGCCCCCGTGGAATTATAAAATAAGGATTATCTTTTCTGTTATAACTTTAACACAATATTGAGCTTCAATTTTCAAACCTTAAACCAATGAAATGGAACTTAGATTAGCGTGCAAGATTTCTCGTTTTATGAGTAGGCCTAGTTATTACCGATTCAGCTCGCAGTGCAGTGCTGCCGTCATCAGTGGTTATAGGCCTACTGCGCCGTTAGTAGCGGTACGTGTGCACGCTGCCGCGCCATGTCTGCTGGAGCTGGAGGCGATCGCGCAAGGGCAGAAACATGGTCATGGAGAAGTTTTTCGTTGTGAAAGCGTTAACCCGCTGAAATCTGGTGATTTCAAATGACCAGCAAATAATGAAACTCGACCAGGGACTTTTAGATTTGCACGATGAGAACGTGGACTGCAACGTGTGACCTCCTTTTAAAGGGACTATGTCCCATTTGCAGGCCAAAAAAATGAAAAAGTTAAATTCCAACTGCATTTGAAAGATAATACTAATATAGAACTTCCCTAAAAAAGGTGGGGCTTGAAAATGTCTTCAAGTGGGAAAATAACGACTATTAGTTGTCAAATCGACTTTAGGGCTATAGAGCCCAAAAGTAATAGTCTTGATTTTCAGACAATTGTACCGAATGGTCATACGTTTTATGCTACGCAAAGATTCAATCAGTTTAATCTTGGCCATCACAAGAAGTGGGTTATTGATGTAGACAAATACTCATGTACCCTTTACAACTCTTTTCATGTATGTTATTACAAAAGAAGAAAAAAAGCCAGTCAGTCACTCAATAGTGTCTGACAGTGAAGTCTAGCAAGTAAACGGTTTTCCTTGCATAATTTGAATATGAGGACAATGCTAAAGTTTAAATTTCACAGATAGGACATACATGACATATTCATAATTCCTGCAAAGTTCTACAGCATTTGAGGTTGGCTGCAAAAGGGACATAGTACCTTTAAGGCAGTGCCAGTGCTTAAAAGGACGTGACGTGTGGCTGCCAGTGCCTTAAAAGGACGTAACACGTCCACGTCTACGCAAATCTAAAAGTCCGTATTGAGAAGAAGAGGAAGACCAAGATGTCGTGGAATGATATGGTAACTTGGGCAGATCTAGGGGGGGGGGGGGGTTAGGGGGTTTAACCCCCTCCTCCCGGCCCCCTTGGGCTGCAAAGTGAAAATGTGACATTAAAGCGGGGGGGGGGGGGGGGGGGGGGGGGGGAGATGCTGGAGAGGAGGACTACTAATCTATTTGATTTTTTTCAGGGGGGGGGGGGGAGTGAAGCGCCGTTTTAGCATGACTTTCTCTTACTCTTACTTTCACCTATCTCAGATAACCCTAAGTTTTTGGTTGCTGCTTTATATGTAGTTGATAATGCATGATTAAAATAAAGAGAGAGAGAGGGAGAGAGAGAGACCACCATCATTTTGCAATGGTTCAGGGTTCGTGTAATGTACATTTGAAACCATTTCTTAGCGTCTCAACCCTAAAAAAATAGCAAAACTATTTTTAAGGAAAAGCATTATACTGAAGTAAATAAAGATTAATAGCTTTATATTGGATCATACTAATACTGATACGGGCTAAAGACAATGTGGTATTTGTATAGAGGTATTTCAAAATGACATTCTGATAATCAACATTTGTTCTGGTATCATATGTATATACGCATAATACAACTGATCTTTATGATTTCTTAACGTGACATAGCTTCTTCTCCCCCTGCAAACAAAAAAGAAAACAAGGTTATTTAATAAAAGGATCATGTGACAAATAATCATTGTGATTCAAATTGATGCAAGGATTTATTTTAATAAGCAATGCTTTTCACCAGAATCTTCTTTGTAAAAACGACTTTTACAAATCTCAGCCATGCAAATCTGCCACTGTGTTGTAAGATCACTTTCAGATTAGGAGAAGTGTATTCTATAATGAGTATTTTACATTGAATGGAACGTCACAACTCAGAAAGCATGGATGAGATTTGTAAAAGTTTTTTGTACAAAGAAGATTCGGGTGAATAGCAGTGCTTATTCAAACAAATATTCGCATCAATCTGAATCACAATCATTATTTGTCGCTTAATCCCTTTTAATGACCTTGTTTTCTTTCTCGTTTGCAAGGGGAGAAGAAGATATGTCACATGAAAGACATCATAAAGATCAGTGTTGTATGCGTATATATTATATACACAGGCCAGTAACAGCTATGTACATGTAGCTTGTAAATTTGTAAGAGGGAAAATGCTGATTGAAATGATAATGATGAAATAGCAAATATTTGAGGAGTATCGTAGGTACCAATTCAATGGATATTTGTATAAAATAGAGCCCCGTCAGTACTAAAAGAGCCCCCGTGAAAAGGCTCACGGGGGCTCTTTTTGGGGGGGAAGAGCCCCCGTGGACAAAAAATTAATTTGACTCCTGGGGGGGGGGGGGGTGTTTCATAAAGATCCAAAGTAGAACTTAACCTTAAGTTGGACTTAACAATTATGGAGAGCCATTTATAGCCTTAGAATGAAATACATTCAAAAGCAGAAATTCAAGTATTTTAGACTTTTCAGAAATTCCACATCATGAACATGAAATCTCCTTGATGGTAAATATGAATGATTTGAATCAACATTTTATGCCTTTTAAAATAACTTTTACCAAATATTTTCAAAGATGATGACAGCTTTCCATAATTGTTAAGTCCAACTTACAGATAAATTCAACCCTAAGTTTAACTTGAGATAAACAGAAAAATAAATGCAATTGTGTGAACAGACCTTTAGTGACAGCCCAAGAAAAATTATAATCCATTTTGAATGTGTGTTTGTTACACTGGATCTCAGACCATCTTCCATTGGTCAGGAAACAGTAGTATAAAAGCAGGTTTCATCAATTGAGAGTGAAATTGCTACAGTAAAAAAATATAGACAAGATTCTATACCACAGTCAAGAGAGTCATTTGTGTGATTAGGGTTTACACTACGTTTAGGGTTAGGTTTTGGTATAGTCTTGGGTCTAACTCTAGGGCTGACGTAAGGAACTGAAATAATATTAGAAGTTGATTGCAAAGCAAATATTGTTGGAGCATGTGATATCATGAGAGAGGAGAGACAGAGAGACAGAGAGAGAAAGAAACAGAGAGAGAGAGAGAGAGAGAGAGGGGGGAAGAGAGAGAGAGAGCGAGAGGGGGGAAGAGAGAGAAACAGTGAGAGGGAGGGGAGAGAGACACAGTGAGAGAGGGAGAGAGACAGAGAGGAGAATATGGAGAAAGAGAAACACATAAGACACACAACAAAGAAAGAGATAGTGTTAAAGATAGATAGAGGTAGAAATATAAAGTAAGAAACTACTATGTGTGTGTGTGTGTGTGTGTGAAAGAGAGAGAGAGAGAGACAGACAGAGGGACTTGTTTTTGTGTATATAGAGTGGGAGAGAGAAGAAATTCTGCATAAAAGAGATGAAAAGATAAATTATGTGGTGTGTGTAATCGTTTGATTAGAGAGAGAGAAAGACAGAAGGACAGAGATGGAGAGGAGAAAATGGGGAGAGGGGAGGAAAAGAGATATAGAGAAAGAGAGAAAGAGGAAAAGAGATATAGAGAAAGAGAGAAAGAGGAAGAGAGATATAGAGAAAGAGAGAAAGAGGAAGAGAGAAAGAGGAAGAGAAAAAGAGGAAGAGAGAAAGAGGAAGAGAGAAAGAGAAAGAGAGAAAGAGGAAGAGAGAAAGAGGAAGAGAGAAAGAGGAAGAGAGAAAGAGGAGAGAAAAAGAGGAAGAGAGAAAGAGGAAGAGAGAAAGAGAAAGAGAAAAAGAGGAAGAGAGAAAGAGGAAGAGAGAAAGAGGAAGAGAGAAAGAGGAAGAGAGAAAGAGAAAGAGAAAAAGATGAAGAGAGAAAGAGGAAGAGAGAAAGAGGAAGAGAGAAAGAGAAAGAGAAAAAGAGGAAGAGAGAAAGAGGAAGAGAGAAAGAGGAAGAGAGAAAGAGGAAGAGAGAAAGAGGAAGAGAAAAAGAGGAAGAGAGAAAGAGGAAGAGAGAAAGAGGAAGAGAAAAAGAGGAAGAGAGAAAGAGGAAGAGAGAAAGAGGAAGAGAGAAAGAGAAAGAGAAAAAGAGGAAGAGAGAAAGAGGAAGAGAGAAAGAGGAAGAGAGAAAGAGAAAGAGAGAAAGAGGAAGAGAGAAAGAGAAAGAGAAAAAGAGGAAGAGAGAAAGAGGAAGAGAGAAAGAGGAAGAGAAATGGAGAAAGAGAGAAAGAGGAAGAGAGAAAGAGGAAGAGAGAAAGAGGAAGAGAGAAAGAGAAAGAGAAAGAGAAAGGAGAAAATTGTGAGGGAATGATTAAGTTTAAAACAGTGTAGTGATTAAAGATAAACTCCAGTACTGGTAAAAAAAAAAAATTAATTCTCACAGAATCAAACGAAACTTACACTGAATGTTCAAGATTACAAATAAATGACATGTGCCAAACAATTTTGGAAGAAAATGTATACTGGCTGAGTAATGAGCATAGAAAGACAAGGAAACCAAGGTAGTACCATCCCCGACACGATGTGTGTTGTCCCATATATAGCTTTCTATGTGAGTGTTTGTTACTTTACAAGACTCGGTCAAATTTATTATGATTTTGATGACTCCAGAACCTTGCAGTGCACACCAATACTTACATGCTACATGATCAACTGTTTCTGATCCTTTCACACCTTTTCTTTCACAATGCAATCGCATTACCAGTACTAAAGTTTAGCTTTAACTACACTATTGATAGTTCCATGAATCTGCACATAACAAGTTGCATGCAACTCTTACAAAGTAGCAAAAACCATGTACATAGAAAGCACAACACAATGAATCAACTATCCAAAGATACAATACGTCAACAGCAATCCCTATAAATTTCTATTAATATATCCTTCTCCACCTCACACCCATTCTCTTGGCACTTGGGTTTTCTCCGTTTAATCAAATCATACCAAATTTTCTGACCGAGTGCGTGCGAATTGACACGCATTCTCGCAAGCTATTGTAACTACATGCAGGCGACTTCCCATTGAAAGGTAGCAGTATTGATCTTGGAAGCTTACAAAATGTCACGACACAACACTGGCATACGATGCAAATAGGGTGTCTGAGAAACCATTTTTAAACTGCATTCAATTGAAATAATTCAGCTTTCAATAGATGCTTAAAGAATTCCAATCACACAATTTACTTATTTTGTAAATTATTGGCTTGTATTTATATCCTGTGCCTTTGATATAAAGATGAATTCATATAATGTATATCATCTGTTTTGGAATAAAAAGGGCACTGATAATTTAAATTTCTTATTACTTTTAATGAATTGGCACTCTTTTGGCTCTAAATAAATAATATTTATAATAGAGAGAGAGGGGGGAAGAGGAAGAGATAGAGAAAGAGAAAGAGAAAGAGAAAAAGAGTGAGATAGCTAGGAAAGGAGAGAGAGAGAGGAGAGATAAAATCTTACTTGAATCCTGTAAACTCCATCTTGCCATGCCTGTTTTGGTCATAGTACCTGAAGATGTAGCGACATCGCAGCTCTGCAGGAAGGCCTCCGTGGGGTGCAGAGGGTTGCATGGCCGCAAGACCATTGATGAAGTCTTCAGGATCTAGGTAACCTTGTCTCTTTGAATCGAAAGCCCTGAATGACATGAAATGGTACACCAATTTAATCCTGATTACAATGAGTATAATTAATGACTGACATAAACCCTTTTAAAACATGACAGAGTATCATAAACTGCCTTTAAAAAGACAAGTGCTGAGGGTTACAGGGTCATAGGACAGTTGATGAAGTATTCAGGATCTAGGTAACCTTGTCTCTTTGAATCAAAAGCCCTGAAGACCAAGAAATGGTACACCAAATCAACCCTGATTATAAATAATAATTAATTTATAGACCTGTTATAAGCTACATTTGGACATGACATAGTACTTAATAGAATAATAGAATGTCACTTAAAGATGCTTCTGGAACGCAAAAGGCTTTATGTAGTTGTTGATATAATTATGTGAATTGACTTCCCATTTTGCATACCGGTATCTGAATGAAAATTTGGGTACATTTTTAGAGTAATCAAGATAGTACATCATTTACCGGTTCAATTCAATTCAATCCCCATGACAGTGATTACATTGCAGCCTACAACAAGACACTATGAAAATTAGGTTTGAGCTTTTTTCAACTTTCAACGTAAATTAATATTTCATGACAAGTCAATGTGCCATTTAAATGTACATGTTTTTTCTTCCTGCATATTTAATACAAGTATTATAATAAAAAGGTACCTTTTGTTCAAGTAAAAAAAAAAACACTTTCACGGTTCACCATCATAACTTTCAGAGAGTGACAGAGATTAATGCAGCATCTTTCTCATCATAAAGGGGAGGAAGCGATTTGTCTTGTCAAAATATTGCAAGGACATTACACATCCCGACTGCATGCATAATAAAGGGCAATTCTGTCATGTCACATTTATCAACTTCTTCCATCCATTAAGAAATGAGAATAGAAAATACTCTCTTGCTCCCCTCTCCTACCCCCTCCCCCCTGAATTGGCAGTGTCATTGTGATGAGGTGCAAGGCAAATTTACCATTTGTTTCAAACACAAAATGACTAAAAAAACTTTCAAATTGTATGACACAGGAGTGTTTTTACTTTTATAGAACCTTCAATAATATGCTACCCACAATATATTTTGACTAGTGCCCCAATGGAGAAGGCAAATTTATTTCTCTAGTCTATACACACAAAGGGGGAAAAGTTGTCCTTGAATATAACAATCTAGGGATCAAATTGGCAATTTGCGTTTGCATAGACAGTTTCTCTATTTCAAACAGTCATAATTAATTTTTCATTATGTTTCTCTTATTTATCTGCATGCTTTCATACAGATGAAATTTTTACAAAGGTTAGATTGCCTTTTAGGGCCATTCTAACCAAAACAGGCTAAGAAATGAAAAAAAAAGAATAATTTTGACGGAGATTCCGAACATGACAATGATTTTTCTTAGGAATCATCAATAATTCTGGAATCTAGCTTTAAAAATGATGACTCAGAGCGCTCAGGAAAAAGCCCAGTTTAGGTGATGACACATTTGAGGTCACTGCAGGCGCCTCTCCGATGAAAAGGAGGGTAATTTAGGCATTAAAATGACTTTTAAAAGGCAAACTATGATATTAAATGAAGAAAAAAAAGACATCTATCCGAAAAAATAATATGCACTTGATAATCCCAGCACTAAAAGCTAAAAATTAGGTCAGTATGAGCAGGTGGTCTTTCTATACAGGTTGTTACTAAAGAAGGTTTCACTGTTTGTGTATTGAACCATTGATTTTTTTTACAAGTAATGTAATAACTCTGCTTTAGCAACCAAGACCGCAATAACTGTTTCCCATGTAAAAAAAATTTATTGAAAGATTGCTAAAGAAACCTATACATTTAGAGACCCCCTGCCTACAAAGACCACTCTCTTTGTCTCCCTTGAGCAGTCATTAGGTTTTCACTGTGTACGTTTCATATGAAATGAGAAAACAGTTAGAACCTTTACTCAAAACCATTTGTTGCATTACAATATCCACATCACTTTTCTAGTGAAAATAGTCAGACAGTATTAAAGCAAAGGTGACTGAGGAGGGAAAAATATCATATTTTCCCTTCAGAATCCAAGTCATGATACAACACGTTGCCATGGTTTCCGTATTTGCACTTTCACTCAATGCTCCCTCCTCTTTAGATGAAAACTGAAGTGTATTCACCGAGATGGTTTCATCTGCTGTGTGATAACTCTTGGCTTGAAGTGTACGCACGTACATATGCATGTTTATTCAAGCATTATCTCAGCACTCCTTTTATTGGAAAGGGCATTATGTGAATGTACGAATACAGCCAATGCAACAAATTTCTTTTCTCATAGTATTTTTCAATTCCCACATTCCTCCTCGATTATGATATGCATGCATGCTTTAAGACTGGTCTCTATTTTATGTCTGGGTTTCTTTATTACATACCTTTAACTGGTTTCCATGGTGATTCATTTTATGTCCACATGAATGCATGTGTGCCTTTGTACTCACTGAAAGCTTTTCTCATCAAAATATTTTTTAATGAACACTCAAAAATTGATAATGAAACATTCAAGTTTTGTCTACTTTCTAATACAACCCCGGGGGCATTCATTTTTTCACTTTATAACCTACATGTATAATTATGTATCGTGATTTGATCAAGACATATATATATATAAGTAATGTTAATTTACAACGTTTTTCTCTTTTCATCATTTCTCTCTTTTACCCACTTTTTTTCATTATTTGCATTAAATAATACAACAAATTTATAATACAAAAAATTTAACTGGGAACCTTCATATCTTTTATGGTTTAGAGATCACTATCCCTATCAGTCTTTGTGGGCTAACCTACTCCGTCATTGTTGCAATAAGCCTGTAAATTATTCATTCTCAAATTTCTGGTTTACTCAAAACAAATGGCTATTTTATGTTGTCAATGAAACTTGTAAATCTCATGTAGATACACACAATACCTGTTCAGATGTCAGTATCTTTTAATGTGTTATCAATGTATTTTTAAGCCGTGTCCTTTTTACTCTGTAAATTGAACAACTCTAGCTGTTTAGCTGCATGTTCAATGATTTGCTTTATCTCAATAAACCAAACCAATACAATACTCTATTTTCAATATCTAACAAGCAGTTTCTACATTTACGTCAGAAGGAGATACATTTTGAGTGACATGTTTTTAGAAAATGCACTGGACTGGAAGGAAATCTATGTAGCTAATATGTAGCAAACGTATTCACAAGCAGGGGAACAGACAATATAAGCACATTTTCAAAAAAATACTCTACATGTAATTAAAGGATACCTCACCCTAAAGAATAGGTATCGGTATATGCTGAAAGATGACATTAATTCATTCCTGCATAATGATGTACAATATTCCAGGGAATAATTTTCCTCAAATTTTTTTATTAGCAATTTCAGCCGATGGATAAATATTTCAAATGAAATTCTGTACATTTCTATGGAAGAAAACTGCTATACAAAAGATATTTTGTATAGCAGTCATGCAAAAATGCATAGCAAATTGCGATGCGATACCAGGAAAATTATTCCCTGTATTCCTTACAAAAAATGTACAAGGGACATATAATATATTCTTGGCCTTTTCCCATGACATGGCCAAAGCCATTTTCATGATAATGGGAAGGAAGCATCCATAAATTTGAATACATTTACTCAACAAACGGCTACGAATAGTATATGTCACGTCATCGAGGAAATGGTGATTAATGCCTGACAAACTATACATTATGCTAGAGATATTTTTCTTTATACCTCTCGCATACACTTTGCTGGGAAATCTTGTAGATTAATGGGTAAGAATACAACAAACCTTTCAGAATAATTGAAATTATTCCTTGCGGTGAGGTGTCCTTTAATTATAGATGTGGCAGATTGAGTTTTGAATGTGCCCCTTGCCTCCCCCCCCCCCCCCCCTCTCCCCATCAGATCCATTAATCTACATTTGCCACACTTGACCAAGGTGAGGTAAATAGGTACCGGTAGGATCCCTTGAAATGCACTGTGCTCTGATAACGGCTGCCGGAGCTAAAGCGAGGGTAATAATTTCCAAAGCTCTTTGGAAGTGCATATAATGTATTATGCGCTATACAAGAACTGCATATTATCATTATCATTGGAAGCTCAACAATACATTACTCTTACCTGAATAGATTTGGACCAGAGACTGGTGGGAGTCCCTTCTCACACATATACTCTGTAAAGACTGCTTGGCTCATAGACTGACAAGGGGAACACCGCTCACAGTACACAGCTAGGAGGTAGCTCTGTTCTACAACATATGATTGAGTAGGAAGGAGATGTAAAATTAATGATGATTTCTAGAGTTATTAATCATATAACTTTTACCAGAAACATCATCATAAGAAGCCACTTCATAGAGATACAATCTGCAGATATTAACACTTCGATTACCCGCTTGCCTCTCTGCACTATCGCTCATTTGCCACATATGCAATTCTGCATAAAACAGTGGGCATCTATTGACGGAAGGATCGCTTTGTCTGACACAAAGGCTTCAAATGCAAGATTACCGATACCCATTTCTGGTCTAGATTAGTTCCATGAGAACCCTTTTAAGACAAGTATAGATTAGTCTTGAACTGGGAACAGTTAAATGTTGAAGCCTTTCGTCACATCTCCCTGGCATATCTGTTCCATGATAAAAACGAAGTCAAACAGGGAGATTAATTTTGTGGCATTATCATCATTATCATGATAATTATTTATTAAAGTCAGCATTTACCGTCTTAGGAGGAGTTTTGCGCCATGATGAAACTCCCTCCCTTCACTAAATTCTTCTTGTCTCGAGCATCCTCCTCATTTAGACCAACCTCACTGCTTTCTTTCTTTCGCCATATCTTCAATGAAATATTTGGTTTTCCTTATCCTCTTTAAATGCCATCCACTTCCAGATCCCAAGCTCTTTTCACAGGTCCATCATCTTCCCTTCTCAACACATGACCCATCCATCTCAATCCACTTTTTACCACTTCAACCCCAGTTTGGCAGACATCCGCAGACCCATCCTTTCCATGGGCTCACTTTTGTTCTTTCTATCGGACAATTTCACACCACATATCTTCTGTACCGTGGCTCTTTCTGGTCTCCTCATGATATGTTTTTCTACTGTCTTAACATTCCATGTTCCTGAGCCATATACCATCGGAATTCTACCACAATAAATAACACAGGAAAACATACAGATAAAGAGTTAAGGCACATACAACATGTCCTCATGAATATTATATGTCATTATTTAATGATACATGGGTGGAAGTAAAATAGTAAACAAGCCTATATTCATGAAGCATTTTTATCAGTTTTGATTTTTGTTTCTCTTCTAAAATGGACCAAGTGGTACTTTTCAATTTTCAAAAGATGTGTGGATATTTTTGGTCCAATGCTTGAACCGGTCTTTTGGGGACTGATAGCCTTTCAGTCAATTTCTTTTAAAAGGGATACCACTCTTTTTTGGTTCCTACTGCTTCTTTTCTTTCTCTTTGTATGTGAGCAGTTCCCATTAGAATTAGGCCAGAGAGGAGACAAGAGTGACATAAAGACACAGAATATAAAAAAGAATAGGCAAGCACATCATATTAGTCATTTTGCAAATAATTCTATAAAAATGTCCCTGCCCTCCCCCCTTCTTCTATCCCTTTGCAGAAGAGACTATAATTCTATGTAGTCAGGTCTCATATCTCTCTCTCTCTCTCTCTCTCTCTCTCTCAGTCTCCCTCTCTCTCTCCCTATCTCTCTCTCTATCTCTCTCTCTCTATCTCTCTCTATCTCGCTCTCTCCCTATCTCTCTATCTCTCTCTCTCTCACTCTCCCTCCCTATCTCCCTATCTCTCTCTCTCTCTCTCTCTCTCTCTCCCTATCTCTCTCTCTCTCTCTCTCTCTCTCTCTCAGTCTATATGTCTATCTGTCTATCTCTCTCTGTTTCCAAATTTCTTTCTCTCTTTCTATTAGTTCACTTTCTCTTACTGGGCAGAGGTATTACATTTTCATTAATCCATTCTGGATTTCAAGGAGAAATTATACAAGCTCAGTCCAAACATAATAATGTCTGAAGAACAACATTAAAATTTAGACAGCTGAAACCAAATCTAACACAGGAAGCTAATCAATTGTGAAATCTATCAACTATGAAGAAAATTCACGATGAAAATTGTAAATTGTTGACATTGATCACCATAACAACATAACAAACAGACCTCGTGTGAAACCTAATATTCAAACACGACGATAATGCATTGTTCACACACACAAAAGCTGCATTCACACCGCAAGCACAAATCGTTCATTTTTCTCACATTCTGGCGTTTCATCAGTATTTGCTAAGCATGCAACTACAGGCAAAGACATCGAAACAAATGAAATCGTAAAATCCACCCCTGAAGTATGATTTTTTTTAAATGATGTATGTGTAATAAACATCTCATGTCTGTATCTCACAAAGTTCAATGAATACGTAAGATCTATTGTTGTACATGGCTGCTATTCATTTAACACGTTATACAACAACCCCCAAAATGCAGATATAGACAAGCCTTGAGAGTATTCACTAAAGAGAAATGTAAATATTGTTTGATGTCATTTTATTTTTTTGTGCCGATGGATTTCAAGGCAGTTCATAGCCTCACGTGTGAATGAGTATTAATAGCGTTTCAATCCAGGAGCAGTTATTGACACATGTACACAGTAGTGGGTAATTAACTTTGGAGCGGGTAATTAACTTTGGAGCAGTCAATTAAAGGGCATTGGTGCAACACAGCGCTATTAACCCACAAGTGTGTTTTTTCAAGAAAAACACACATAACAAAAGTTAGGATTGAATTGAACAGAATTTAATAGAATCAAACTGAATGACATTGAATTGAATTGAATTGACTGGAATCGACTTGAATTGAACTTGAATGTAATCACTGTTAAAAGGGAAGTCCACCCTGATATTAAGTAGGTTTCAATAGAAGCATCAAAATTAGAGGAATAGGTCAGTGAAAGTTTGAGCAAATTCGATCAAAAATAAGAAAGTTATGGATTTGCGAAACACAAAATTGGCAACTTTGTGACGTATCTTGCGAGGTTAACTCCAATTTCCTCTGTACTAAAAAATATCAGAAATTAACATTTCCCTAATGTTATGAACCAGAGCAAAATAACACTGAGTTCCTATAGGAAATCTTTTTTTGGATGGTTATATCTCAGCCAGTACTTAACATATTAAATTGTTTTTCGACACTTGGACATTATTTTCGATGCTCTTTCGGAAAATGAAGAAAAAAACTGAGAAATTTCAACAAAAAAAATTGATTTTTTGATGACGTCACACTTCACCACTCTATAATGGATTCATTTTCATGAAAGAGAAGGACAGTGGCTTAATGCTTTATTGCACCGACCCTCTACAATATTAAATTAGCTTTGGGGCAATCTACAGGCTTGTCTAGACAGTAGACACCAAAAGTAAAGTGTTTTCTAATTTCTATTCTAATTTTCAAAGAGGGACTGCATCTGTTTAACTTACTAAAATACATGTACTGTATCATATTTAATTTACAACTTGTTCAATGGTGCATACATTTTGTGTAAGTTCAGTAGACAAAATTTTCAATTAATTACTGTGAATTGTTATCGTGTACACAATTCTGTTTCACATGGTAATATTTAGACAGTCCAAATATGAACAAAAAAGCAAATACATACTTTCCCCAATAGACTGTAGTGTTATAAAAACAAATTTTGAAATTTTGATTTCCTATCATAAATATCTTGATAATCAGACAGGCGATCGGCTCGTAAAAGTCATGGGGTTCTTGACTGACTTAAAAGTTTATAATTATCATTGTGCATGAGCTAAATCCAGGATTTTGTTTCAGAATTTGATACAAAGTTACCCAATCCCTTAAAAAAATATCTTGAAATTGAAAGTTAGCTTTATAACACTACCGGCATTAAAGTAAATGACCATTTCGGGGGTTGGTTCGTTAATTTTTTTTTTTTTTTTGTATGTTTTTTTTTCTTTCTTATTTAACAGTGCTGGATATTATTGAAAGCTGATCAACATGAGACTGGTAAACACTCACCTTCTGGGCCAAACTTGACAGCTTCTAACATCTGCTTGAATGCAGACATTGTCCCTGAATGATGGTGAGTACCACTCTCTTTATCATTAGAGAGTTGAAGTAAGCTCCTTTCCTTGAGTAATGACAGTGGATATTCCATTCCTGAAACAAAAACAAAATTAAAGAAATGTTACAAAAAATTGCTCTTTAAAATAAAAATCATTCTCATTCAAGGCTGGTCCATGAAATGGCTTCAATTACATGTATATTCAAACACTGTACTATATTACTGTAATTTATTACATAAAGATCTTAATTGAAGTTCTTTAAACAGTGGTAGAAAGTAGGCAAGACAAGGGCATATGCCTCTCCCCCCCCCCCCCCCCCCTCCATTTTTTGGCAGTCCATGTGGCATATCGTGAGAACATAACAAAATCAAGTCCCTCTAATTATTTCCTTTGCCCCCCCCCCCCCCCCCCCAATTTTTTGTAGACCCCTAAATGCACCTGAAAATGAGAAGACATTTTTTATATCATATCTGCAAAAGACATTATTCTTACATGTGAATGTGATAGATAAATAGGGTATTTTGCATTAAAAGACACACTTATATGTACATGAATCAATAATATGCTTTAACGGTAGACTCGTGAATATACATGTATGTATTACAATTTTAGGCATACCTTTATCACACTATTGTAAATAATGTAAATAGTCTATGGCTTTTGTGTACACATGTATGGAACTTATATAACCACTAATAAAACTGGCTTTTGAAATGAAATAACTTATAAAAGCTTAATCAAGACTCTTCTTTAACTTTTTCACTATAGATAGTTCTGGGGCGTGTTTCACAAAGATCCTAAGTTGAACTTATCTCTAAGTTGAACTTATCTCTAAGTTGGACTTAAAAATTATGGAAAGCCATTAGCATCTTTGAAAATATTTTGTAAAAGTTATTTTGAAAGGCATTAATTGTTTATTCAAATCATTCATATTTTCTATCATCACGGAGATTTCATGTTCTGGATGTGGAATTTATAAAAAGTCTAAAATACTTGAATTTCTGCTTTTGAATATTAAGACTCCAATGGCTGTCCATAATTTTTAAGTCCAACTTAGAGTTAAGTTCTACTTAGGATCTTTGTGAAACACCCCCCTGATCTGACATTCTTAGGGTCTCTACATGTATGCATACATAATTACATTATGCCCCTGTTTGAATTTCACAAATTTTGGAGGGGGAGGGTCCAAACAAAAGTTGGGGGCCTTGTGCACCAGGCCCCTGTTTTTGTCAAGCCCTGGCATAGTGTAGTAGATTCTTTCAGACACTCCACAATGAATATCATTTGCATCACAGTTTTACATCCTATCTGAGGGACCTTCTCACCTTTCTCTATGACCTCCATGAGTTCCAAAGGTTCCCTTCCCCGGAGGTCACCGTTCAATACGAGGCTTTTCACTTCCTCTAAGGTCGCCCACTTCTGTGCACACTTTGCATCATTGGTGGGGGATAGTGGGACAGCTGTAATAACAACAATTAATAGTCAACATAATTAATAATGAAAATAATAATAATAACAATACTACTACTACTAATAATAATAATGATCATAATAATCATAATTACAATAATGATCATAATAACAACAGTTGGCCTCTGCATTTATCTTGATTATTTTTTTACTTACCTCGATACTTTCAAGCTTTCAACTATGCATTTTCTATTTGTGTGTATTTAAGTTGTCATTCTTTATGTAAATCAATTATATTACATACCGGTACTATTATTGTTATTTGAATGTTTTTATATTTGATTGTAAAATAATCTGGCTATAAAAAAAATAAAAAAACAGCAGCAACAACAACAACAACAAAAATAGTAATAACAATGATGATAATAATGGTGATGACAATAGATTAATTCATATATAGCATAGCCAATCCTACTCTACTGCATTTCCAAGATTTAACTAACAATTCATTTGCTTAAAATCCTTGCAAAATCTGGCCATAATGGAGAAAAAAACTTTATTTGCACATGGAAACAAAGTCAATGTTTTCTTCAAGTTTTATTTCAATGAGTTTTCTATTTTCAGAACTCATGGTTGACTTGAATAGGGGGGGGGTATGCTAGAACTGAATATAGAGTATTCGTACCTTGTACATCATCTGTGTTTTCAACTGAAGCAAGAAGACTGATAACAAAGATCCTCTTCTTTCTGAGTTCCCTCTGAAAGTCTGGTTTATTCACAACCGAGAAGGTGACCTTCAACACACTTTCCAATGTTGCCTGCACCGGTAGGTCCTTAACGAGATGGGGAAGATTCAGAAAATGGACATTGAAAACTTTGTTGATGAAATGCCTCAACAAAGGATACTATGATACAAGCATTTTGCTTTTCGGTGTTCCGAACCATAATTTTATTTACTGTTTTAAATTGATATGCTATTATTGTTTTCAGTTGATGTTGTTTTATAGTTAAATAAATAAATACAATTACAAGTACAACAATTTATTGAAACTATAAATACATGAACATGTATTTCAAGAGTTTTTTCATTGAGAAACGTGCAATACGATCGCAGCATTGCTCATTTACATGTACATGTATACCTTAGAGGTAAAGTTGCGTTTAATACTCTTTGTGCATGCTCAAGTAAGTCATCTAAACTCAGAGTCCCTCAGACTTCATTTGCAAGCAAGAACCAATCTTACAATGACCCCCATTTATCAAAATAAAAACAAGGATAGTGGAGCTTCATTGGATCATAAATCAAACGATGCATGTCTTGTTGAGGCTGTGAGCACTAACGTGTTTAGCCTGCAATGCTTTGTATGATAGTTGCATGCCGGCTCTACTCGAGTGGAGATACATGTAGATGGTATAATGGACTCATTATCATGAATCATCGCTGCTTAAAACCTTTCCCAATTTGATTACAATGTTTACTCTGCATGTTTCTGAATAGACTCAGAAGATAATAATTATTACACAGTAGGCCAAATTAAAAAAAAATAAAAATCTCTAAGTTCTTGTCTCCAAATGCATCTGTTTCAGCTGAGACATGCTAAGGATTTCTTTTTTCTTCTTTCTCTTTGTGACAAAACAATAAAATGATGTAAATCCTTAAGATTTCCACTACCACAGTACCAGCATTCAGCAATCTCTCAAAGATCATAATGAACTATATCGAAGTCATCCGTGTGCGGGCAAGCACTGAATCCAATGACCGGGGTCATAGTATATTTGTAAAGCGCTTAGAGACATTTGTATTAAGCGCTATATAAAAATTAAATATTATTTGTTATTATCCGGAGAATACATGTATCCATGCATGCTCTCTAAAATATCCTTTTTTTTCCAGGTGTTGAATCTCACGCACTATGTTTACATCAACTGGACTTGTTGAATACAAAAAAGCCAGCATCCTCCATTTATTTTGGTTTGGACAGGAAACTATTTTTACTTTGACCTATTTATAGCTCACTCATTAAAGGCATAGTGTAAGCTATAGTTTGTGTTTAAAGTGGGACTGCACTACTCGTAGCTACTTGCACCCTCTATATACAGGTACATGTAGCAAACAATGCCTAAGCGGTACCCATTGGTTGCCCATGATTCCCTTTTTCTTATGTTAAATGAGAGCTGATTTGATGAGATAACCACCTGTCAATGACCATGCAGGGAGGTCTAATCCCTCCTGGCAAACTAGTGCAAAGGGGCTTTAATGAAACAAAATTTCAGACACCATCTATGATTCTCAAATTTACACTGTGCAAAACTCATTAGAACTCACTCAAAGTCGGCAATTTAGTGACAATTGATGACACCTACTGTAAATAGCAGCAAAATACAATCATTGAATTCAATTGCCAATGTTAAAACAAATTCTAATTGGAAATCTATTGTTGGTCCTGGCGAAGTCCCGCTTCTTATTCATTGTACATTTCTCTTCTTTTCTCTCATTCGTTTTACACATGAGATGTGCAGGATGTGTGTGAAAAATTGTATGATTTAGCGCTAATTCGGGTACGAGGTCAATACTGTTCACCGTTGTACGAGTAATTAAATAGGGCCTCATAAAAATTTAAATGGTAATATGAATGAAAACATTTGAATTTAATATATATCATAATTCATATTACTGTCTCTCAACATTTACATCACACACAATGGGCTCAGAATAAAAATAAGACAAAAACTTTTAAAAGCCAATTAGGGAAACAAATGACAAAAGTTTGTTTAAACAAATAATAAATTGGGTAGCGCGCCCAGTATTTGGTCAGACAGCCGTTTCAACAGCTGTAATTTAAAAAATAATTTAAGAGCCACGAAACTTGCACAAATCAGGCAGCTGAACAACTTTTCTTAACTCTCAAAATTAAATCAGATTTAGAGCCCCGGAAAGATCTCCAACTTAGCTCGAAATTGGTCAGTGTCGCACAACTTTCTGCACTTCCGCGTTCTCTTAGCACATGCGCTAACATGCATAGCCATATGTAGAAGTCTATTGCGAAACAACTACGTGTGCTGTCGCAATGAATTTAGTATGTGTGTGAAGAGAATCCCTTCCGTGTTCACCACATCGCAGTGAATTTGCAAATGACGCACTTGCCAATGTGCGAGAGGTACAGTATTTATACGATACCCTTGCCATGCGGTATCGCTCGGCCAGTATTCGGTCAACGTATTGACATTCAGTGCTTTATCAAGCAATTGTGTAAAAATAGTTGCAAATACGCTTCCCTCCTTGGCAACGTAGATACCATGCACAAAATCGCGTGACCGAATTCTAATCGGCGCGACCGAATTCTGGGCAGAAAAATGCCCCGTCTTCTTTCGGAAGTATTTTGCTTAGGCCTATATCATTATTATATATTTTAAGTGACTATAAAATCCTGTTAGAGGAATAAATTTCTTTTCTTTTGATGGGTAGATTGCCAAATTAAAGAGGTAAAAATTCAAAATATTAGTGATTTCCCCTTAGGCCATGTAAAATTGATTACATGTTGATCGTCCAGATTTTTTGAAAAAGAGGAGGAGGGTGTACCATGTTATTTGATATTTGATATTCCAAAATGGCCGCTCAAAATGGCCGCTCGGTACATTTTCCCTGACAGTCGAGGCTATTTTTTTTCAAGATGGCCGCCGACAATTTTTTTTTTTTAAATCAGAAATAGAGCCATTTTAGCAGTGTTTTTCATGTTTTTTTTCTTTCAAAAAAAAATTCAAAAAAAAAAAAATTCAAAAAAAAAAAAAATTCAAAAAAAAAAAAAAAAAAACAAATAACAAAAAATAGGAGGCGGCCCCCAAAAAGGAAGCGGGCGGGGACGATCAACATGAAATCAATTTTACATGGCCTTAAGTGACTGAATACTGGGCACTCTACCCTTGATGGTAATCAATCCATGACATGATAGGAGTAAGGAGCCTTCCATTACTCATACAAAGGCTGACTTCCCCTATTGTTTAAAGAAAATAAGATGTAGTCTATTTATATAACAGCTAGTTATAATGGTATTGAGTAGATCTATGTGTACATCTTTATTACAGCGGGAGAAGAAGAAAACATCAATCGAATCTTCCCACACACAAAATGCAGTGACTGGGACTGAGTAAATCTTACCTGTAATAAGGCACCTGCCGTTTTGACGAAACTCGCCGAATCTACAGCCAATTTCTCATGAGGCAACCACCACTCACATTTCTCTTGCTCATCTCTGACGAGAAGACATTTCTTCTGATGTCGGTTAAAGACAATGACGGTGACCCAACACTCATCTTCCAGTTCGTCTTCCTGTGCCATCATCGCAGTTTCGGAGGCAGGGCTATCACAAAAATAGGGAGTCGGGCTAACTCGGCCCACGGGACTACTCGGCCCAGCTGGAAAAACTGGGCCGAGATGTCCCGACTTGATTACTCGATCGAGAGATACCAATGTGTATATGTTTGTGCTCTTTGTGACTTAATAATGCCATTTCCAACCTAAATCTTTAATGGAATTGTGTTAAATGATACCAATGAAGACAATCTATAACTTATCTTTAGGTAAAATGACAAAAAAATGACATTTCGGACAATTTACTCACAGCTCGCAATCCGCATTGCCGCACGTACATTAAATGTGCGTTGTATCTACTCGGACCACTGAAATTCGAGCAGTGTTTTTGTCGGTAAATCACTGCAAAAATATCATTTTTATCTCGTATGAAGGTCTATTTTTTATTCCTGACACAGATTTCATTATTGAGAAGTCGAATATAGTACATTTTAGACGAGATGGTTGATGTTTGTTCACATTCTTTAGTCCTGGCCGTAAATTAGCAGACTACTGCCTAGTGCTACCGCAGCAGCTCAGCTCAGTGTGTGTGCAGCTAGCCGTACAGCGCCGCCGGCCGGGTCGGCGGGGGAATTCACTGACTCGTGCCGGGCTGCTGCACTGCATTGCATGATTGTACTGCCCAATTTGATCGAGTGATGTGTGAGTATAACTAATCAAACTAGATCTCTATCTACTGTATTATCATTATTCATTCCGAGTAGAATATCCAATTTGATTTAGTGAGTAAACTAGACCTATATCTACTGTAGCTACATCATTATCATATTCTAGTCATTCAGAGTAGAATATCCGATTAATGAAGGAATGGAATTTTTCTTTTTTCATAATCAGATAATCATATTTTTATACTCCTAAAAGTTAAAGACTTGATAAATAGCTAGATCTCTCGTAAGGGCCTAGCCTAGTACTGTAAGAGAAGTGAGCTGAAGAATCGCCTTCTTTTTTTTTATTTTGGAGGGGCAGGCGCGTAGCCAGGGAGGGGGGAGCAGTGGGGGTGGTCGCCCCCCTCCCCCCCCAAAAAAAAAAGAAAGAAAAAAGAAAAAGGAAGAGGACGTAGGAAAAAAAAGGATTAAGAGTCGAGAACGGTACAATGAATCATCTTCTTTCTCTAATTATTTAATGAAACATCAAAGCTTCCGCGCGGGAAGGGGGGGGGGCGGAACTGAATTCAGATAAGGATAAAGAGTCGAGAACGGTACAACGAATCGGGGTCCAGACAACTCGCCACAAAGACAACCCGCCCCAGGACAACCCGCCACAATACCCTGGACATCCCGCCACAATACCCTGGACAACCCGCCGCAATACCCTGGACAACCCGCCACAATACCCTGGACAACTCGTCACAGCCTTTTCGGACAACTCGCCACACTTTTTCCCATCATGATTTCTAGATCTAAAATGAAATGAAATTGTAATTTTTCATGATTTTCGTGCTTTTATAAACACAGTCATTACAAAGAATAAAGTTGATTTCCCTTGTAACAATAATATATATTGAAATGAAATTATAATTTTTCATGATTTTCGTGCTTTTAAAAACACAGGCATTACAAAGAATAAAGTTGATTTCCCTTGTAACAATAATATACTTTTGATCTAGAGGTCTATAACAGCTGCATTTTTCTGGTGAGAGGGATGGAGATGGTGAGAGGGATGGAGATGGTGAGAGGGATGGAGATGATGAGAGGGATGGAGATGATGAGAGGGATGGAGATGATGAGAGGGATGGAGATGATGAGAGGGATGGAGAAGATGAGAGGGATGGAGATGGTGAGAGGGATGGAGATGATGAGAGGGATGGAGATGGTGAGAGGGATGGAGATGATGAGAGGGATGGAGATGGTGAGAGGGATGGAGATGATGAGAGGGATGGAGATGGTGAGAGGGATGGAGATGGTGAGAGGGATGGAGATGATGAGAGGGATGGAGATGATGAGAGGGATGGAGATGATGAGAGGGATGGAGATGGTGAGAGGGATGGAGATGATGAGAGGGATGGAGAAGATGAGAGGGATGGAGATGGTGAGAGGGATGGAGATGATGAGAGGGATGGAGATGATGAGAGGGATGGAGATGATGAGAGGGATGGAGATGGTGAGAGGGATGGAGATGGTGAGAGGGATGGAGATGGTGAGAGGGATGGAGATGATGAGAGGGATGGAGATGATGAGAGGGATGGAGATGATGAGAGGGATGGAGATGATGAGAGGGATGGACATGGTGAGAGGGATGGAGATGGTGAGAGGGATGGAGATTGTGAGAGGGATGGAGATGATGAGAGGGATGGAGATGGTGAGAGGGATGGAGATGGTGAGAGGGATGGACATGATGAGAGGGATGGAGATGATGAGAGGGATGGAGATGATGAGAGGGATGGAGATGGTGAGAGGGATGGACATGATGAGAGGGATGGACATGATGAGAGGGATGGAGATGAGAGGGATGGAGATGATGAGAGGGATGGAGATGATGAGAGGGATGGAGACAATGAGAGGGATGGAGATGATGAGAGGGATTGGTGAGGGATGGAGGTGATGAGAGGGAAGGAGACAATGTTGATGATGAAAGGGATGAAGACGCTGTTGATGAGAGGGATTGGTGAGGGATTGAGACGGTGTGAGGAATGAAGATGATGAGAGGGATGGAGACGGTGTGAGGGATGGAGACGGTGTGAGGGATGGAGACAGTGTGAGGGATGAAGATGATGGGAGGGATGGAGATGGTGAGAGGGATGGAGACGATGAGAGGGATGGAGACGGGAGGGATGGAGACATCTCCATCCCTCTAATCATCAATATCGTCTTCATCCCTTACATCATCAAAATTGTCTCCATCCCTCTCATCATCTCCAATTCTCCATCCCTCACATCGTCTCCATCCCTCTCATCATCTCCATCCCTCACATTGTCTCCATCCCTCTCATCACCTCCATCCCTCACATTGTCTCCATCCCTTTCATTATCAATATCGTCTCCATTCCTCTCATCATCTCCATCCCTCACCAATCCCTCTCATCATCTCCATCCCTTACATCATCAACATTGTCTCCATTATGTATTATGCCACGTTGTGGAAATGCAATTTTATTTTTGTATTCATTATTTATTTATAGTATGTACATATTTACAGGTACACAAAATCAGATATAAATTTGTTAACCCCCAGCCCCCCCCCCCCAAAAAAAATTGTAACATGCAGATGACACGCCACACCATTCCTTGTGTTGTGGTATTGGTACGTATTATTTCATATATGCAAGTTACAAGGCAAAAAAAACCTAAATAAATAAACAAAGTTAAAAAAATTAAATAAAATTGAGGACGTGTTTGAAAAACACACATAATAACAATAAACATTATTTGTTTACGACTCCAAGATACAAATTCCAACAATATGACGTTAAGCAGACTCATAATAACAAATGATAAGCAGGTGTAATCGTGTATTAATTTTATGCCACGTTGTGGTAATGCAATTTTGTTTTTTTATTTATTATTTATTTATAGTATACATATTTATACAGGTACACAGATATCAGTTATAAATCTGTTAACCCCCAGCCCCCCCCCCCCAAAAAAAAATTGTAACATGCAGAAACCAGTACAGATGACACGCCACACCATTCCTTGTGTTGTGCATTTTTACGTATTATTTCATATATGCAAGTTACAAAAACCTAAATAAATAAACAAAGTTAGAACAATTAAATAAAAATGAGGACATGTTTGAAAAAAAGATTAAAAAGGGCACCTATTCAAGATTATTTCAAGATTTATGAGAATGGAAAATGGACACTTATTGCAAAGGAAAATGGGAACATGCCGAAGGAAAAGGGGCACGTGTCAAAAATAAAAAAGGGCACTCGTCAGAGGTGAAAAGGGGGAAGGGGCACTTTTACTAAGTAATAGGGGCACTTGTCAAAGGAAAAGGGGCACTTTTTACAAAATTAAAGGGGCACTTTTTCTATGTAAAAAGGGGCACTTTTGGGGTATCTGAAAAAGTGGGGGGGGGGCACTGTGCCCCCCTGCCCCCACCCCCCGGGAGGGCCGCCTCTGCCCCTGCCCCTCCATGCACCGGCACGTCATTGCAATATCATGTCTTAATTGCTTTGCTTTGTATATATCTCTTTGATTCCCAGAAAAAGGGAACAAAAAGAGGATTTTTTGGTTTGTTTCGGGGGGGGGGCAGGGTGCTACAAGAATTTTTTTCACCACTTGCCCTGTCGGGCAAGTGGGTTTTCAATTTACTTGCCCAAACAATATTTCCACTTGCCCAAAACTTTAAAGCGAAAAAGGACTCGAGGTTAAAGCATTTATTATCTCGTAATGATAAGTTAGTGTTTTAGATAGCAAATTAATGCACATACATGTACAGTGTAACTGTACTGAATAATAACCTAATATTAGGCCTGAGTCAAACCGTTTAACCGACGGTTATCCGACCGCATTCATCAAAACCGTTTAGCATTTCTCGCTCCGGTTAACCGTTATTTGCATACATATTGGAATGTGCTAATAGCCGATGATAAAGATAATCAAAGAAACCGCAGTGTAATGTTACACCCTGGCCGCTGCGCGCCAGCTTTCTGGCAGCAGTAATCCCCATGAATGAATTTGTAAACAATAAAACAACCAGCCCCCTTCTCTCTTTTCTCACCCTCTTTATTCCCTTCTCTCTGCAATGTGTTCATCGCTCATGCACCTTTTCTTATTACTGCACTCTCAGCTCACAACTTTCTAAATGTTTACACATTCGATGGTCAGTTCCTCTCACATCCCTTCTCCCCCGAGTCTCTCTCTCTCTCTCTCTCTCAATATTAATATCCATCCCTTGCCGACTCGCCCCCTAAAATAATGTTCATATATAAATAAAATACAAAAATATTGATAACAATAATAATTGAAGTTTTAGAAATATCAATAAACAAAGTCTTGGATATTGTGAGTAATTTAAGTTTTTGATCATTCTTCAATTCAGCCGATTAACACAGCC